GGGAGAAGTTGATGTCCGTATTCCCAGTACTTGATTTAAGGGGAGATACCGGGGATATAGATCTATATGATATGCATATGTATATACATAATTATACATACATAATGATGTCAATATGGTTTTTATTTTTATTTATGTGTTTATTTATGCTCAGCGAACCCACCGGGTCCTCTATCTTAACAAGAGAGCAGGCAGTGAGGTGGATTTCTACAAGCAATGGTTTTAGCAACATAAGCTGAACGAGCCCGAAAAGCACCAGATGCGTCTTACATCACTGCACATTTTTGGTGGGACCTACTGACCAGCTTCAAAGCAAAACACACCATCACAGACTTTCCAGTGTCTTAGGCGCTGTAACATATGAAACAATTCAGAAGGTGTGTGTGTGTGTGTGTCTGCGTATGTGTCTGCGTGTGTCTGCGTGTGTGTGTGTGTGTTTTTTTTTCCACACACGCCTATTTTGCATCTGCATAGGTCTGTGCAAGACCACATTGACATTGTGTCAACGGTTCCATTGGAATCTTTCGGCCTTACCTTTGGTGAAAAGTTTGGAGAAATTGTAGAGCTGAGCTTTCATCTTTGGCGTTCTGCCATTGTGGTAGTCTGGAGCATGGCCAAAATGGCCTCTGTCATTGCATCAGGCTTCGGCACGGCTGCAAGGGAGCCAGCATCATTGTCACGCTCTGGCATGGAGTCATTGGGTGGATCCGTAGTCAAAGGTCCATGTGCTGCATCAATCTGCACAGGGTCTTGGGCAGGCAGGGCTTGATACGCATGCAAATGCACACTGTCAGCTCGCAACAACCAAAAGACAGTTGTATTGTGGCAAAACCAGTCGGGCATCTTCCATGTGGGCGTCGCCTCAACATCATCATTGGTGATGAGCCAATGCATTGGCTGTCCAGTCAATTGAACTGCAGGGCAAGTTTTCAAGGCCGCTCGATAGTGGCCCCCTTTGTCAGACCCCAAATGTGCTGCTGCCGCAACCAAAACATATTCAACCATTTCGCGCTGCAAAGAGGTGTTTGTGAAGACAGGCATCGTGCAGCCAGCCTCCATGTCAATCATGCACTGGCTTTTGTGAACCTCACCATCCACCTGATAAAAACGATCCAGGTGAAGACATAGGCACTGAGGGGCCTGCGTCAAAGCAGCAATCATCCCATGTTCCTGCATCCAGCGCCAAACAAGAGAGGACAAATTGTACTGCTGTTCAGGCAAAATGGCATGAGAGGCAGGTAGTGAAAGTGTGATGGGCATGTAAGCATCTCCATGGTCATGTGTGCACACTGATCCCATTTCTTCCACACGGCGTTCCCAGGTCATGTTGACAGCTGGTGCTCTCAGCCAGCACAGGACGGCGGCTGCATATTCAGACGTGTCCTGTTGCATACCCCTCTGAGTACCCTGGAAGGCTTCCCATGCTTGCAAGATCTGATCAAACCAAGGCAGTTCACTCAAAGCAACCAATTGCAAATTGTGACATGGAAGAAATTGAATCAGGTCTTCAAAACGTTCCCCCAAGGAGGCTGAATCACACTGCATGGACATCAATGTCCAGAGAACACAGAAAATGGTGCTGTTCACGTAGCACCAATTGGAGTCATTGCGAAGCCTCAAGTGGCTCATCACATGGAGGAGCACGGCCAAGGAGGGTGTCACGTTGTCTTGGATCGATGGTTCGTCTGCTTGGTCTTGCCTTTGCCCTTCCCTTTCCTGGTCTGCTGGCCAAGAGCCTGCTGGATGGAGTCCGCCAGGCCGCATTGGTGCAGGGCATGCGGCTTGAGCATTGTCCCAAGGAGGGTCCAAACGCTGCTGCGGGAGAGCCGGTTCAAAAGCTCCCACTCCCGATCCGCCCTCGGGCAGAGCTGCAGTCTCCAAGGGCATATGGGGGTGTCCTGGTTGGTCTGAAGCGACTTGAAGCATAACACCAGGTCTGGGTTCTTGAACATTTCCACCAGCTCCTTCACATGCTGTAGCATCAGCGTCATGCTGATGGGTGTCTTGGAACTCTTGTGGAGTTGTTTGGTCGTTGGATTCCATTCCAAGAAGGGCCAGTTCCCGCTCTCGTCGATCACTTGGCTCTGAACAGAGGCCAGGAACAGTTGGTCGTCCTGCTTGGCTTCCGACATCTTGACCACTTTCAGCATGAGGTCCTGGAAAAGGCACTGCGTCAGGTGCTGTCTCAAGGTCATCAGTGGCAATGTCGATGACTTCCTCTGCTCCTGCCATGTCTGTGTGGCCTGAAGCAAGCCCTGGAGCCCGCCCTTGGGATCGCGGTTGAAAAAAGAACGAAGCTGTCCGCCTTTCTGCTCTGGTTGAGGTCGCGATCGTGGCGCAGAACCAGTAGGGCAAGCTGATGGACCAGTGTTGCCAGCTGAGGTTGTGGTGTCTGTAAGGCCCCCAACTGATGCATCTGGGTCTGTTGGGTCTGCTGAGGCGGCTCGTGCTGATGCTTGGAGCGTTTTTGCTCTCTTGGGTTTGGGGCCAGTTGCGCCAATTGCGCCTGACCGAGCAAGGGGGCAAGGCCTTTGAAGGTTTCCAGTACTTGCTGGTGCGCCATCAGCTCCGGTGTGGTCATCAAGGAGTCGTCCATCATGTAGCAACCCAGTGAGCAGCAATGCAATTTGCAACGCAACAGGGCAGTTGTACAGCAGGTGTGATTGAGCCAGTTGCTTGCGTTGGGTGTTCTCAGCATCATCTGCAGTTGCAGGCAAGTTGAAAACCTGTAGGCAAGCGTGACATTGGTGGTCTTCTGTCATGCTTTTTTGCATCATGGGTGTCAGCAAGGCCATATAAAAGGACAGTGCAAGATGACTGCAGGCATGGGCCTCGCGCAGGTGTTGGGGCAGCGCACAGGCATCTCGTTCACATCCGCAAAACAAACATTGGGTGCGCAGGAGCTGCAAGCATCCAGGATCCTGCCAAAGTTTGGCATAGTCATGCTGAAGCACAATCTGCTCAAGCTGAAAGCGCTGTGTCTGGTCAAGCATGGTGGAGAGCAACATCTTCAACACATGTTCACTTGCCTGGAAAGGTGCAAATATCTGGTCATTCATCATCTGGAATAGCATGGATAGCTGCCTCAGGGGGAGGCAGTTGTGATCCAGGCGGTTCTGATGCAAGGCCGGGTTGCACACGCAAGTTCCTCTGGCATAAAACAAGCTGACCAAAATCACTGTGAGGGTTTGAGCGCGGCGCCAGACCCTGGCATGGCTGCCCTGGAGATGGCAAGAAAGGTCCGTGGACCGTGCATAATGAACCCCGCAGAGTTGACAATGCAGCGTCAACTCCATTCTGAACTTGGCATTGGTGAAAAGGGTTTTCATTTCACCAGCTGTGCAAGCCTGGACCCATTCAGGACGCATAGGCAACGTCTCGGCTGTTGCCTCTGGTCGAAACAGGAGGCATCTGCTTTGGTTTATGTGTGAGCGCAGACTGGACATGCTCTTGTAGAGAGTTCCGCAATGGGCACATGCTGGGCTGCCCGCCACACTGTCTCTGGCCACGTTAAACGCCACCCCCTGCAAGGCATGCTGGGTTTGCAGATGGTCTGCCAGGGCTGCTGGGTTGGGAAGATCTGCCAAGCAAATGTCACATCGAACTCTGAGTGAAGGAGTCTCTGTTGAATTGACACCGTCACTGGGTGCTCTGACTCCCGCCATCAGCAAGGCCATCACCTGAACCCACACCGGGCAAAGGTGTGATTTGAACAGGGCGCCGCAGTAGACGCAAGGCCTATCTGTGGCCCATGTATTGGACATGTACACAGCTTGTTGTGGAACTCCATCCCAATATTGTCCATGCATGGTTCGATAATGGGCATTAAGTTCTTGAACCCGGTTATAGTGAAGGCCACACAGAATGCACCTCTTTGCAAGGTACTGGCATGCATCAGGCAAAGTTGCCAGTTTTTCCCAGTCACGCTCTTCAATGAGCTGACACAGTGGCAGGCCAAACGTTGCTTGGCGCAGATTGTCCAGTTCAGCTTCAGGGATCAGTGTTGAGCCTCTGACGGCAAGTTCTCCAGCAGCCATCTCAGTGCTGCTCTGGTAGAGCTGCACCCCCAGAGCAGTATGCGTCTCTGTGGCACAAGGGCCGGAGTAAAGGACCTGACAGCCCCGTTCAATGTGAATCTGAAAACGTCTCCATGTAGTGAAGGTTTGTCCACAATGTTTGCATTCAGGCAATCCAGTGTTTGTGAATTGTGATGCAAGAGCAAAATGACTCCGAAAAACAGGAAGGCCATGAACCATCGTGCAATGCCGTCTGAATGTTGCGACGTTGGTTGCAACAAAATCACATCTTGTACATTGAAAAAGGTCAGGGCTGCTGGGGTCAACACACAATGAAGAAGGCTCGACAGACCGGGAGCTCAGCTCCTGAGTATTGGCAAGGTTAGTTACCAGGTGATTTAAATGCTCCCAGGGCAGTTGCAGTGTGATATCATCGGCTTGCAATCTGGTCAAGCGTTGAGTGATCGACTGCAAAAGTTGCTCGGCAGCAGCGCGCAATTGCTGCAAAGGCGTTGCAATGGAGTGCAAGGTCAGGGCAAGATAGTTGGTATGTCCCGTGCGTGAGGCATGATCACAAACTACCTGTCTCAACATTTTATACATTTCCCTTTGCAAACACATGATGCCCTGTGGATGGATCCCCGTTGCAAAAATGCCATACGTCAGGACTGGCAACACAGTGGAGCGCCAAAGTTGAAATCTGCTGTGAATCTTGAAATCATGTTTGCCCCGGAGCCATCTGCCAAGTCTGCGTTGTGCAATTCTAGCCAAGGTCAAGCGATGCTTTAACGTGGCAGTTTTGCAATCTTTGTAAGACATAACCGTTCCAAGATACGTGATTTGTGACTGCAATGGTATCAAGGCTTCTGTCCCCGTTGGCAGGGGAATGCGCAGCTGTTCCACATCTTTTTGCTTCACGACAAACTGAGCTCTCTGATGTCGATGAGAAGTGCCAGCAATGGTCAAAAGTGCCGCTGACTTCTTGGTGTTAATCCGCAACGCAAATTCACGCAAGGTGTCCAGCAAAATGCCAATGGCCGTCAGGAGCTTTTTCAAGTCTGAAATGGAATAAAAAAGGCCTCCTACCTGATAATCGTCGGCGTAAATATTAAGGTGCAATCTTATCCAGGTAATTGGTAAGAAATTGGCTACCCTATTGAGATACAGCATCATCAGGAAGTTCCAAAGGCCCGGGGCAGCCTTGCATCCTTGGCGTAGCCCTGCGCCTGTTGGCAGAGCTACGTGATCGCAGCCATGCTGGAAATGGTACTGGGTGTCGTGATGCCAGTGCGCCAGCAATTGGATGACAGCAGGACGGATGTTTAATGTGTGGAGCTGTCCAAACAGTTTTTCACGGGAAACTCCATCAAATGCCCGTTCAAGGTCCAGCATGACTGTGACACCACCGCAAAATTGGAACATGGGAAGGCCAAGTGCCCTAGCATGTGGCGTCGGTCTTTGGGACGCAATCAACTGTGCAACCTGGTGACAATGATGTGAAACTCTACATATTGCATCCAAAGTTGACCGCATTGGCATAAAGGCCCAAAGAGGCCAAGGCAGCATGGTTGGTCTGGCATCACTGCATGCACATTGGATTAAAAGTCCCATCAGAGCCTTACCAACTGGATCTTGAAGTGCTATTGGTCGTAAATTATAATACGACGTGGGGGGTTTCATGGGTTTCCCCAGGAGAATCATCCAACCATCCCGCCAGTGCTGGGGTATGAACGGGGGAGCCGTGCCCCACCATTGTTGCAAAATCTGATGCAAAATGGGTGCAATAATTGGCCCATGACTACGCCATGCTATACCAGGAGCAAATGGAAATGCTACGGCACGGTTCACTGGGATGTCACTCAAGGCTTGGGCCAGCTCACAAACCGAGAAAGGGACCCCTGGGGCCTGAGCACAAGGCAGTGGCGGCAGATTGGGTCCCCCCCAGATGTCATGCACAAACTTTTTGAGCAGTTCCAATTCTTCAGCAGGGCTGGCAATGGCTCCTAATGCATTTCTAATCTGAATCCGACGTCTGACAGTTTTGGGGGCATATCTATTGATCAGGCTGAACATTTTGTGCATGTCATGTTTGCGGGAGGCTTCTTGAGCAGCTTTGGCAATGTCAATAAAATGCAACCTTCTGATCTGAGCAGCATGCCTACGGTGTTGTCTCTTAAGAGAGGAGTACCGTGCCAAATGATGCCATGCTCTGAAAATGCCCGCACCTGTGCAAGCTCGGATACGCAGGAGCTGTTCTCGATGTTGCCATTTCGTCTGGATAATTGGGGTTGATTGTTGCCATGGATGTTGTTTCGAAGGTTTCTTCATGGGTGGAAAAAATCATGAAAACATGCACAAACAGCATCATGGAACTGTGTCATTTGGTTCTCAGCAGGCGCGTCTGAGTGCAGGACCATGGTCAATTGCTCAGTCATGACCCTCGATGAGCAGTCAGCATAGGCGTGCCATAGTTCAGTGGCCGCTTGAAACTCCATCTTAGCCATTTGAGCCTGTTGTCTGCTAATGCCAGCGGCCTGGTGAGTCCTGTGATGGGTCCAGTAAAGTGCAATCTGGTGGACAATTGGGACATGTCCTTGCTGTTGCGGTCCCATAAAAGGAGCATTCCAAAGATATCGGGGTTGTTTGGAAATCCCATCAGCCTGACACTTACGCACTAGTGCAAAGTCAATCCTGCTGGAATGGTCTCCATGCACGTACGTTGGCCCGTCGCGGGCATCCCAGGAATTTAGGACTACCAATCCATGAAATCTCAGGAGAGAGAGCAATCTGCCTGCATCTTGGTGTTGTGAGCCCTTGGTGAGCTGTGTTTTCCAGCGATACCAGTCACTGCCAGAATGGGAAGCGCATGGAGGAACATTGGTATTAAAATCAGCCATTACCAACAAATGATTGCGATGGGGCAAGGTCTGCAGAAGCTGATCAAAATGGTTCCACCAAGTCTCACGCATCTTCATGCACTGGGCTCCTCTGGTGTCGACATGTTGATACCCACTCAGCAAATCAAGGGATCGTCCTTTTGTAGGCATTCTCAAATGAACAAGGCGGCCTGGAACTATCTCCTGCCATCGCAAATCAGAAGCGTTGCAAAAACGGCGGGATATGAGCGTCAGGATGCCGGTTCCCTTGGAGGTGGAGCATCCGGAATGCACATGAATCCAGTCAGAATCAAGCCACTCTCCAGTGAACTGCCATCGGGTTTCGTGGAGCGTCAACACCTGGATATGGTTATGTGACAGCCAGGCTTTTACTTCATCCAACCTATGATTGGAGAGGCCCCCAACATTCCACTGCATGCATGTCAATCTCGATTTCGATCCATGGATTTTGTGGCACATGTCACTGGCAGCCTTCGGAGGCTGTTGCATCGGTTGCTGCAACGGCGCATCTGCTGAGGCATGGGAGGCTACATCTGGTTGTGGCATGAAATGAAAGTCTTCAGGTCTGTACAGGCGTCCTTTGTACCAGGCAAGGCCCTGGCAGCACGCTCGTTTGTGAGCTCTTTTCAAACTTCTCTTTTTCACTGGGGTAAGGCTATGGCTCTGAGAGGCAGAGCATGCTGGTGGTCTTATGTCATGCGGCTTCACGTCAGAAAAAGGTGCAAAGGTCCAATCTGAATGCAAAACCGACGTTTCAGTGGCCCCCATGACTGGGCCACTACCCTCACCCCCATATCTGGTATAGTGTTGCATGAAACCAAGGAGGATCAGGCCTGTCAAAGCTCGCCTGAGTGATCGACCAAACCAGATATGCCCGGACTTGGGACCGGGACTTGCGCCTTGATCTGAACTGAAAGAGCTGTCACCACTTCGGTTGAATTGCACGTGAGGTCTATTGTCAGTGCTGCCAGTGAAAATTCCAGAAAAAGAAAAAGTTGTTGCTGCTTGGACACAAATAAGTTTCAGGAGCCACCCTGCAGAAAAGGCCAGTAAATTTAAAACCAGTTGATCTTGTCCAGCGGTGAGATCGGTCAAGGTAGGGCTCTGTCGAGAAAACAGAGCAGCACAGGTCAAGACTGCAGTTTGTATCCAATTCCAAATATGGGCCGCCACAAAATTGTCCAAAGCAAAAAATTGTTGAACCCTCTGTTGAAATATCGCTGTGGAGTTGCACAGGAGCCACCCTGCAGAAAAGGCCAGGGGAGTGAAAACTTTGTCACTGTTGCAAAGATGAGCCAACCTGAGACTGTAAGATGGATAAACGTTCAGCTCAGTCAGGAGCCACCCTGCAGAATAGGCCAGAGTTAAAAATGATGTCCAGGGAGGGTGCAAGTCACACCGTGTGTACCGCCGCAGTGTCGTGCAAAGGAAAAACCAGGTCTTCCTCGTAGGGCAATTCAGGAGCCACCCTGCAGAATAGGCCAGTTGGATTGCGGTTACAAGATACCACAAAGGGGATGGCAGTCGTGAAATTATATCAGCAAAAGTCAGGAGCCACCCTGCAGAATAGGCCAGAAAAGCACCAGTGATGCGCTGTATAGCACACAAGTGTCCCCACCACCAAAGCCAGCTGAAAATTGCTGTGAGCGTCTCAGTAAAGGGCAGGGCTTTGTTGTAACGTTGTACAATCGTCTGAGAGTGAATGTACTCAATGTCAAGGCTGCCGCAATATAGTTGATCTGCAATTAAATGAAAAAATTTCAGGAGCCACCCTGCAGAATAGGCCAGTGCTGTGCCTGTTGGATGTAGCTGCAAGTAGAGCCTGGTTCGGAGCAGCACCGACAAAGTCCAAATAGAAAACAGGAGCCACCCTGCAGATAAGGCCAGTTGGTTGCAGTGTTCCTGCTGCACGTGCAAAAGACTGTAAGAATTTCCAGATCGACAGTTGCAAAGATGAAAATTATTGTTGTAAGTAAATGAAAAGTTCAGGAGCCACCCTGCAGAATTGGCCAGTGAGTATTGCGCACTGCTTCCAAGGGATTGCCAGGTCCAGTCGCACTGTTGTGCCAGTAAGAGCACACTCGTCCAGGAGATGATGGTCGCTAAAGACAGTTGTATGCAAATTGGAACCTCGTGCTTAGCAGGCCACCAATGAAAGAATCCAGGGGTCTGCCCCACAAAGTTCGGTGTCAGAAGCGTACACCACCAGGCAAAGAGGAGCATGCACCAGCAGTCAAAATGGCAATCAGTCAAAGGAGCAGGTCTTCCAGGGAATCAAACAGGTCCGTACAGCCCAAAGTGAAATCAGCAAATGAAATAAAATTTGATCGCAAAATGATGTCAGCGCAGCAACAAATCCAATGGCAAAGATGGCAACACAAGTAATCCTATCGAGTGGCAAACGGCTCCTTCTGGCGCTGGTGCCAGGTCAGTTTGGCACAAAGGGGCTTGTGTGTGTGTGTGTTTTTTCCTACACTCCTTTTCCAAGAAAAGTCTCGTGCGCGCCTCAACATGTGGATGACTCATGTTGGCCTCCAGGGATGGAGGTCTTTGTGAAAAACCTCACGGAGCAGGCAGCTCTAGCCCAAAAACTCCGATGGAAAAAGATCTGCAAAATGCAGTTGAGGTGAAACGCCACACTGCCACAAGATCTAGGTGTACTGTCCTTTGACAGATCTGTGCGGACATGCAACAAATTCATGCTCGGCAAAACCATGCTTTTTTTTTTGGGGGGGGGGCTTCTTGCTTTGTGGGCATTTCGCCTCTTGGCCCTTTTCATTTTTTTTTCTGGGACTTCACTCACCAGGTAGTGAGGGCTTAAAGGGGAATCTGGCGGGTGAAACGGCAGTGTGGCAAGCTACGATGGACATGACTACTTGGGGCAATTGTGGACATATTGCATGGGCTTCGCGGAAAACATCTCATACAGCTATTTCGGCATGGCACGGATCAGGCTCTGCAAGGTGCTAAGCTCAGGATCGGCTGGACTGGATGAGTCCGTGGACGGCGTCGCTGGCGCAGGATCAGGCTGGACTGGCATCTTGAAAAGGTCAATGCTGTCACAGTCGCACAGCAGGAAGCAGGTCACGTTCTGCTTGAACCAACGGGGTTCCTCCCAGATCCTCTGCGGTGGCTGGCCATCCTCAGTGATCAAAAAATTGACCTCATTTGGGGCAGCCTTGGGCCACGTTTTGAGAAGGGCCCTGCAGTGGCCTGCAGCATCAGTGCCTAAGTGTGCAATGGCCGTCATGACCTGGTAGCCACGCCTGCTGACCTCAAGGCCTGTGTGATCAAACACGGGCAAGGAAAGGCTTCCACGGAAATGAATAGGGCGCTCACTTTTCGTCACAGCTGAAGTGCCTTGGTTGACAAAGCGGTCAACGTGGATGCATACCAAGGCTGATGGATCAGTCAGGGCAGTTTGCATACCATATTGGGATTCCCATGTGTGAATCATGGTTTGCAGTGCTGTGTAGCCATGATGGATGGCGTCAGGATCAGATTCATCAAACTGTACCGTAATTGGACGCAGGGCATCATTGTGGTCCATGATCCGGACTGTTTCACCTTCTTGCATTCGACGTTCCCACTTCATGTTGAAGCCGCCAAATTGCATTCCCCTGAGAACATGTGAAAGAAACTCCACTGGATCACCCTGATTGGTGGGGTTCGGCCATGACTGCATCGTCTCATGAAACCACATCAGTTCAGCAAGGTTGAGTGGACCCAATGAGAAGGACATGATGCTGCTTGCAATCAGGGTGGCCTTTGGCCCCAAATCACTATACTGAAAATCAACCCGGCTCAGAACAGCCCAAAGCGTCGCCATCATAGCTGCATTCACAAAGCACTGATTGCCGGGGTTGGTGGGGGTCAGCTGGCTAAGGGCGTCCATGAGTGCCAGGCGTTCATAGGGAGCTACAGGGCTCACGTGTGTGTCTTGCCCTTCCCATTGCTCTTGCTCTTGCCCTTGCCCTTCCCGAGCATGGTCTTCAGCTGTTGGGCCTGATGGCTCTGATACAGAGTGTGTCCCTTCAGGGATGCTCCAAGAAGGCACCAAACCTTGCAGCCCACCAACGCTTCCAACAGCATCTGCAGTTCGTCGCAACGCAGGGAGATCTGTAGGAGCCACGGTGTCATCTGCTGATCGGAGGGCTTCAGGCTGTGAAATTTGATCGTGTTGGCAGGGTCCATTGTGTTCTCCACCAATTGGTCCACATACCTCTTCATGCGTTCCATGGGCACCGGTGTTTGATCTGTCTGGGTCAGAGATTGACTGGCCGTGTCCCACCTGTGAAAGAAGAACTCCCCTTTGTCGTTCAAAAGCCTGTGCTGCAGAGCTGTCTGAAAGAGTGGATCCGAGGGTTGGCTCTGGTAGAGCTTCATCAAGCGGTGTTGCAAGGTCAGGGCAAGGGTATGCATCAGTGTGGCTCGAAGCGGCCGCCAGTCTTGAGTCTTCATTTGGCCCGTCTGTTGGGTCACCTCTGCATGCCATGTCTTGGCCTTGGCGCTCAGCACGTGGATCACTGACTCTTGCTCCATTTGCATGTAGAAGACGAAAGAGTCTTGTCTTCTCATCAGATTCTGATCCACGTCCAGGCGCAGTAGGAGTCTGGCCATCTGTTGTACCACCTGGTGGAGGTCGACTTGCTGGTCTGTCTCCTTGGGCTTGTGCTGCGTCTTGGCCTTCTTGTGATCCCTTCCTCCGTCGTTTGTTGCCAGGCTGGATTTCTTCAGCAGGGGGGCCATGGCTCCGAAGGCATCCAGAAGTTCCTGAGCTTCCTGGCCTGTCAGTGTCGCTCCTTCTGGGGCGTCCATGTTGCAGCAAGAGGCACAGTTGATGGATGACCGGACACTGCTGAAAATGGGCTAAAACCAGCGTCTGCCTGGCATGTTGTTCCGAAAGCGGCGGGTCACCAAGCAAGGGCAAGTTGAAAATCTGATTGCACTGTGCACACTGATGGTCTGTGTGGGCCGCTTGTGTGTATTCTTCATACAAAAACGGCAGGAGGTCAATCACATCTTCCAGCTTTGAGGCATGGACTTGAAGGACATGGTCTCTCAAAAGAGCTGGATGAAAAGCTCCACCACATAGAACACAGTGTTCCCGTAGGAATTCCTGCAGTGCTGGGTCTCTCAAGATCATGCGCACTTGCCTGCTATGAACTGCTTCCATCAAGGTGGCACAGGCTGCATTGCGATGGCTGTGATGCAACATGGCTTCAAGTGCTCCTCTGTCAGCAGGCCATGGTAGGAACACCTCCATCGCCGATCTGGTGGCCAGCATGGCAATCTGTCGGTAAAAGGGGCACACATGGGTCAGAGTGACCTTGTTGAGACTTGGATTGCACACACAGGAGTGTTCAGGCGGCCAGACCTTCAGTAGGAACCTCGTCAGCGCTTGAGCTCTGGTCCACATGGCCGAGTGGGCCGTTTGCAGGTGCAGCATCAGGTCGTTTGACCTTGTGTACCGGGCATCGCATTGTGCACAGTGCAACGTCATGCGCATTCTGACCATGGAGTCCTCCAAAAAAGGTTGAAGATCACCTGTTTGAAAAAGTTGATTCCAAATGGGGGCAATCGGCAACAAGTATGGTGAACGGTTTGGGTCGAACATCGGACATTGCCCTAATGTCACGTGCTGCCGGACTGCTGACACATCTGCAAAACACCGGGAGCAGTGTGAGCAAGCTGGGTCCTTTCCCATCAAATCCCTTTCAGGTTGCCAGTCATGAAAAGCCAGGCGATGAGAGTCAGCTAGATGTCTGTGGATTTCATCCAAGCTTGAAGCTCTAAGTCCACAGACCTCGCAGCGCAGCGCTTCCAAGGGTGGTGTCTCCCCATGGCCTGATGCAGTTGGCATGTGGAGCAACAGCATGGCTGCCTGGGTGATGATGGGGCACGTATGAGCCTGTCGAAAACTGAGTCCACAGTGTCTGCATGGAGAGTTCCTGGCATAGCTACGGCACAACTGTGAGGCCTTGGTGAAGGTATGTGGCACCCATTTGGGATGGTGCACTCGCAGATGGCTGTGCAGTTCCTGCGGTCTGCTGAAATGAAAGTCACAAATACAGCATTGTGCAGCCAGGAATTCACAGGCCTGTCTGTGATCCACCAAGCTATTCCAGTTGCGTTCACGTATCAGCTGGATCAGGTCTGGGCCAAAAGGCTTGTTCATCAGGTTCTCGGTGAGTCCCTGGTGCAGGCGCAAAATGCGCGCTTCTTCTTCTTCTTCACGCAGAAGGGCATCGAGATTCACGTGTTGGTCACATGGACGCACCTGACAGCATTGGCGATCAAGGTGAACTTGAAATTGTCTCCACGTGCCAAAAACTTGATAGCAAAAAGTGCACTGGGGTAACCCTCCTACAGAACATGACATGGCATGCGCTAAGCTGGTCCTGAATTGTGGCTGGCCATGGGCAGTGGTTTGATGGCGTCTCAGGTTTGCAATCGAGGTGGCCACAAAAGAACAGGATTGGCAGGCATAAATGAGAGGCAATGGCACCTCCAGGGAGCTGTCTGCACTGGGGTTCAGCGGTGTTTGCACCTCAAGAGCCACGGTCATGAGCTGCAAGTTCTGTTGTAGATTACTCCAATCAACTGTGAGCACAATGTCATCAGGTCTCAGGATCTGAGTTCTCTGGCCTGTGAGACATTTGAGCTGCTGGGCATGGCGCATCAGCATATGGAGCGGGTGTTCCAGGTTGTATCTGTGCATGATGGCTTGATGCGTTTCACGAGTGCGAAAACTGTGATTGCGTGTCAACTTCCTGTACATTCCCAGTACAATCTGCTGAAAGTTCTTAAGGATGGGCAGGGTGATGTTGACTGCCAACATGCCATACGTGAGCGTGGAAAAAACACTGGCCCTCCAAAGCTGCAGTCGATGGTGCAATGCAATGTGTGGTGAACTCAACCATCTGCGCAGGCGATGAAACGTTATTCTTGCACATTGGACCCTTTTGGAGAATGTCAACTGTTCAAACGCGGTGTAACTCAAACATGTTCCAAGGTAGTCAGCTTTTCTTTTGACTGGAATGCGACTAAATGATCCATCAGCTCGAGGTATCTCTACAAAGGTGCTGGCACCCTCCTGCTTCAGGAGTTTTGATTTGATTTTGCGGCTGTGCGTGCCCGCAATTTCAAGCAAAATGTAGGATTTTTCGAGGGATAAGGTCAGTCCCATTTCTTCAAGGGCATCTAGGAGCATGCCAAGCCTGGCAAGTTCAAGCAACAGCTGTTGGCGTGATCGGAAAATGGACCCTTGATGAATGTCATCAGCAAAAGCTGTGACTGTTTGTCTGACCCATTTTGGGGATATTTTTGCACTCAGTTTTTGAAAAAGTTGATCCAAAAAAACGTTCCACAAAAGAGGGGCTGCACGACAGCCCTGGCGCACTCCACGTCCCGTCGGGACCAGGACTGTCTGGCCAGAGTGCTCCACACAGTAATCAGTGTTGGAGTGCCATTGGGCCAGTAAAGTTGTGAGCGCCGGCATGTCATGCAATGTGTCCAAATGCTCAAATAACCGTTGTCTGGGGAGTTGATCAAAAGCCCTCTGTATATCGAGGAATATTTGTAGGCCCCCACAACAGGCATAAAATTCAACTTGTGCAGCCCTTTGATGCGCTGAGCGTCGTTGGGTCTTCACAAGGCATCGGACTTCCTCACAGTGGGCTGCAACGCGTCTGATGGCATCTCCTGTCGATCGGTTGGGAAGGAATGCAAATTGTGGGTGACTTTTTAGAGCTGGTCCCACTGCCAGTTGCAGTTTTTGGGTCAGTGCACCTAGCACGCACTTACCCAGGGGCTCTTGTAATGCTATGCATCGGAGGTTACCTACCTTAGTCGGGCTCTTATGGGGTTTGGGGATGAGCGTCACCCAAGCTCTTTTCCAAGCAAGCGGTATATAAGGATCTGAGGTTGACCACCATGATGTAAGCAGGGCATGAAGCCATGGGGCAATGAGATGTGAGTGCATTTTCACTACCAGGGCTGGAATGAAAGGCTTTGCCACTGACTTATTGTGAGGAATCCTGCTCAACTCATACTCAAGGTCATCCACTGATATGGGTACCCCAGGGGGGTCCCGGTGGCCTAGATCAACCTGAGCAGGTCCATGCCAAATTTCCTCAACAAAGGTCCTGGTGAGCTGCAGGGCCTCTTCCGGTGATGCGGGTGTGCCATCATCATTCCGCAACTGTATCTTCTTTTTGGGCTGCTTTGGAGTGTATTTGTTGATGATCTGATGAACCTCAAAACTGTCATGGCGGTTGGCAGCATGTTGCACTGACTCTAGCATATCAAAGAAACGCTGCTTTTTGAGTTGCTTGGTGCTCAGCTTGTGTGCACGGTTGAGTGCAGCATATTTGCTGCGGCATTTCCATACATGAAACAGAGCTGGCAGCGTCAGTGATGTGGTGGATTGCACCTGTCTGTGGTAATACCATTTTTGTTGAATCATCCCTTCATGCATTCCAGGGACAGGAACGGGTGTTTTGGATTTTTCAGGGTATGAATTAAGAAATCCAGTTTTTAATGTGTCATGAAAAAGCTGGATGTCGTCATCAACCTGATATGGAAGGTTGCACATGTTGTAGAAGGCTGACTGGGTGTCAGCCATCATTTGATGCCAAGTCTCAGCACCCGTCCTCCAATCCATGCGGCACTGTTGCCTTTGGTAGTAGGTATACCCTGAAAAAGATTTTGGGGATTTATAGGAAAAGTGGAATTTTTTGATGGTGCAATATAGGGGTATGTGAACCGCTCCATTTAGTGGTATGATATCAGCATTGGTCAAATATTTGACATCCTTAGCAGCTCCGTCAGCCTCTGTGGCACGCATCAGAAAATGGTCAATTCTTGATGCTGAGAGGCCATTTTGATAAGTGGGTCCATTTTGGGCGTTCCATCCATTTAGAACAGTCAGCTGGTGTTTATGGATGATCTGAGAAAAAGTAGTCATGTCTCTATGTTGGGGTCCTAGGTGGTGTTTACCCTGCCAGGTGAAATAGCTGGTACCTACATGGGGGGGATCATGGCTAACCGAGCAATTCATGTCTCCTGCAATTAAAAGGGAGTTCCGGTTTGGGATTTTTGAAAGGCTGGCGTCAAGGGCAGTCCAAAATTGTTGACGCTGTTGCAATCTAGCCGTGGACCGGTCGTCCATGAAATTGTAGCAGCACAGGATATCGCAGGCTCTCTGGCGGTAGTGCAGCCTGATGTGCACAAGTCGACCAGGAATGATGGCGGCACTGCCTATCTGATGTTCCTGAATGGTCGAGGACCTAAGAAGCACAAGGATACCATCTGCACGGTCATCAGGGGTTCCTGAATGCAAAGCATGCCATGTCCCGTCAGACCACTCGGATGAGAAGCTCCAACGGGATTCTAAGAGCACAATTATATCAGCTTGAATGTGAAGTCCCCATTGCTTAATTTCTTCAAGCTTATGAGTGGAGAGACCCCCTACATTAAACTGAACAATATTGAGTCTTTGAGGAAGAGCCCGATTTGTGGGAGTCTTGGATGGTACACCAGCAGGTCTGCTGGGGCTCGATTTCACTGGGCAAGGCATGTTGCATGGAAAATCATCTGGAGTCAGGTGTTGACCACGATACCATGCAATACCATCTCTGAGGGCTCGTGCATAAGCACGTTTAAAGCTGCGTTTCTGTACATGAGTCATCTGTTTCAGATTGGTGAGGTTTTTCAACAGGCCGGAGCCCTTTGGTGGCGGTGGGCCGTGCACTTTCGCCTCTAGCAGGTTGGTCAGGTGGTCAGCATTAAAGGCGGCTTCCATGGATTCCCACGGCTGAAATCCATAACCCTCACCCCCGTGTAGTGTCGGTGGCATCTTTTTTGGAATGGTTTCTCACACTACACGTCCGGACTTGGGACCGGAATTGCGGCAAGCCTTTGGTCAGTGCTTGATGGCCACACTGTGTGTGGGTAGGGGGTTTAGAGTTTATTTATCACTTAGATGGGATCGGATTATGAGCGCTTGGGATTTAGATTTGACAGGCTGTCAAGGATTATGGTCAGGGTTAGGGAAAACCTTAGTGGTGCAATGCCTGTGGGAGGCTTGCAGGTCTGGTCTATGGTTAGAGCTGGCTTATCTTAAAGGTCTGATGCCTATAGTTTTCGGATGATGATGGGGTTTTAAGCAGGCAGTGTAAAGAACGCTGTATACGCCTCGGATGCAAGTTCCACCACTGCTTGAAAAATACGCCTTGTCCTCACCACGGTGGTGCTATGCCACCAGATCAAAAAGATTGTTGAAGGTGTCTGTCTGGAAAGTCAGCGCACTAACCAAGGTTAATCGTTGCAACAGTACCAATCCGAAAAAACAAAAAAGCAAGCTGTGTCCAATTGGAGTACAAATCTGGTGTGTAGCCTGGTGTTCAGTGCCAAGTGGCTCAAGCACCGTCGTTTGTGGCAAAGCCAGAAGATTGCTTGTTCTAGATCGTGTCGAATTGCAAGTAAATTGTAAGGATGTCCTTCCTGTCCAATGTCCAAGTGTTTTCGATTGAGGTTGAACCCGGCCAGTCAGCTGATGTTGGGAGCCACCCCACAGTGTTGGGTCAACCTCAAAGAAGACTGGAGAAATTGAAGACTGTCAATGGTGAGCTCTGATGTAGATCTGTTACCCAAGCACAAGGATGATAGAGCTGGTCAATCACTGGGCAGTGACGCACGTCCGGAGCTGATGTGTCTAGCTCGTCCAGTGAAAATAAAGCTCCTGTTTCGATCTCCGTCCAAAACAAACAAATTGAAAACCTGTTCCACTGTCCAGCTTCGCGGTGCCAAAAGATGCTGTGATCAGCCAGCACGACAGAAAAGCAGATGAAGGACCGCAGCGCAAATGGCAAGACAAAAACGGAAAAACTGAACCCTGGTTCCACCTATTGGGAACACTTGCGTGCGGCTCTCGCGGCCGCAAAGGGGCTTGTGTGTGTGTGTGTGTGTGTGGGTGGAGCGTGGCTGTTCCATGGGTAATCATCAATAGGCGGCGTTCGTGGTATGGCAGAGCCACGGGTGCTCTTCAATCGATGGTGTCGCAGGGTGCCCTTGGTCATCTTCCACAACCATTACATTCCATGGGGGAAGTCGGGGATGGTGGTGTAGAGGAAGGGCTGTCATGGGAATACTGTGGAAGCGCCACATCACTAAAACCGACATGGAATCTCCACAAAGTCCTTCGACAGAGGATGAACACAAGGACACAATCACCAAGCAAAGGGAGTTCACAAAGCATAGCAGTTAACATAAACACAAATTAGGTAGAAAGAAGCAAAGTAAAGAACTACTTACACTTAAAACATATCATAGCATATCATAGCTATGTCCAAAAGTCATCGATATACTCAGTGGACTCTACTGTATCCTCGACTGCGACTACGGTATCCAAATTCATTGCGTCATATCCACCGTCTTGGAGTTGCGCATTGGGCACTCGTCATCTACGAGATGGACAATTTGTGTGCACGCGCTCCGTCGCTGTGAAGGGTGACTTCTCGGTTTGCCAGGTGCTTCGCCCAATCTCGTCGGCTGATGGGCCGTGCGCTTTGGGTCTGGAAGGTGCAGGATGAAGGTTTGAGGATTACCTCTTTCCACAAGACCTCCCCATTTCCCATTGAACACAAGCATTGTGCTTCGAAGCCATGAACTCTTCCTTGCACCTCATCAGCCTCCACGTCCGCCCACCTGGCTTGGCTCCAAACACTGTCTTGCGTTCCTGTTGCGAGACCCGCTTTGTCCGAGCAGCTTCGAGGTTCTCATACATCCTGGCAACCGGTTTCTTGTCCACGTTCAGGCAGGTGGGCACCGACGTCACAGGAACTGAGGCCAACACGCAACAAAGGATAGCTGCTTGAAAACCAAGAGGTGCGCGGTGGGAGCATTTGGACAAATCGATCCCATTTCATGAATCTCTTGTCCGCCTTTTTCCCTTGGGGACGGTGACCTTATGTATATATAATTATATATATATAATTACATATATATATATATACATACATACATACATACAATTATATACAGTACATATGTGGAAACTGAAAATGGTTGCCTAGGGTTTTCCCCTAGCTGGGAAATCTTCGAACTACAATGAGGGTTTAAAAAGTTTAATGGGGAAATCAACAAACTATAGCTGGGGGAGTGTTCAGCAAGCCATGTTTGATTACCAGAGGGTAAATTGCACAAGGATGTTTTTTTGGGTCGGGGAACTGGATTTTTAGAACAGCCAAATAAAAAACCAGCTTGACTTAGCATGAAGATATGAGCTTTGTGTAAAAAGGGTTTTATCAATATGTCGTTTTTTCCCTATCACAGTACTGAAGAAAAACTATGCCACCAGCAAATCGAGAGACTCTCCGATCAAGGCGCTGTTGGCCTATGGATTTAGTCTGTTCCTAAGTTCCTATTCATGTTCCTATTCATTTTAAGGCCCCAGAGATAATGAGGATATGTTTTATTTTCCCAGTTCCATAGAGTCAGAATGATTCAGATCATCTCCCGTCTTACGGAAAACAAACCACGACTGTGCCGTGACGGCTTGCGCCTTGCTCTTCGTTCGTCCTGCATGAGCCTGGGTCTCCACGACAATTGTTTCGGTCACCAAGCGTGAGGGCCGTGAAGGGATTTTGTTCCAACAGAATTGACCGCAAAGTGGGATACAGAATCGGGATATTGAGAAATTAAGGACACATACATCATGATAATTCATGATACCTATCCCAATGTTGTCATAGATTTGAAAGGTTCACCATTGGGATACCAAATGGAATTTTCTTTAGGACTGTTTCATATACAATTGAACAATAAGTTGTTGTGTATGTCAATATTACCAGGTTCGCTGGTTCATATCTCTTTTCAGTATAGATACATGGTCCGTTCATAAACCTAATCAACAACGCCAAACTTTGCAGTTGGCGCTTTTCAGTGATCAGCAGCACCGGCGGGAGGGATCTCAAGTGTCGAAGCAGCATATGGGGTGATCCAAAAATATGAGGGATACCAGGATCCCCAACAAGCATTTAAGAATGGGAAATGATGATAAACCACGGGCTTAGGTGGGCACTAGGCTCTGGCCTGTAAATACCCCATATACGCTACCCCTCTTCGGTGGGCACCATATGAATATTATATCATCCTGAAGTACTAGAACAGTGGATTTTCATAGATATTCCGTTTTATGAAATTAATCTATCTCTACTCCAGGATGACTATACATATGGCTTATTTTATATTGCTTGTGTCTATCCGTCACCCCTAACCGCTATGGCCGATGGCTAACGGGTAGAAACCTTTGGGGAAGTCTTTGATTGAAACCTCTGCGGATACTATTTGCAGAAAGAACATCAGTCATTAAAATAATTAAAGAAAGTATAAGAAACTGATAGAAACTGTAGAAACAAGCATCACTAGAAATCCACCAAAGTTCAAAAATGTTCAAACAGTATAGTGAGAATCCCAAAGCGAGACTCCTAATCGTTGCCTGAAATGTCTGGTAGATCCTTTCGTTTCACCCAAGAACCCAAATAGAAACACCTTAAAAACACAGCGCGCGAGCACCCCAAGATACACCACTACAATAAACATGGATAACATAATATGGTAAAATATGGTAAAAAAAATACCGGGCGAACGGATGAGTTTCTGCTCAGTTAAAACCAAGCTGGGGAATCCCAGAGGTCAATGAGTTAGTTGATCGCTGGGAAAAGCAACGAACTAAATAAGGGGAATGTTCGATTGCCACGAACGGAGAGTCTCCCCACAAGATTTCCTTCATCCATCTCCCGGTCATATCCCTGTCTATTTCCTGTTACCAGTACATTTTGAGGGGAGGGTAGGTAACACACGAACGTCAATCTCTGGAGAACCCTCTGCAGCCGTGCAGAGTTCGTTTTTCCCCGCAACACCCGTGCGCGAAAATCCGCCACCAGGATCCATGAAAGGCCAGGGCTCAACAAAAATGTGATCACCAGAGGATTTTGGAGGTCCAAATTTGGAGACGAAATTGGCTACAAAAAAGACAAAGCAGAATAGAAGATCGACGGGACCCAGAACTTTTAGTGTTAGTTTAGTGATAAACCATCCAATGTTTATAGGAGTCATGCAAAACATGACCTAGCGGTCAATCTGGATATCTTAAGCCCGCGAAGGTAGGGTCCACATAGTCATCATCGGTGGTGAGGTCAAAAATTTAAGACCCACGAAACCATAGATGGAGTGGAAGTTGTTTTTGGTATTGACCATTAATACATGTTACCCTCCGGTTGAGTAATATATAGATGTGGAAACCCACTATTTATAGATAATTTTCCGTGGAAAACCGTTGGCTTTTTATATACAAATATATACAAATATATACAACATCATACAACCTATATCTATGTTACTTAAGACCAGCGATCCCTACGGTATATTTTCTTCATCCATATATTGTAATATATGAAAGATTCACTCGGCCGCCAGTCACGCCCATCACCGTTTTACTTGGTGAAAGTCACGGTGCAGCAGGTGATATCAGGCTGATACTTACATCAAATATGAGTCATGTGTAGCAGGTCCTATCCATCTATCCCCTATAGATAACGAACAATATACATATACAATCATATACAATTGTATGATTATAATTTATATATAATTATATAATTATATAGAATATGTATGGCTAGGCCAAGGGGCCCTGCCTTCCGAATGCGACAGACGCAATAATCCTGGCGTCCGTGCGTCCGTGCGTGGTTTGACTCGCCCGGAGGCCATTTTTTCGGAAAGGCACAATCCATGATGAAAGGCCTTATCCAAGCAGACTTAAAGCAAAATCCACCAGAGAAACCTCTAAAAGTAACCCAAAATTTCGAAAAAAAAACGACAAAAGGAAACAAAAACGGGATGTCTCAAAAATGGTCAAGAATCTCAATTGTTTTTTATAGTTGCTTGAATTTCTGTAGCTTTTGGGTTACTTTGACCGCAAAACGAAAAGCTGTCGTCGCAGAGATCTCTGCTCTCGATCAACCGGGACTACTTGGGCGAGCCCACCTGCGGGTCTTTATGTCACTTTAGAGCCACTTTTTAATTACCATCTGGTTATTTAACATAGCCATGTAAAATCACCATTTTTTATAGGTAAACCATCTATAAATGGGCCATCTATACCATGGCTATGTTAAATAACCAGAGGGAGGGTATGGGAAAGGTGATGTTAAATGATACCCTCCTGTAGACATATGGATGTGGAAAACCCACTTTTTTGTAGGACTTTTTTTTGATCATTTTCCGAACGGAGTTGCCATCGGTTTTCACCAACATAGATGAGGGATGTTAATCATTTTTGGGTACCCCAAATCATTCAAGTCATGGATGACCATGAATTAGGATTTAAACAAGCATGGTGACTTGGGCCCCTATTTCAAGAAACCCTCATGTATAACTTTATCAGATCCCATATGCTCCTTGGTGCAGGATTTTTTACCTACATAACTGGTTCATATTGGCGGTAAATGTTGGTAAATATTCCCATACATGGATCAGAGAATAACATGACCTGATCAATGATCAATGGTCTTTAAACGATCTCAAAATATGATGATAATATTCTCTGATAATGTTCATAGTCTATGGGAACGGCATCACTGAATATAGCAAGATGCTCTCACGGAGTGATCTCGACTTGGAGCTTAAGAATGTTTAACGATGCAGCGAGTTTTGTGCAGATGAGACCTCCAAGTTGTGCTTCATGGACAGTATTGCTGAGGTATCCAGGAAAGGTCGTATTAAACATGCCAACCTTAAAACATCGGCAGGAATCACTAGTAGAGTCAGGTACCACTCCACTCACAGAGTTGCTCTGGTTTGAGGCGTTAAATCATTCAATTTGGCCTGAGAATTAGCAATTTGGGTTTTTAAAAATACCTGACAAGATATGGATTTCTCCCAGTCTCCCAAAATCTCCCTGGCAGAGGTGCATCCCCTGATGAAAACCATGCTGAAACAAGACGTTCTTAGAACCGGTCCCCCTTTTGGGCTTTTGGGAGGAACAGGGGATAAGCCAAACCATATCCAACATGCTACCAAATTTGAATTTCCCATAGGGGATCCAATGCTATGGAAATTCATTCGGGGGATCATGGGATATACCAACATCTGGAATTTCCATATGAATTTCCGGCGTCTCGAAACAAGTGGCTCGCCGGTCCCAGCATCAGATTTTCACTGTACAAGCGGAGAAAACCACGTGACGACTCGAATTCGAAAAAAGCCGTGGATGGGCTGGAAAATCATAGATCTGGATAAGTCATGACAAGTCAAATGGCCCATAGAAATAGATGGTTTACCTAGCTATAAAATGGTGATTTTCCATGGCTATGTTAAATAACCAGATGGAACATTCTAAGATTTAAAGATATTTGAGAAAATATGAGAAAACCAAGCGATCGAATTGATGTATAAATATGTATAAATATCATGATTTCTGGCGCTCCGTCGACTATGAGGTCACTGGAAGCATCCTAAATCATCCAGATCTATCAAGATCTGTCATCATTTCAACCCCCCAGCCGCACGAACCACCAAAATTGCTAGAATCCCCATCCAAAATTCATGGAATTTCCACACCATATATTTCTAGGTTTCATCGAACTCGGTCAACCATGTAGGTCTGCAAAATTAGCTGCTTCCAAATGGATCATCATTTTCTCCAGTATTTTTCATGTAATTTTGGAGAAAGGATCGTCCAAGCTTCCAGATGGCTCAGACCTCCACGTCTCTTGATCAACCCACATTTTTGAAACTGCTGAACAGATGAAAACCATACATGATACATGTAAAAAATCCCCATGATTGGTGACATCCCAAAATGTGTTTCCTTGCGGGCGTTTCCGCGGCTGGGTCAGACGTAGCCCGAAGTGCAGCGCATGTGCTTGGGACGCATCGCGTGGGACATTCCCGGGGAGGGCACCATGGCATCCATGGAGCAGCGCCGTTCCTGAAAATGGCGTAGCGCAGCGTGCAAACATCCAACCAACATGGGGTGTATGGAATGTGTATAAATATATATATATACGTATGTGTGTGTATATGTATAATATATATATGCATATAAAACATTAAAAACAATGTATCTATACATAATCACATTATATATAATATATGTATATACACATATACATACCCAAACAATGGGTTTGCAAGCGATGGCTCCTTTGGGACAAGATGCGCGAATGCAAGTGGGATAGCCATGGGATGTACAACCAATGATCAGGAACTGGGAAGGAAGCAACATATTTCCCAAGGAATCGGAATGAAATCAGATAGACCCGGATTCCCGATGAGGTCATATAAAAACCAAAATGTATAAAAAACCGCGTGGAAGAACTTCATTCACAGCCAACAAGGACAGAATCTCCACTATACCCCAGTTGGCTATCAACCATTCCATGCTAAAGCTTTCCTTGCCACATGGTAAGTTCTATCTGCAACCACAAAGCAACAGCTTTAGCTGTTCCTAGCCTGGGGAGCAACCCAAGCTACCTCATGTAATCAGAACCTAGCAGGGGAATATCCAGTTGATTCTTTCGTCTATGGGAACGAACACCTCTGATATCCTCTTCAAATGGCGGATTGTCCATTGCTCAATCCGTAAAAATTCAGGAAAAACCTACAAGATATCATGGCCCTTACTTCTAAGAGATAATTGGGATTAGGTGTTTCCTATAACGTTAAGGGGGTACCAATTTAAGAACTATGTATCACTTTTTGGGGGAAGCCCTAAATCATCAACAGGCGCTCTTCATCTGGGATTGAAATGATGGCTTCAACATGACATGCTTCAACACCCCCATCAAACATATCTTTTGTTGAGTTACATTCAATCATAGTTCAACAAATTTGGAGGTTTCCTAAGCCATGGGGGGTACCCCAAAAAAAACATCCATTTTAATAAAGGATTTTCCATGAAATAAACCATCCAGCTATTGAGAAAGCTCAATGATCCCTGGGACCCCGCCTGCATACAGCGTACCACCTGTTTGTGATGCTGGGAAATTTCCCATGGCGATTTACGCAGAAAATGGGGGCATTTCATGGTGGTTTAACGGATACTAATATGGCTGGGTAAACTACAATATTTCACTAACCTGAATTAAGGCCATTTCCCTTATTAACCATGATTCCAGTGAGGTCGCCGTGAGGTCGTTATAATTTACCCAGATATGGGTATATGATGGAAATCGAGGATGATCATTGGATGAATCTGGAACAATCTGGGGATTCAAACACATGGGTAAAACCTCCAGGTAATCATATCCAACCTGTCCCTTTACCCAGTAACCATTTACCTGAACAAATTACAAAAAGTTCACCGACCTGAACTACAGTCCTTTTGAAATGGTTACTCCCCCATAATTCTCATTCCGTGTTCCATTGACATCAAAATGGGCATCCATTGAGCTATGAAAAAGGAGGATTGACCCCCAATTTCTGACCATTTGAACAGGAATAATGAGGTTATAAACCATCTAATGTGTGTCTTCTTCAGGTACCAAAGCCACGGTTTTGCTGGGAAATATCATAGAACTCACCCATAGAACCTGCATCGAAATTTCGAACATCCATTCAATCGCAGTTCTCTTGATCCCAACTCAACAATCAGAATCTACAGGATCCAGGATGGTGCCAAGTTATGTTTGTTGATTCATAGTCCCCTCTAGAATACTATATATATAATTAAATATATAATTATGTATATAATTTATATATATATATTATAATTATATACATATATATAGTTATATACATATATATATATATGCATAAATATATATATATATACCCCTAAGCAACCCAAATGAATTGGACGATAATGTTCACCAACTTCACCAACGAACTGGGGCCTCCTGTAGAATTCTCCCAGAAAAAAAGACTTGGTGGTGAACTACCCACGAATCGTAAGTAGGTTATAACATGTTGATTGGCTCGAGATAGTTCGTTGGGGGTTATGACAAAATATAATAAGTAACCGGGTAAATCACCATTCTTCAGGGTAAATCCCACCTTTCCATGGTCATGCCCACGATATGTCCACCATAGATACCTGGTGGTTCATCCCACTTAGTAGCTTAGTTCACTGCAGTTGTAAGTGGATGAAAATCCCATACTTATCCCCCTGAACCATGGATATTTCACGTAGGATTCGCGGCTAGTTCGCCACCATTCGTAGGCTTTATGGATATTTTTCTCGCAGGCGAACGTTTGGACATATGGTAGATTTATGGAACTAATATGAACTGATCAAATGGGCTCATCTCAAAATCTTCTCCCAGATAAATCCCCCAGAAGAATCACCACAGAAAAATCTCACTAGGCATGCTGCGCTCATTGTTTGCTGTCTCTTCTCTTTTTTTTCCATTCAGTTGGGAATGTCATCATCCCAACTGACTTTCACTCCACCATTTTTCAGAGGTGTAGGTCAACCACCAACCAGATTATCATTAACCATATAATAACCATATATTAACCATTATTAACAGTATATTAACCACCCAGGTAACAGTCTTCAGTCTCCCAGCAACAAACAGCAATGACCATAGGGTTAAAACCCCGCCTGTCCCAGGGCCACCGAGTTGGCCCTCTGCGGCGGGTCGAAGCTCAAGCGCCCCTCAATGGAGGCCTTGAACCGCGAACCGCGGTTACCGGGACCTCCAATTTTTTTGGATGCGAAACACCTCAAACCCTGGGAAAACCCGTTGTTTATCCTGGGAAAAAAATGGTGATTGATGGGAAGTTCGCCAAATTCAGGATACGGATGAGGATTAGAATGGGAATACCATCGAATTTGGTCAAATCCGATCCAAAAATCTAGAGGCGAATATACTTTGTTTAATCTTCTTGGGGTTTTAGTATATACTAAATGATTGATCAACTGAATGTCATGGGCAAATCCAAAAGCTGTGTAGATAATCAAGTGTTCCATGTTTCTGGCATACATTCCACTGATTTGTTTTTTTTCGTTTAGCCACTCAATTCAACAGTCAAAATGTTGGATTTCACTTCAGAAAATTGCTAGGTGCATCCCGGGAATAGCTCAAGTGGGTAATAATCATTATGAATCCAGCTATATAGTGAAAAATCCAACTTATATTCAGCCACTTGAGCCATGGAAAATACCCCCATCCCACCCTATGAAATACTGGTTGATTCATAGGCATTCCTATTGCGGGCTACAATCAGGAATAAACCAGATGGTAAGGCCCACTATTTCATAGCCAACGTTCAGTTGCGAAGCCCTTCTTTAAGCTTTATGGCTATCATCCATTTAAATGGGTAGTTCTTGCGGTTCACGTAGTGGCTTAGAGCAATCCCTTTAAAACTAGCTGGTATATCCCCTACCTACAATTTTCCCAAGTGGTGTTTTCGTCACTGGGTATTTTTTGTCACCTATTAACCATGGCCAATCTTAGATACCTCGCCAAAAAATATAGCAGGTCAGGTTACAACATCCCTATTTACCCTCTGGTAAACAAACATAGCTATTGAAAATGACAGTTTATAGTTGATTTACCCATAAAAAAATTGTGATTTTCCATAGTTATGTTAGTTTACCAGGCCGGGTCAATCGCAATGAATTGAAGTGCTCGTCTTAGCACCAGCTGGTCGTGACGACCAGCTGGTGCAGCTGTTGTTCTTGGCGAACTCCTCCATACCCATTAAACCCCCAAATCTTCCAGATTATAACTTGATTATAACCATTAAGACTTGATTTTAAAAAACAACTATATAAAACTTGAAAATAAAAAACACCTACGAAAAAAAAAAAAAAAAACCTATTTTTCGGGGTCCTTTTCTGGTTTTTGTACCTTTTCCAGATCCTGTCTCCGTGTCGCCTGTGCCAAGGCGTAGAGGTGGTTGAAGCGGATCGCCTCTTCAGCGACCTCGCAACATCCCGACTGGTCGGATTTGCGATCCGCGATTTTTTCGATCTCAATGGGGAGTATTCATGGGATAGTATCCATTAATGGGATAGTATCCATTAATGGGATAGTATCCATTAATGGGATAGTATCCATTAATGGGATATATTCATGGGATATATCAATAATCAATAATTAATAATCTCTGATATATCCCATTACTGGTCGGTGGTTGACCTACCCCTCTGAAAAATATGAAAGTCAAATGGGATTATTCTTCCCAGTACATGGAAAAACAAAAAATGTTCCAAACCACCAACCAGATTAATTATTGATTATTCATGGGATATATCCCATTATTCATGGGTGATTAATCTTTGATATTTACCAGAAGGCATCAGAAATATCATCTTGCCGAATGGATTATAATTACCCTCTGGCAATTTAACATAGCTATGGGAAATGACCATTTATAGTTGATTTTCCCATGAAAAATTGCCATTTTCAATAGCTATGCTAAATTACCAGAGGATAATCTTTGATATTTACCTAATATATCCCATTAAATGATGAAAATTTTTAAAATTCATCCCCACTATCATACAGTACATATATATGATATATACAGAATCATATATGCAATGTGGAACCCCCCAGTGATGTTTGTTGGTTTATAAACCCCATTGACTGTAGTTATTTGCATATCATAAACCCTAGTTATTGAAGTTCTGTTCACCAACTTAGCTATCGGGCCTCACATTGTAATCTTTGATATTTACCTAATATTCTTACTAATCTTAAGTAAATGGGATTTACAATTATCAATTATAGTAAAGTGGGATTCCCTAACCCAATATATCACTAGTTTAGCAATGATAATTATGATTTTAACAATGGGATTGTTTTATGGGACTTTCCCATGAAATGATGATATATTATGGGATAATCAATGATGTTTTTTTTCGTAACGGGACTTGTGATATTCAGGAGGTAAATCCCAACTATCAACGGGTTTTACTCAGTGTGTGTCCACCGTTACAAAAAGAAGACTGCAAAATGGATATCTCATACGTTGCCATATGCCATTCATCTCCATGAAAATCCCATGAATAATATGTCATAATCTTCACTTTTCTAAGTCCCTGGTCATTCCATATGCCATCCAAAATCCCATGAATAATATCTAGATAAATATAGATCAATAAACATATAATATAAACACATATAAAAATATATAATGTGCTTAAATAACCATAAATAGGTGGTATGCTTACCATTCCCAGTCATGGGTAGTTTATGACATTGTTTTAACCACATTCGTAGCATTTAACCAAGAAAAATGGGGATGATACCCTCTAGTAAACCAACATAGCTATGGAACATATCACCATTTCAGAGGTAAACATATATAAATTACCCTCTGGTTATTTAACATAGCCATGGAAAATCATGGAAACTCACCATTTTTAATAGGTAAACCATCTATAAATGGGCCATTTTCCATGGCTATGTTAAATAACCAGAGGGTAAACATAATAAGAAATACTTCACCTGAAAAGTTCGGGCCCTTTTTCACCAACACGTTGCCCGCCTGACGCCGCCCTGTCGCATAGCCACTGGCTGCGGCTGGGCCCTCGCCGAAGCGAAGCACTTGCCGTCGTTGAAAACCTCAGCGTTTTGGTAACAGGCCTGGTATAGGATCGGTTAAGATACAGATGACATATAATATATATATATACAATGTGATTGCTAAACTAGTGATATATTGGGTTATAGAATCCCATTTTACTATCATTGATAATTGTAAATCCCATTTACTGTAAGATTAGCAAGAATATTAGGTAAATATCAAAGATTACAATGTGAGGCCCGATAGCTAAGTTGGTGAGCATAACTTCAATAACTAGGGTTTATGATATGCAAATAACTACAGTCAATGGGGTTTATAAACCAACAAACATCACTGGGGGGTTCCACATTGCATATATGATTATGTATATATCACATATATGTACTGTATGATAGTGGGGATTATTTTAATTAAAAATAATAATGATAATTTGATGGCATATGGTGGGGATCTGTTTGATCAGGAGGCATGAGGTTTTCTTTTACATACATATATGGGAAATGTATGGAAATGCGTTATAGATGGGATTACAATGAGGATATCATATGATATGTGATACCTTCTGGTAAACCAGGTTTTTATCAACTATAAATGAGCCATTTTCCATAGCTTTTTGTATGTTTACCAGAGGCTAAATACCCACGGTTGAGCCAAAATTCATCATCCCCATGACCAGGAATTGCCGCCTCAAATCCACGTCTTCTACAGGTCAATCCCCAGGGGTTTTGTTGCATGAAACAAGGCCGGGGCCAAAATGTCAGTTCGAGGGACCTTAGATTTCTTTCCACTGATTTCCAAACATTGAGAAAACCCTGCTTCTAAGCACCAAAAGTGCTGTTTGACCTCTGCAGAAAGATAACAAAATCTGATCCCAGAATTGACCACCAAGAACTGCCGATGTTAAACCACTATATAACTATAGTCCTAGCCACCAAAAATACAGCAAAAAACCACATGTATTTGCAGTGATCCAACATAGAAACACTGCACCACCAAGAAATGTTTTGACCGGATCAAACCATGGTTTGCTGGAAAGTCCGCCATTTACTTCGGTGGTTTTCTCATTAAAACCCTCCATGTTTTCGTGGAAATTACCCAGTTAGCCATGGTTTAATACCCATCATAGGCATCGAAAACCCCTTAATATATCCGACTAATATTAAATATTAATGCACTAATATTTGTTTATCAATAATATATGTATTTATTAAGAATTATTAACATGTTCCGGCACAAAATTGATCGTTAAATCACCATGTGTTCGTTCATCCCAAAATCCACCATGAAAACCATTCGGCAAGATGAAGCCGCAACGCCAAGCCACTTGCCGTGTAGCTCGACATGCATAGCTGATTCACCCTGCGTTGCATCCCAGAAGTCGAAAAGTCGGATCATCATTCCCGGCAGGAAAATAGAAGCGATTTGAAACCACCAACCAAAGTGTTTATTACTGGTTGGTGGTTTCAACCCCTCTGAAAAATTTAGTCAGTTGGGATTATTATTCCCAATCTATGGGAAAAAAATGTTCCAAACCAGATTATCTTTAAGAATGTCAGGATGTGAAGGCAACCTCATTGAATAGTAACCCGGTTTTGAATGATATTAAATGTGTCTGATGAGCAATGCGATGATCATGCGATGAGAATGGTATCGGTATCACGAATAAAATAGTGACATAATATTGGTGTGTCCAAAATGGTATGCTGGTATGCCGCAAAATTGCACTTCTCATCGGAAAAAATGTTGAGAATGATAAGGCACCTCCAATCACCCCCGGTGGGCATGCGCAAGTAACAAAAAGCCGGAAACCACTAGGGAGATGGGCTAGGGCAAAGCTTTCCCGTTTGCAAACTAACAGGTACCCCTTATTAAAGTGGCAAGGAGTCCCCCATGAATTGAAGGATAAATCTATATCCTAACTGAACATATTTGTATATTATATATGTAATAGATAGATCAAATGTGGGAATCTGCTCAAACTTAGATACTGGGGTTCAACCCATTTTATCAAATGTGTGGGTCCCGGTTGAGGTCTTGAAACAAACCCATTCCATCCACTGCCCGGGGCACCTTTGCTTCACTGCATCTTGCAAGAGCTGCTGATCACTCTGTGAAAGCTCCTGTTGGCAAGGAAAAAACGCAGAGATGGACCCCTGCAATCCCAATGTTCCTGGGGGGTTGCCCTAGAACACTTCGATCGGGTGAGTCAACCCCTGAACTCTAAGCAGGCACGCAGATCCAATCATCGTAAATTGCTGAAGAACATGCCGTTCCTTGAAATTTCGCACCCGAAGATCAGTTTCCACTTGCAAATCCTGTCCATGTTTCAGGGTCCATGTCAGGTGTTACCCTCTGGTAAACGTTTACATAACGATGGAAAATCACAATTTTCAATGGGAAAATCCACTATTTCAATGGCCATTTGCAATAGCAAACTGTTAGTTTACCAGGTGTTACTGTATCCAAACGTGAAGTCTCCTCAACTCCCATGGATTGCTGGTGGCTGCTCGACTGGACTTTTTTTTTTGCGGACCTATGATTTCCGTTGCCACGATTGCCACTGCGCAACGGAAAATATCATGAGATACTGTGGATGGTTAAGAAATCCTGCACCAGTTGGTAACTATTAAAAAATGTAAATAATGGGATTATAACATATTATAACGGGATAAACCATTTACCATCTGATGCAGGGCTTCTTCCATCCACAGTATCATGAGACGTGACTAACACCCTTTGCAGCCTATGCCAAGAAGCACCTATCTATCCCAAGCCCTGACCCTGACTGAACTTAAGTACCATGTGGAAAGAAAGGTACCCTCTGGTAATTTAATATTATCTATGGAAAATTGTCATTTATAGTTGATTTACCTTCAAAAAGCTTTTCCTCAGCTATGTTAGTTGACCAGAGGGTAGCTATAAAATGCCATGAACTATATGTCCCAAGGGGGGGCAAAAATTACGCTACGAGCTGAACCCCAACTACCCTACCGTTGCTGAAATCCTCATCCTTTCCCCAAATCATCATTTCTTATACCTGGTTGGTGCTAGTTTCTCGGTTGAAGAAACTAGCACCAACCATATTTTTTTAACATGTCGCATATTGCTGGTTACCCTCTGGTTATGTCAACAGTTTGCTATTGAACATGGCCTTCTAGTTCGCTGATTTACCCACTAAAAATTGTTTTGTTCCATAGTTATTTGTTATAATACCTGGTTGGTGGTTTCAACCCTACCCCTCTGAAAAATGATGGACAACTCGTCAGTTGGGCTTATGACATTCCCAACTGTTTCTGGAAAGTCATCAAATTCCATGGTTCCAGTCACCACCAATCAGCGGCCGCCATGGGATATCCTCCATGTCAGATGGTTAGATCACCCCCTAACCATCGGTGGATCATCCCATTGAGTGGTATACCCGGGTACTACAACTGGGTCATGACATGGCTATTAGCCAGAAAATTAGCCAGAAATGAACCACTCACTCACCTTGGATTTGCTTGAACCTGGGAACTCAAAAAAAATGAACCCATGTGTCTTTCATCATTTTCAGCAAATCCATATTAATGTTGGATCCCGATTAGTATGGTGGGTGGAAAATTATGTCAAGTTCTTTGAACATAAAACTCGCTGAACTGATGAGGGTGAATTATATCATATCTGGTTGGTGGTTTCAACCCCTCCGAAAAGTATTTGTCAGTTGGGATGATGACATTCCCAATATATTACTGGGCAAATTATAATAATTCACTAACCTGAATCTTGCGGCCATTTGGGGATGATTTCCCATACATTCACCATGATTCCAGGGCTCGGTCGCAGTGAGGTCGTTATAATTTACCCAGAATATATGGAAAGCCATAAAATTCCATGGTTCCAGTCACCACCAACCAGATATCATCCCCAATCATCCCATTGCAGTCCCAAAGATCTCCCATTCCCGCAGCTGAGTTCACCCACTGCTTGGGGCTTCCGCTGTGGATAGCCACCAACGCCGCGCGCGTCCTGCGCAGAGAAGCCAAAAAGGATTTAAGTTTTTTGGATCTTCAGAGATGGTTTATATAGCCAGTAGCGATGGGGATGTATTTTATGGTCTTATGACTTATCAAAGGAAGTTTAGGGGGAGAAACTTCCGTGTTACGGACTTTTAGAATGTCAGGGAAAGAGTTAGTCAAAGAAAGAGTTAGTCAAAGAAACAGTTAGTCAGGGAAAGAGTTAGTCAAAGAAAGAGTTAGTCAAAGAAAGAGTTAGGGAAAGAGTTAGTCAAACAGTTAGTCAGGGAAAGAGTAGTCAAAGAAAGAGTTAGTCAGGGAAAGAGTTAGTCAAAGAAAGAGTTAGTGAGGGAAAGAGTTAGTCAAAGAAAGAGTTAGTCAAAGAAACAGTTAGTCAGGGAAAGAGTTAGTCAAAGAAAGAGTTAGTGAGGGAAAGAGTTAGTCAAAGAAAGAGTTAGCAAAGAAAGAGTTTAGTCAAAGAAAGAGTTAGTCAAAGAAACAGTTAGTCAGGGAAAGAGTTAGTCAAAGAAAGAGTTAGAGAAAGAGTTAGTCAAAGAAAGAGTTAGTCAAAGAAACAGTTAGTCAGTTAGTCAAAGAAAGAGTTAGTCAAAGAAAGAGTTAGTGAGGGAAAGAGTTAGTCAAAGAAAGAGTTAGTCAAAGAAAGAGTTAGTCAGGGAAAGAGTTAGTCAAAGAAAGAGTTAGTGAGGGAAAGAGTTAGTCAAAGAAAGAGTTAGCAAAGAAAGAGTTCGTCAGGGAAAGAGTTAGTCAAAGAAAGAGTAGTCAAAGAAACAGTTAGTCAGGGAAAGAGTTAGTCAAAGAAAGAGTTAGTGAGGGAAAGAGTTAGTCAAAGAAAGAGTTAGTCAAAGAAGAGTTAGTCAAAGAAAGAGTTAGTGAGGGAAACAGTTAGTCAGGGAAAGAGTTAGTCAAAGAAAGAGTTAGTGAGGGAAAGAGTTAGTCAAAGAAAGAGTTAGTGAGGGAAAGAGTAGTAGTTAGCAAAGAAAGAGTCAGGGAAAGAGGTAGTCAAAGAAAGAGTTAGTGAGGGAAAGAGTTAGTCAAAGAAAGAGTTAGCAAAGAAACAGTTAGTCAGGGAAAGAGTTAGTCAAAGAAAGAGTTAGTCAGGTGAGGTAGTCAAAGAAAGAGTTAGCAAAGAAACAAGTTAGTCAAAGAAAGAGTTAGTGAGGGAAAGAGTTAGCAAAGAAACAGTTAGTCAGGGAAAGAGTTAGTCAAAGAAAGAGTTAGTGAGGGAAAGAGTTAGTGAGGGAAAGAGTTAGCAAAGAAAGAGTTCGTCAGGGAAAGAGTTAGTCAAAAAGAGTTAGTGAGGGAAAGAGTTAGTCAAAGAAAGAGTTAGTGAGGGAAAGAGTTAGTCAAAGAAAGAGTTAGTCAAAGAAACAGTTAGTCAAAGAAAGAGTTAGTCAAAGAAAGAGTTCGTCAAAGAAACAGTTAGTCAAAGAAAGAGTTAGTCAAAGAAAGAGTTAGTCAAAGAAAGAGTTAGTCAAAGAAAGAGTTAGTCAAAGAAAGAGTTAGTCAAAGAAACAGTTAGTCAGGGAAAGAGTTAGTCAAAGAAAGAGTTAGTCAGGGAAAGAGTTAGTCAAAGAAAAAGTTAGTCAAAGAAAGAGTTAGTGAGGGAAAGAGTTAGTCAAAGAAAGAGTTACTCCAAAGAAAGAGTTAGTCAAAGAAAAGTTTAGGGTGAGGGCAAAGTTAGGTCACAGCAAGAAGTTATCTGTCAAAGAAACAGTTAGTCAGGGAAAGATTTAAGTCAAGAAGAGTTCGTAGGGAAAATAAGTTAGTGCACAGAAAATTTAAGGTCAAAGAAGTAAAGAGTTAGTCAAAGAAAGAGTTAGTGAGGGAAAGAGTTAGTCAAAGAAAGAGTTAGCAAAGAAAGAGTTCGTCAGGGAAAGAGTTAGTCAAAGAAAGAGTTATAGTCAAAGAAACAGTTAGTCAGGGAAAGAGTTAGTCAAAGAAAGAGTTAGTGAGGGAAAGAGTTAGCAAAGAAACAGTTAGTCAAAGAAAGAGTTATCAAAGAAACAGTTAGTCAGGGAAAGAGTTAGTCAAAGAAGGGAGAGTTGCCCGATGGAGTTTCGAATGGTGTGCGTGGAGTTTTTTTGGAGGAAAGTCTCGGCACGAAATGCGTTTTTTGAGAGATAGCAGATTCCCGAAACCCCTATGTTTTTCCATATCAAAGTCCGTTCCCCCAACCTCGATGATCTACCACTCTGCGGTGCGAACGTTTGCGAGACGGTCCTCGTGTTGGTCCGGATCATCCTCGGTTGGTCCGTCTCGGTTCCGCATTGTACTGGGGTTTCAATCAAACTGTTTTTCGTGCATGTGTGGTCGACAGAATTCCATTGTGATTTGCAACTGTAGGATCGTTCCCTCATTGTAAATGGGGTTGCAAGTGGTGCTGGTGGATGAGTTGCTGATGGAATTCCATTGTGATTTGCAACTCTAGGATCGTTCCCTCACTGTAAATGGGATTGCAAGTGGTGCTGGTGGAGGAGTTGCCGATGGAGTTTTGCAGAAAGTCTCGCACGAAATACGTTTTTGAGAGATAGCAGATGCAAGAAACCCTATGTTTTTCCATACAAAGTCCGTCCCCGAACCTCGATGATCTACCTCTGCGGTGCGACGGGTGCGAGACGGTCTCGTGTGTGGTCGGATCATGCTCGGATGGTCTCGGATCGGTCTCGGATCGGTTCCGCATTGTAAATGGGGTTTCAACTGTTTTTCGTGCATGTGTGGTTGACAGAATTCCATTGTGATTTGCAACTGTAGGATCGTTCCCGCATTGTAAATGGGATTGCAAGTGGTGCTGGTGGATGAGTTGCCGATGGCATTCCATTGTGATTTGCAACTCTAGGATCGTTCCCTCACTGTAAATGGGATTGCAAGTGGTGCTGGTGGAGGCGTTGCCGATGGAGTTTTGCAGAAAGTCTCGCACGAAATGCGTGTTTGAGAGATAGCAGATGCACCGAACCGCGATGATCTACCTCTGCGGTGCGACGGTTGCGAGACGGTCTCGTGTGTGGTCGGATCATCCTCGGATTGGTCTCGGATCGGTTCCGCATTGTAAATGGGGTTTCAACTGTTTTTCGTGCATGTGTGGTCGACAGAATTCCATTGTGATTTGCAACTGTAGGATCGTTCCCACATTGTAAACGGGGTTGCAAGTGGTGCTGGTGGATGAGTTGCCGATGGAATTCCATTGTGATTTGCAACTGTAGTATCCTTCCCGCAATGTAAATGGGATTGCAAGTGGTGCTGGTGGAGGAGTTGCCGATGAAGTTTTGAAGGAAGTCTCGCACGAAATGCGTTTTTGAGAGATAGCAGATGCACGAAAGCCTATGGTTTTCCATACAAAGTCCGTCCCCGAACCTCGATGATCTACCTCTGCGGTGCGACGGGTGCGAGACGGTCTCGTGTGTGGTCGGAACGGTTTCGGATCATGTTCGGATCATGGTCGGATCGGTTCCGCATTGTAAATGGGGTTTCAACTGTTTTTCGTGCATGTGTGGTCGACAGAATTCCATTGCAACTGTAGGATCGTTCCCGCATTGTAAACGGGGTTGCAAGTGGTGCTGGTGGATGAGTTGCCGATGGAATTCCATTGTGATTTGCAATTCTAGGATCGTTCCCTCGCTGTAAATGGGATTGCAAGTGGTGCTGGTGGAGGAGTTGCCGATGAAGTTTTGAAGGAAGTCTCGCACGAAATGCGTTTTTGAGAGATAGCAGATGCACGAAACCCTATGTTTTTCCATACAAAGTCCGTCCCCGAACCTCGATGATCTACCTCTGCGGTGCGACGGTTGCGAGACGGTCTCGTGTGTGGTCGGATCGGTCTCGGATCATTCTCGGATCGGTCTCGGATCGGTTCCGCATTGTAAATGGGGTTTCAACTGTGTTTCGTGCATGTGCGGTCGACAGAATTCCATTTGTGATTTGCAACTGTAGGATTGTTCCCGCAATGTAAATGGGATTGCAAGTGTTGCTGGTGGATGAGTTGCCGATGGAATTCCATTGTGATTTGCAACTGTAGGATCGTTCCCGCAGTGTAAATGGCTGCGTCAAGGTTGCTTCGTGCTGTGGCTGCATTCGTAATACTAGTGTCTTTTGCAGCTGGATCTCGTAAATCGTATTGGAGTGGCTGCATGAAGCCTGCGACAGTGATTTGTCAGCAGATTTTCTCCATTTTGGCGCTAATGATTTTCCTTCTAAAAATCCTTTTAGAAAGTGCTTCAAAATCGTCTTTTTTTTTTCGCTCTGGCGTCGAGATCCGGTTTTGGAGCTACAATTTCCGACGCCGTTGCGCGTAGTTCTATTGTGTTTTGCAACTCAGTCTCTGCAGATCGCATTGTAATGGCTGCGTCAAGGTTGCTTCGTGCTGTGGCTGCATTCGTACTACTATTGTCTTTTGCAGCTGGACCTCGTAAATCGTATTGGAGTTGCTGCATGAAGGCTGCGACAGTGATTTGTCAGCAGATTTTCTCCATTTTGGCGCTAGTGATTTTCCTTCTAAAAATCCTTTTAAAAAGTGCTTCAAAATCTTTTTTTTTCGCTCTGGCGTCGAGATCCGGTTTTGGAGCTACAATTTCCGATGCCATTGCGCGTAGTTTTCTTGTGTTTTGCAACTCAGTCTCCGCAGATCGCATTGGAATGGCTGCGTCAAGGTTGCTTCTTGCTTTGGCTGCATGCGTAATGTCTTTTGCAGCTGGATCTCGTACATCGTCTTGGACTGGCTGCATGAAGGCTGCGAAATGGATTTGTTAGAAGATTTTCTCCATTTTGGGCGCTAGTGTTTTTTTGTTGCACGTAGGTTTAGAGCAGTGTGAAGTGTGGGGCGTGAAGAGTGCAGTGTGAAGTGTGCAGTGTGAAGGAAGCAGTGGGAAGTGGGAAGTGTGAAGTGTGGAGTGTGAAGTTTAAGTTTGGAGTGCGAAGAGCGCAGTGTGAAGTGTGAAGTGTGAAGTGTGAGGTTTGGAGTGTGAAGGAAGCAGTGAGAAGTGTGAAGTGTGGACTGTGAAGTGTGAAGTGTGAGGGAAGTGTGGAGTGTGAAGTGCGAAGTGAGAAGTGTGAAGTTTGGAGTGTGAAGTTTGGAGTGGGAAGGAAGCAGTGAGAAGTGAGAAGTGTGAAGTGTGGACCTTGTGAATTTGGAGTGCGAAGGAACAGTGAGAAGTTCGTCACGTGGACTGTGAAGTGTGAAGTGGTTGAATTGTGGACTGTGAATTGTGAAGTGTGAATGTGACTTGTGAAGTGTGAATTGTGTGCAGTGTGAGTTTGGAGTTTGACGGAAGCATTGGGAGAAGTGTGAGATGGTGGACTGTGAAGTGTGAAGTGGGTTAGTGAAAAAAACGGGGTGGGGTTTTTTGGCCCGTGCGAAGTGCGAAGTGAGAAGTGTGAAGTGTGAGTTTTGGAGTGTGAAGTTTGGAGTGGGAAGGAAGCAGTGAGAAGTGAGAAGTGTGAAGTGTGGACTGTGAAGTGTGGAGTGTGAAGTGCGAAGTGTGAAGTGTGAAGTTTGGAGTGTGAAGGAAGCAGTGAGAAGTGAGAAGTGTGAAATGTGGAGTGTGAAGTGTGAAATGCGAAGTGAGAAGTGTGGACTGTGAAGTGAGAAGTGTTAAGTGTGGACTGTGAAGTGTGAAGTGTGAAGTGTGGACTGTGAAGTGTGAAGTGTGAAGTGTGGACTGTGAAGTGTGAAGTGTGCAGTGTGAAGTGTGGACTGTGAAGTGTGAAGTGTGCAGTGTGAAGTGTGAAGTGTGAAGTGTGAGGTTTGGAGTGTGAAGGAAGCAGTGAGAAGTGAGAAGTGAGAAGTGTGGAGTGTGAAGTGTGGAGTGTGAAGTTTGGAGTGCGAAGAGTGCAGTGTGCAGTGTGAGGTGTGAGGTGTGGAGTGTCGAGGGAAGGACACGGTCGGGACAGGTTGTCTTTGAACTATAGGTCATTTATGTTTGGGAAACTTCCGCCGCCGGCTTGCCCGGGTCTATGTTATTTGATATCAATCAATAAAATCAGTGATACATTAACCAGTAGAAATGGTAATTCAAGCAGTAAACATGGAGATTTTAACCAGCACACATTGGGATTTCACTGGCAAAATGGGGATAGAAGTGACGATTCGCCAACCAAAAACTCAATGGCAACGTGGCACAGTCCCCCACCTTCGCTTGGCCTTCTGAAGCAGTTCCGATTCGTAGGACTCTCCAACCATTCACAGTCGATCCACTCACTTTGGAACCCATCAAAAATATGAAGATTCTAGAAAATCTACAGGATATTGGATATATTTATCCATGATCTTTTTGATGGATTGTGTAATAGTATTTATCTACCTATGGAAACCCAATGATCTATTCATATCATCTAGACTCAATGGCCATTTCAGGTACACTGGAGGTACGACGTCCATATAAAGCCACAGAACTTGGAGGTATATCCCCGGTATAAAGCCATAGAACTTGAAAAACTCCAATAAATCGGTTCCTGAAATGGCAATTTTTCTAGACATGGACGATAGATTGAGGATTTTCATCACCGGATAGACGTAGACGTTGAGTTATCATCGCCAAGTTCAGCGAACATGAGTATACCGTATAGCAACAACCATTGGGTATCTTTGGAATATGAAGATGCTGTATATATATATATGTATGTAATTGTATACCATCATACTTTGGATTATATTCCATCAGATGCTGGTTACCATTTGGCAATTTAACCAGTTCCGATGGTTAGGTTCAATAACCATAGGGTAAAATCCTCATGCTCATTAATTCAAAGTCTTCCAAAAAAGAAATATCAGATTCTGGCTGAATTATATTAAATATCAATTCACTAACTTGAAAATAACTAAAATTAAAACATCATTCTGTTGGCAGAAACAGTGAAGTCACAACATAGTTTATCATAACTTATCCAGATCAAATGTTCCCAGTCCAATACTTGGTGGCTCACCCCAGGAATCGGCTTCCCGGGTTACTCACTCACTTACGATTGGGATGAGCCACCATGTAGTTTGGGAATAAAATAGATATATCATGGATTTAATTAATGGATGTAATGGGCGTTGATATAGTATATATTATGTATATATTATGTATATATTATGTATATACTGTAATGGATACAATGGATCCAAATATTAGTTATATATATTATATATATTATATATTATATTATATTTATATGTATTATATATTATATATATATTATATATTATATATATTATATATATATTATATATTATATATATTATATATATATTATATATATTATATTATATATATTATATATTATATATATTATATATATATATATATATATATATATTATTATATTATATATATATATTATATATTATATATATAGTTCCAGGTGTTTCATATATTCCAATGTATTCAATACATATTCCAGAGATCCCACCATATCCCCATAAAGGATCCTCATCTTTTGGTGGAATTCATCGCGTTGACATTGTGACCTCCACAGCTGTCCTGCCAACAGACGAAGGTCTGAACCTTGCCATCGGCACCTGACGCTTGACATCGGCGGAGGACCTGAAAGATATCCTAAAATCATCTAAAATCCATGGCTGGTGAAGTGAAAAAACATGAAAAAACAACTTAGTATAGAAAAAGAGATGTTACATCTAAGTTCTATTTTCCAGGACCCGTCCAGTCGATTCTGCCCCAGTTTCACCAAAAAGGGAAATCTCAGAGGAAAATCCATGGCATGAAATCCAATGTTTTCTGTCATCAAATCGAGGTTGAACAACCTCGAATTGGATGGATCAAAACTTATCATGGAGACCTATGGATCCCAGCTATCCCAGCTATTTTGTTGTGAACAAAAAGGGCTGCAGTCTGGACGACTTGACGACTTGACGAGGGTCGCTCCAGGATGAGGGGATTTGACCCAACCCGAACCCATGCTTGACCAAACTTCGAGTGGTTCCGTGTTCTGCTGTTTTTTTCCCCGCAAATTGTGGGAAAACTGTTCAACACCCTTTTTATGTCATCCATTCAGGCTGGTTGGTGGTCGGATTCTAAGTGGTCGAAATGCCGATAACTGGTCCATGGTCATTGCCATACGGCAGGCATGTTACCTTCATCTGGTGCGCCTGACCTTGATCTTTCAGGAGAATTGTCTGTGATCTAGCTGAGCTTGCCACGTCACACCTTCTTCAGGTTGAGATGATGGGCCATGACAGCAATGGCAGTGGCAGGTGTGGCAAACTTGTTCTCGGCACTCGCAAAGTTTGCAGCATCCATAGACTCCCTGAGACGTTGAATGAGTCCAATTGCAACGTCCACCGTGGAGAAGTCATCAGTCCACTCAGCAATGTTGTAGCCCTGGAAGCGGACCATGCCTGACTTCTTAGCGTCACGTAGTCCCACTTGGATGATTGGTTTGTCATCCAACTGGCTTGGGCTTGCCCAGTCGGTTACTCACCTCGCATGGTCCCATTGATCTACTCCAATCCTCATTTAGTCGTCAAAATATGGCTGGATTGTGATATATCTGATATGAGTCATAGTTATTAAATGTTATTAACTAATAGATCTAATAGTAACTGTGATTAACTAATAGTTCCTGTGACTTTTGTGACAGTTATGGTTGACTGATCCCATTGGGGTTTCCCCGCGATTTCGTGGATTGTGATGATATCCCAACGCTGCACCTCTACGGTGAGCCTCGCCAAGGAGCTCAAGGTTTTCGCCTGCGCAGTCTCGGAGTGATGGTAGGGTCAAATGGTAACTAAAAAAACCACCAAACACCGGGGAAATGATAAAAAAAATGAGGTTTTTTACATGTTTTTACCATGTTTTACCAACTCAAGCGGTGTTGTAATCGCTACATCCTGTACTTGCTGCAGTTGGAAGGTAGCTTTGTGGCTACTTGCACCCTGAATCACAAGGGTAAACCAACTGGGTTGTTTCAAAGATCCGCATATCCCCATATGGTCCCATAGTTTCATGATCAAACGCGCCAAAAAAAACCATCACCTTGAGGATTACACTCCGCTAACATAGAACCTGCCAAAGAATTAGGGGCTTGGAAGATTACATTCCACGAAAAAGATCCAAAAAGTGTCTATTGATGAATTTGGTGGAGAATAAAACCTCTGGTAAACCAACATAGCGAAGGAAACTCACCTTTTCTTATGGGTAAATCAACGAAACAAATGGCCATGTTCAAGAGCAAACTGTAACCAATTACCAGTGGCTAAGCAGCAGTACCAGCAGTTTTTTTGGGGTATGTATATCGTGGGGGATCTCCCATGAAGATCTCATGGAATTCCCATGAAAATCGAAGGTTCCAAGCCACCCGCAGAGCTGGCAGAGGCAGAGCTGCGCAGCTCGCGCAGCTCGCGCAACGTCGCAACCTGGTGTGTGTTTTCGCAAAGTCCACAGAGTTTAAGGCCCTTTGCCATGTATATAAATGGCTACAAAATGGTTATAAAATAAAATGGCTATTTTTTTAAAAAAAAAAAAGTTATAAATTGCTATAAAATGGTTATATTTGTTTTATAAATTGCTATAAAATGGTTATAGATGGTTATAAAATAAAATGGCTATAAAATTGCTATAAATGGCTAAAAAATTGCTATAAAACTGCTATAAATTGCTATAAAATGGTGATAAATCGCTATAAAACAAATGGCTATAAAATTGCTATAAAAGTGTTATAAAATAGTTATAAATGGCTATAAAATTGCTATAAATCGCTATAAAATTGTAATAATAGGGTTGTTATTCCATAAGTGGGGTGACTTACTGACTTATAACTGCTTTGGGAAGTGTTGGAGATGCTACAGCTGGTGGAGCACTAGTAGTACATCACTTAAATGCCAAAATTTACTGAGCTCATACATATATATATATATTGTAATTATATATTATATGTTTAATAATGTTATATATATATATATTACATCGTAAAATTCAAACATCGACATCGATCTACATATACGTAAGTATTCTCTATAGATTATCGGAAACATGTCGCTGAAATCATCGAAACTTGCTCTCAAGATTTGCGTTCTCATCGGTTGAATCCACTGTTCTTATGAAAAAAAACATGTCGTTAATGTTGCTGGTTTTCCATCGGTTAATTTGATAACAACGGTAGATTCACTGGTAGATTGAATCCACAGTTGATATCTAATCGGTTTATTTCATTAATCGGTGTTCATTGTTTAGCTTTCTGCTTCTTAAATATGCAAGCTCTTCAGCAAAAAACGGCTGTTCCATCCCATCAAAAACCATCAAATTGTGCCCACGATGATTTGGGATCCAGTCCCACAAAGGTAACCCCTCAAATATGTCTGGTTGGTGGGTGGTTAATATACTGTTAATAATGGTTAATATATGGTTATTATATGGTTAATGATGGTTAATGTGGTTAATAATAATCTGGTTGGTGGTATACCTACCCCTCTGAAAAATGATGGAAAATATTCGTCAGTTGGGCTTATGAAATTCCCAACTGTTTCTGGAAAGTCATAATCCATTCATGTTCCAAAGCACCAATCAGATTAGATGGTTAAGAAGCCCGTCTCTAAATGTGGTCCTTGGTGATTAATATTGATTCGCCCAAAGCAGCCTCTGGGGAGGGTGTCAAATTATGTCCTATCCCAGTTTTGGTCATCCTGGAGAGGACGAATATGGAAATGTCAAAAAAAGATCATCACAAAAAATGGAAATATGTTTGCAAATCCCATGTTCTATCTACTTCAGGATGATTAGATCTCCATAAACCTACCATTTTCCTTAGAACATCACCAGTTATCCTCATATTTTCATGGTTTTATACACCCACAACGTTGCTTGGTACCGTCATCCTCATAAAAAGACTGACGAAGTCTCTGTCATTCGAGAATACTGGTTGGGTAATAGGGATTCCCATAAAGGATCATGATAATCTCCTATATTACAATACAATGATATCATATAATGCTCTTAATATATATATATATAGTATATGATATCATAAACCAACTGAGGTTTTTGAACATTGCTCATTATGTTAAGCAATATTAAGTACCCAGTTCTGTTGGTTAGTGAAAAATCAAACCCTGGATAATCATATGAAGTCGTATGATATTTCCATTATTGGGTTCATTGAATCCTCATCCAATTCGACTGATTTGGTTTGCACATCTCCCTCACGATAGGGGTACCCCCTAATCCCCGATAAGTCAGTTAGTAAAACCCCCTAAATGAACCCATCAACAAGCATCTATCACTTATGTCCCAATATCTTTGACATCCAAAACACTTAAATCCAAATATATAATTGTATATGTGATGGTTTAAAAAACAAAAAAAAGTAACAACAAATATCCAACAATCAAATCCTATTAAAATCCATAAAAACAAATAAGTGCCATTCAAAATCCCATTAAACTCATATAAATCCATGCTACATCCCAGTCCCAACGCCCCGGTGTTCGGTACCTTTTCCACGGTCACTTCGTAGCTGCAGCTCTCGGAGCTCGAAGTAGAGCTGCCGGAAGATCTCCGCGGAGCTCGGGTGAGCTTGGGTCACTTTGAAGTCTCATGGTGGGAATGATATTCTACATGTATATATATATATTATTATATGTATAATATTATATATAGTTGATATGATACATATACATGTATATATATATACGTATTATGATATATATATATATAATGATATATATATATCATTCCAAACATTAGACTTCACTAATGGATTGCAATGTATAGTTTGATATAAATCATATATAGAATCATGCTGTGTATATATATATAGTAGTTGTTGTTGTTTAATGAGATGAATATATAGTTAATATCACATGATATACGATGATAATACATATATATATATAGTGATACATAATGATATATATAGTATAATATAGTGTGATATAATGATATAGTTTCAATTTATCACTAGTTCAGTGGTGAAATTAAAACTGTCCTGCTTGGACAGTGTATCTGGACATGGGGAGTACCATATCATGATAGCAAGAACGATCATAATATACCCAAAAAACGATAACCCTTACACATAGTTACTATTTCACAATAAGAAGAATGATGTGTGTATGTACATATATATATATATAAGTATAGGAATCGTAGAAATAGTGATAGGTGCAAACTTCTATGTGGAGCGTGGTCACGCAACTGGATAAGCTAGGGATGTTGAATTATACCAGGTTCTAAGTTATACTATATAATAAAGCTGTAACTGGATAACCCACCCTTGTATGAACACCAGTTGGAACCAGTTCTTTTTCATCGATGGATGACTGTAGAAATATATACTGTAAAAGAAATATCATATATATTTATATATATGAAATTTATATATATCATTATCTCAGATTTTTATCTGCGAAGACGGGCTGTCATAGACATGCAAGCAAGGATATAACCATTTTATGGGACATAGCTGGTCACCAGACTGCTGAACCCCAAAGCAACCTGCTCAACCGGAGGACCGTCACCAGTACAGTTGGGATCCAACCGTTGAGAATTTTAAGAATATGTTGAGAATGAGTACATTTTCTCTACTAGATAATTTTTATCTCAAGGGTTGCTAGGTGTGTTTTCCCTTTGAAACCAACGTTTATTCAACCAGCTCTTAGATTCTGACATCGCGTTTACCATTGATTTTGGGATGTCCATTCATTTTTTCTCCTCAAAAAACCCTAACGCGCCTCCTCGATTCACTTTCACTTTCACTGCCCGTCATCTTTTAGCGACGTGCAAACACGTCCAGGGGTAGAGTTGGGTAAACGGCCGGTTTGGCTCTAAATGTTGAATTGCCGTTCCCACATAGGACTTTATGTTCTGTACCTTTGGGACTTAGTATTGTTCCATGTTGGTCCAGTGAATATCAGTCATTCAAAGTCCCAATAACATGAATATATGTATATGTATATATATAATTATATAGATGTCCATCCATTTGAACATGTTGAGATTGTTGATTCGGTTATGCCCCAGTTGTCGCAGATCATTGGATGAACTGTTGAGATTTGTTGATTTGTGAGCCCACACGGGTCACCACCTTTGGTGCTGAAATCCGGGCGGTGGTTGGTCGATGGTTGGTTGATGGTTGGTTCATGGGTACAATGGTAAGTTTAGGCCATATATAATGGGGAAATTGGGCTTCAACTAAATAAGTCCATATAACTCCTACGTGTGGCCGCAGTATGCTGCATCTGGAATGATTTCGATGTGATCATTTCACCACCATGCCGTATGAGTTGGAGACAAATACCCACTTGTGATCTACAGGGAGCTGCACCCCATCCTCTGATCGCTTAAGATAGCTATGGAAAATGGATTTTCAAATGGTCCATTTATGGATGACTTATACCTGTAATATACCTAAACTGGTTGGTGGTTCTAACCATCTTGAAAAATATGAAAGTCAATGGGAAGGATTATCCCATATATTATGGAAAATGAAAAATGTTTGAAACCACCAACCAGTAAACATGGTGGTTTTCAAGAATTTGAATGATCCAAACCCCGTTCCAAACCCTTCGTTGGAATACCGGATACCAACCCCCGAGAAGCCCTGGGCTGCCCGTGCTTGTCCCATGGTCTTAGATACTCCCGACAAACACCCGGCCGAGGAGGTTGAAAAAAAAAACGCGGAGCCCGAGGGCTGATGGGATTCATTGGTGGATGAAATCTGAGTTCATTGGTGGCGCCACTGCAGTGATTTTCAGCAAATATCGCTGACATTTGTTTTGGTCTGCCAAAGTACAAACAGTTGCATTCAAAAGGCCAAACGGTTGCCACGTTTTCCGCTGTTTTTGGGACCATTTTGGCAAATCTGATGAAGATTTCTGCCACAAAAGAAAATCCAATTCTTCACAGTTTGGATCAGAGCTTGACATGGAGATGATCCAGTGACCCGCTCAAAGCACGTGTCTCTTCACGCTTTGGCCGCTGAAATTCGAGCGTCGGGCGAAAGTTGGACTTCAAAGCTACAGTCAATCAACGTGGCATATGTATAATATGTATACTATATATATACATAACTATATATATATATAACTATATATATATAACAATATATATATATAACAATATATATATATATATAACAGTATATATATATAACAATATATATATATAACAATGTATATATATATATAAATAGAACAATATATATATATACATAACAAAATATATATAACTAACAATATATATATAACAATACATATATATATAACAATATATATATAACAATATATATATAACAATATATATATAACAATATATATATAACAGTATATATATATAACAATATATATATAACAATATATATATAAATAGAACAATATATATATACATACAAAAATTTATATAATTAACAATATATATATATATAACAATATATATATATATAACAATACATATATATATATAACAATATATATATATAACAATATATATATATATAACAATATATATATAACGATATATATATATATATAACGATATATATATATATAACGATATTTTATATATATATATATATATGTATCATATATATATTTTAACTATATATATATATTATAACTATATATCACTATATTTATATCATAACTATGTATATATACATGTATATAACTCTATATGTAACTATATATATATATGTTTAAACTATATATATATAACTCTATAAATATAAGTATATATAATTAGTTATGACTACATATATATAACTATATATTATATATAATTTGTCTAGGCAACACAGTGCAAGTACTGTATAAGAAAGTTCTGTACAAGAACTTGAGGGGCTCAGATCCAATCTTTGGGAGTACATTGAATTCTTCCTGACATGGAGCGACTACATGCTTAAGTTACTACAGTGTAGTAAGGGTCTATTCATTCTTGGTATGTTGGTCTGTGGCACTTCTCTTCTCTTCCACCTGGCCAGGGCTGTACATATTTAAAGACATACTCACAGCTAACAGCTATACACTCGTGCTACAAGCTGCAACACGAGAACTAGCAACGAATGGGATATATCATTGGCTTGTGAGTATGGCTGTTGTCTATGGTCTTTGTTTGGCACATTACCTTCAATGCTATGTCCATACCGGCTATAAAGGCACAACAAAGAGTTGCCTAGAACTACACCCTCCAGTAATTCAAAGTAGATCTTGAAAACCGGACCAATGTAGATCATTTTTCCGTGGCTTTCGTGGATTTTGCCATCTCATTTAAGTTACACCCATTTCTTTTTACCCAATTTCCAAGGGCTGATAGATCTGATAGTCTTGAGCCATAGCCCACCATGTCACATCATGTCACCATGTCACCACCGGGACGTTGTCTCGCCAGCCGTCGACACGCCACGAGGGTGGGATGGCCATGTACCTTTCGTTCATCTGCCGACTGCAGATGGATGGCCAAGTTGGGAATGATCATCACCTGAGGCGTGTCGCCACGGGTCCGTGCCAGAAAATTGCCATCCAGTTGTATGATATATACATAGGCATATATATATATATGTATATAATATATATATATGTATACAATGATATTTACATACTATAGATGATGTGTAATATAGATTTGGATTTCAACATTTACAGGTTCAGAATCATGAATGGCTTCTAGAACATGTTCCTTCTGGTTTTTATACCAGCATAACAAACACAGAATGAACCCATACCCCTCACCATTCATCATTCCAGATCCTACTCTATAGCACCCCCCCAAAAAAAATAATTCAGTGAAGTCCTACAAAAAAACGTGTAAGTCACTTTTCTATCTTTTCGGACTTCACTACAGTATACTACAGTACCATATAGTTGAATAACCTGATGTGTTTCTCTGTAAAAACATGTTGCTGGTAGCATCAAAAGGTTTGTCGGTCAACTGCCTTTCGATTGTTGGTTAATACACCCAGATTTGTTGGCTAAATCATGTTAAATCCCCATGTATTGTGGCTGTCCCATTTTCGGTCAAACCTATTCTGCACGCTGTATTCCCCAAAATTGCCATACTGAAAATCAATCTGATGCGACGCTTGTTTCTCATGTTTTCTCCCAGCTTCACTTTTGGTGATTCGTTTCTTTATATAATGGTTTTCAGTAGTTTTCAGTCGCCAGCCATAAACCTGGTTGAATCTGGCTGCTGTGGCTATGAGTCGCCTATTGGTTGGAGCAGCCCTGACTCAGATGGTTTTCTTTCTGGCCAATCAGTTGATGATTCTATCCCCATAGAATATCTCCATCTCATGCGCCAAAATTCATGATTCACCGACCTATACCAACCTGCAGTGGAGATTCCTACATCAATTACTATCATTGACCCAAGTTGCGGTGAAGTTGCTAAAATCCAATCAATTTCATCAAAGAAAATATGTTTCCTTGAACAAAAACAAGAAAACATACGGGTTTGGGTTAAAATTGAGGACCCTACCCTTGGAAGACAAAAATGACCAAATCACATGGCTTTTCTTGGCTTTCAATGGCGACCCAGACCGATGCCTGCGTTAAATCATCCAGGGCCTATTTTTGTCAAGCTGATCAGCCTGTTTGGAGAGAACTTCCCCTATCATCTGTTCTCCATTCTTTGCTCAATTTGTTTTGTTCACACCTTCCACTTCAACATTCTTCCACCATGTTTTGACAATTGATTTCACGATGTTTCCGCCATTTATTCTCTAATTGTTCACAATCTAGCATCCATGTTTGATCATTCATGTCCCATCAAAATCACCATTCTTCAGCCCACTTTTCCATGGTCATGCCCACGATATGTCCACCATAGATACTTGGTGGTTCATCCCACTTAGTAAGTGGGTTAGTTCACCCCAGTTGTATGTGGATTAACCCTACTTATCCCCTTAGCAAAACCAGGTAACATATCAACCTTCCACCAGAAAACGGGAAAAAAAAAACAAAAAAGAGCGAAAAAAACATCCAAAAAAAAAATAGCCCTCCATTACAGAACCTATTTAGGATTTGTGGCTAGTTCGCCACCACAGATATCGTACCACTTCCCAGGGATTTTCCGAGCCGTTTTGAGCCCCCTCACGGGGTCACTCACGCGCACCAACTTCTCGCACAACTTGCCGTCGGCGGTGCGGGTGACCACCTGGCGGAGTTGGGAATGCAGTGCAAGATGATCCCCATTGAAGCCTTCGTTTTCACCCCACAATCCCCACCTATCCAACAACATGTTTATAAATGGAATATGATTGTGAAATTTCTGTTGATTTTTGTGGCTTATTAAAGGTTATCAACTTGTAATAACCACAACAACCCATACATTAACATTTACCATTACCCTTACATGTCAAACATATTTAATACCATGACAACCATAATAACCAAACCAAACATATCACAAAAACCTGCTTAATTACCCTCAAACCACGGGCCTAACAAAGACATCATGCGTTAATCTAAAAGAAAAACAGACATCCTTTCCCCTGAATATTAAATATCCCAAAAAACGAAACCCTGCTGGGATTGCATTGGATGGGGGTAGTTCATAGGGTGTGCGGTTGGGATTCTGAATGGGCACAATCACCTACAGTACAACATCCTAGTTGTATCACTACGCGGAACTGCACCAGTTAGAAGTCGGTAAGATGTCCCATGGCCGGCCCATTTATAACCCCATTTATAACCATCAGAATAACATACAATAACTATTTAGAAGTGGTTTCTAGGGCGCTGTAGGATTGTTGCCGAAAATCTCCGCCCCACCAGAGTCTCCACCTTCCCGGCAAAGCCCAAGGGCCGATCGAACCAGGTATGCCACAGCCTCAGCGAACATTTTTCTGGAATGTTCCCAGAAAATCTGTGGTTTTTGTGACACATTCATGGTATAACATGCGGGTTTGCCTGAAAAGGTACCCCAAGATTTGATGCTCTACCCTCTGGCAAACATGCAAAAAGCGAGTGAAAATGGACATTTATAGTGGATTTACCCACTAAAAATGGTGATTTTCCATAGCTATGTTAGTTTACCAGAGGGTATGATCATTTGAAAATATGAAGTGACCATTTCTGGGGTATACAACATGTTCAGACAAACCGACGTGGTTTTACAATGGAAATTTTACCAGTCACGTCACATACCATTTATATATGCGTTTTCTTTCCCATGTTTTAACATATAGATGGTATATGAATAGAACTATTCCCCATATGAATATCAACAAACATATGAATGGGAAGAAAATGATTTTATGTGAATGGGAATGGCCATGGAAAATCCACCATTTATAGATTATTTTCCCAACTATATGTAAACCTGAAAAAAATAGATGATTTTCCTTTGACATCTATGATTACAGGAGGCTGTACAAGCAACAAAGAGTGGGAGTACTCACCAGCAAACGATCATTCGGGATCATCACTGCAATTCCCTATGCTCCCCATGGCCAAGGACCCAGCCCGCCACCATAGGTTTCCACACCCACCTGCAGCCAGGCTACATCATGAAATATTATATATATATATATAGTATATATAACTTCGATGGTTTCTATAGCCTCAAAAAATGGTGTCTGGCCGTAAAAAATCATGGAATACGTGCATGTATGTATATATATATCTGTGTGTGTGTATACATATAGATAATATAAATATATATATATAAATATGTGTGTGTGTGCGTGTGTGGCATTTAAATAAGTTACATCGGCTGTTTCATCATGTGTGCTTCGTAAAAACATTTGGCTGCGAACCAAATGCCTGGTACCTGTGTTTCGGACCTTGAAATAGTTGGTAGATACATAGATCTACATCCCCATATGCTATCATAGGGGTTGACCCATCCCTGTGTACAGGTCAAAGTGTCTCAAAGTCCAGGCAATTAGGGGGCCAGTAACGCCCAGTAACAACTGGATAATTATTGGCATGATATTGATATGAATAGCGCACACATGAATCTCCCTGAATATCCTGTAAACCTAAACATCCCAAGTATATCGATTCATGTATGTTTGTTGATATTCATAGTGATATCTATGTAAATATTTATATGTGGCCATAATTTGGGGGTGTTCCCCATTTTTTACAAACTCATCCCAGCACGTGCTCCCATGATATCCCATGACATCTCCATGATATATCCGCCGACCCCGGCCTTTGCCAAGGCAGGGGCGGCGCCTGGGAGCACCGGAGGTGTGGAACTTGGCTCTCGGGTCGCAAGCAAAGGCACACGCCATCAAGGCAACACCTCTGTCAGCTACATGCCCCAGCCATCTACATGCTCCTGCCGAACTCTTACACCTACATGCCCCTGCCATCTGTTTTTCAGGACGTTCAAGACTGCCGTTTGCCCGGCCTCAAACCCTCCAAACGCTTCCGCAGGCCTCCAAGGCAACAACTCTTACAGCTACTACATGCCCCTGCCATCTGTTTTTCAGGGGGTTCAAGACTGCCGTTTGCCCGCCCTCAAACCCCCCAAACGCTTCCAACCCTTCCGCAGGCCTCCAAGGCAACAACTCTTGCAGCCGTTTGCCCGCCCTCAAACCCCCCAAACGCTTCCGCAGGCCTCCAAGGCAACAACTCTTACAGCTACATGCCCCTGCCATCTGTTTTTCAGGGGGTTCAAGACTGCCGTTTGCCCGCCCTCAAACCCCCCAAACGGTTCCAACCCTTCCGCAGGCCTCCAAGGCAACAACTCTTACAGCTACATGCCCCTGCCATCTGTTTTTCAGGGGGTTCAAGACTGCCGTTTGCCCGCCCTCACACCCCCCAAACGTTGTGTAGCTTTGGTACAGGTACAGCGGGCTTGTCCACAAAGAATCCCTACTGCCTGCATAGAAGGGAAGAACCTTAGTCAGGCTCACGAGGACGCCAGAGTGGCTCTGGCCGCAATTCAGGCTTATCAAAAGCCGGAAACCATGTCGAATGCCAATGGGAAGTGTGGTCCCATTCTCCGGTGTGAAAGCTGCGTGCAGCTCTAGCAATTTCATCAGAAATCGTGGATTGACAAAGCAAAATGGGCCTAACGAGAAGGCCAGCAGTGGGAGGCAAACTGTGACCTTTAAGTGCTCTGCACACAGAAGTGGCATGTTCCAAAGGATGGAATTGTGATCTATCATGTCGAAGTGTGGATCTGAAGGCATCAGCAAAAACAAGTGCCCGTTCACCCAAAGGAATGGGAGTGACATCTCGCAGGACATTCCCATTCCGCTTGAGTTGTTCCTGTTGGATGCGATGACGACGCATAGCTTCTGATTTAGTTTCAGGTTTGCCAGCGCAGCTATATTTCAGAAAACGAGATCTCTCAGCCCAATTTCCTGATCTTTGACAAGCAGTGCAAAGAAACCGAGGTTTGCGTGGCGCAGCATCAGTTTTAATGATGGAGTGAGCAATAAATTTATTGTCAAAAACCTCAGGAGGGTCATGGACGAAAGAAACCCGCATGGAAGCACCGCGTCTTTGAACGGCACCGTCTTTTTTCTTCATGCGCTTAGAGGAACCAGGCAAAATGATCCCAGTCGAAAGTTCGAAATCCATAGCCAATTCAAGGTAGGATACTCCTTTGGTTGTGTTGATGCTGTTTTCCGGAAAACGAAGTTGTTGTAGGTACCAAACCAATGCATGGAAAAATCGATCATCCCAGGCATACCTAAGGCTACGAGAGTAATGAGGGAAAGGACCTAACTTATGACAGTGCCCATCGAAGTTATCAGGATGTACAAGGTACTCAGCCTGGGAGTCAGGTATAAATTTATCAAAGTTAGCAACACTATTATCAGAAAAGGGAACTCTTTTGGAGGTGGGAGAATACGAGAGCAGTTTATTCTTTTGAGCATATTCGTCCCTGGCAATTAAGATATCAATCATACATTGTTGGCGGTCAACAACCAGCTGCTGATGTTTACAATAATGAGTAAAGGCAAGATCATAGGTGTGCGAACGATGAAGTTCAGCACCTCGGCGGGCAGCATCGGAAGCTGCTTTGATTTCTGCTGATGGATTATTAGAGGGGACTAAGCAGATTAGGTCAACCCAGGGCCGACTACCTAAGAAATTCCTAATGGGGAGGACTAAATCATGGTGATCAAATTGGTACAAAGAAATGTTCGGATTGCACAGATCATTCCAAAATTTCAAGTACTGTGGACAAGAAACATGGATTTTTACGGCACGAGGGATTCTGGAAAGCACATATATTAGGCCCAAAGCAAAAGCCCTGATTTCAGCTTGATCAGGCCCTGATAGTTGGTCAACACATGTATGAGGATGCGAGCAAGCTTCGTCGAAAATGAGCGCAAACCCGCAACGCTTCCAATAGGGGTGTCCCGGATGCATCATGTGAGTGCAAAGCCAAATGGAAAGCACGTCATTGGATACTGATTCAAAGGCTGGAAAAACCTCACTGAAGAAGTTTGTATGATCTGGAAGAACAACTGAAGTTTGAGCAAGCTCTTTTAAAATAGTCAAAGTAGAAGGCGGCAAACAGGCAACGCCTGTGCACTGCGTGCAGTGTGGCAAATCCAGCGAAGCCGAATGATTGCGCTTGGTACGGATATCAGCCCAACCCGGGCATACATTGAACAAGTGGTGATTGGTTTCAGGAACGTCCATACTGCAAAAAGGGCACGTTGGACTATCAGCCATGCCAGCTTTATGAAAAACAACAGCAGTTTTTATTGCGTTGGCCAAAATTGCTTTAAGAGTGCCTGCAAGGTATGGTTTCTTGGAAGCCAACAAATGCCGCAATAGCTTAACGGAAGAGAATTTATCAAGAAATGTGAAGTCTCTGAGATGTGCACAACGTTTGGAAGCAATCAAAATCTGGGATTGTCTCAGCGCTTCCCGGACCTGGTGAGAAAACCATGTTTTAGAACATTTAGTCCAATGTAACGATGGCCAATCAGGACGATCGAAATGATCAAAGGAATACCAGGACCACCCGACAAACTGCACTGCAAGAAGAACAGTGTGTGTGGGCCCCCACACATTGGGATCATGTTGATCGACATGCAAGCTCCAATTTTGCGACATCAGCTGGAAGACAGCATTATTCTTTAAACACAGCGCGCGAAAAGTGTTCAGAGCTTTATAAGCAACCACCTGCAAAGGATCACACCGGTGCCCTTTGAACACAATGGTCGTGAGAACTTCTGGAACACGACTGGAGCGACCATCCCATAAAGAAGCAAGCACCTGAGTACGAAGTTTTTTGAGAGATTCAACACAAAGCGTTGTGAGTTCACAACCATGAAAAAGCTTGGCAATGGGACAAGCAGCGATGATTTCGGCTTTGGCTTCAGCGGGCAAAGGCAGAGAGCCGGCACGGCGAACTAATTCGGCAAAACGCTGCAATTTATCTTCCCAAAGGACATGAGGAATGCCAGGATGAAAACCAAATTGTGCACCCAAGTACCGAACATCTTTCACCACAGGCAGTTGAGTAGATCCAAGCTTAAGTAGCTGAAGTTCAGCTTTTAAGGTTTCGTTTGTAGTCCAGAGTTGGCACTTAGACGCCTTCAAGCGTTGGCCCGTAACCTTAGCAAATGTACCAGCTTGATCTAAAAATTGCGAAATGCCAGGAATGGAATGCGACGAAGCAGAAACATCGTCGGCATATGCTTGCGGCATCACGAGACTATTGGTGTTTTCAGTGTAACGCAAGAAGACTGACACCAAAAGATTAAGTAAGACAACGCTGATAGGACAACCTTGTACAATGCCACGGTCACTTTTAATGGCAGAGCCAAAACCTTTGGGATGCTTGAAGTATCGAACTAAACGGCTGTAAAAATTAGAAAGGCAATTGACAAAAAAGCCAGGAAGTCCCAAATGCCGAGCTAAGGGAAGAATGATTTCATGAAGAGGAAGAAGATCAAAAGCTTTCTCGTAGTCAAGAAAGACACCATGAAGGGAATCAGTGTTCAATAAAGAATTTTCAACCAAAAGTGCTAAGGGATACCAAGCGTCGAAAGTGTCGTGTTGTTTACGAAATCCAGATTGAGAGGAATGGCACCAAGATTCTTGCCAGGTCATCAAGTCAGACAACCGGATGCTGGCCCAAGCACGATACAGAACACTCAATATGCTAAGCGGGCGAAGACTGGAAGGAGAACCATCCGATTCAGGCTTAGGAATGAGACAAAGGTAACCACACACAAATGAGTCTGGCCAAGAGGCAGAGTTTTCAATGTGATCGAACACAATACATAATTTTTCGAGCAAAGGATCAGGGAAAGATTGAACAACAGAAACTGACCAGTTGTCTAATCCAGCCTCACACCCCCCAAACGCTTCCAACCCTTCCGCAGGCCTCCAAGGCAACAACTCTTACAGCTACATGCCCCTGCCATCTCTTTTTCAGGGGGTTCAAGACTGCCGTTTGCCCGCCCTCAAACCCCCCCAACCCCCCAAACGCTTCCGCAGGCCTCCAAGGCAACAACTCTTACAGCTACATGCCCCTGCCATCTGTTTTTCAGGGGGTTCAAGACTGCCGTTTGCCCGCCCTCACACCCCCCAAACGGTTCCAACCCTTCCGCAGGCCTCCAAGGCAACAACTCTTACAGCTACATGCCCCTGCCATTTGTTTTTCAGGGGGTTCAAGACTGCCGCTTGCCCGCCCTCAAACCCCCCAAACGCTTCCAACCCTCCCGCAGGCCTCCAAGGCAACAACTCTTACAGCTACATGCCCCTGCCATCTGTTTTTCAGGGAGTTCAAGACTGCCGTTTGACCGGCCTGAAACCCTCCAAACGCTTCCGCAGGCCTCCAAGGCAACAACTCTTACAGCTACATGCCCCTGCCATCTGTTTTTCAGGGGATTCCAGACTGCCGTTTGCCCGCCCTCAAACCCGGCTTCAAGGCAACAACTCTTACAGCTACATGCCCCTGCCATCTGTTTTTCAGGGGATTCCAGACTGCCGTTTGCCCGCCCTCAAACCCCCGCAACGCTTCCGCAGGCCTCCAAGGCAACAACTCTTACAGCTACATGTCCCTGCCATCTGTTTTTCAGGGGGTTCAAGACTGCAGTTTGCCCGGCCTCAAACCCCCAAACGCTTCCAACCCTCCCGCAGGCCTTCAAGGCAACAACTCTTACAGCTACATGCCCCTGCCATCTGTTTTTCAGGGAGTTCAAGACTGCCGTTTGACCGGCCTGAAACCCTCCAAACGCTTCCGCAGGCCTCCGAGGCAACAACTCTTACAGCTACATGCCCTGCGATCTGTTTTTCAGGGAGTTCAAGCCTGCCGTTTGCCAGCCCGCAAAACCCCCCAAATGCTCCCCTGCAGCTCCCAATCTACATGCTCCTGCCGAACTCTTACACCGACATGCCCCTGCCATCTGTTTTTCAGGGGGTTCAAGACTGCCGTTTGCCCGGCCTCAAACCACCCAAACGCTTCCGCAGGCCTCCAAGGCAACAACTCTTACAGCTACATGCCCCTGCCATCTGTTTCTCAGGGAGTTCAAGACTGCCGTTTGACTGGCCTGAAACCTTCCAAACGCTTCCGCAGGCCTCCAAGGCAACAACTCTTACAGCTACATGCCCCTGCCATCTGTTTTTCAGGGAGTTCAAGACTGCCGTTTGACCGGCCTGAAACCTTCCAAACGCTTCCGCAGGCCTCAAGGCAACAACTCTTACAGCTACATGCCCCTGCCATCTGTTTTTCAGGGAGTTCAAGACTGCCGTTTGACCGGCCTGAAACCCTCCAAACGCTTCCGCAGGCCTCCGAGGCAACAACTCTTACAGCTACATGCCCGGCGATCTGTTTTTCAGGGAGTTCAAGCCTGCCGTTTGCCAGCCCGCAAAACCCCCCAAATGCTCCCCTGCAGCTCCCAATCTACATGCTCCTGCCGAACTCTTACACCTACATGCCCCTGCCATCTGTTTTTCAGGGGGTTCAAGACTGCCGTTTGCCCGGCCTCAAACCCCCCAAACGCTTCCGCAGGCCTCCAAGGCAACAACTGTTGCAGCTACATGCCCCTTCTCTCTCTCTCTCTCTTTCTCTCTCTCTCTCTCTCTCTCTCCCTCTCTCTTTAGGACCCCCCAAATAGGGGGGTCGGCGGCACCAGGGCGCTAGCCCATTCTATAACACCCCCCAAATAGATAGAAAAGTATTTCCAGCACGTGAATTCAATGATTATTTCCCAATAAATTTATTTCCAGGTGTTCATATCATCGTCGTTGTCGTATTAGGGCTTCCGGGCTTCCCATTTATATCTGGTTTCATCATGTTTCATCCCCTACACCTCCCATGGCTGGGGTTTCATTTTTCACCGGGCTTACCTGGCTGATGGTCGTCCCCAGGAGACTCATCCAACAACTCGCCAAGTTGGGTGATCGGCTTATCGTCCGAAAAAATCGTAGATGAATTGCAGTGCCAATCAGCCAGATACCCTGCAAAGAAATATGAAAAATAGCTGGTGAACGTAGATAATATCAGCCAGATACCAAAAGACTGGTTAGCATTAGTTTCTAGCCATCTAAGATTGACCTAGAATATATCCCATTATATAATTCATTATATATCCCGTTAACAATGGATTCTAAACCAGTTATATATATATATCCCATTATATATCCCATTCATAACCATTGACCTAGTTACTAGTTGTTTTGTACATTGGTTGTAGATTGGGTGAACTAACCCCAGTTACCTTCACCAATTGGACGATCGCACCTGCAACATGCCTCCTGAGGACATTTTGCTGTTGGGCCGCAGGCGCAAGCAAGGCCTCGGCCGCAAGGACTTCCAAAGAGTTTGTGTCGGGGACATCTAGGTTATACTCTGGTAAACTAACATAGCTATTGAAAATCACCATTTAATGGGAAAACTCACTATAAATGGCCATTTTCAATAGCTATGTTAGTTTACCAGAGGGTATACTCACTGGCTTGATTTACCTTTAAAAAATGTGAAAAACATATGAAAAACACTGTGAAAATTGGTAAAATTCACCACCAAGAATAGGGAGTCAATCAGCAAAATTTGAATTTAACCATGAAAATGGGGATCAAAGGAGCAAAGCCGGGGGAATATTTGGTGAGAACTTGGGGATCGGTGGATTTAACCACTGAAAAAGGAAGTGTCACCAGCAAATTCGAGCTCTCGTTGGCTTTGATCGACAATGAGTTCTCTGTTTGATTTGTAATAGCTCTTCCTGTGGACAACTAGGAGAGCTGCTGGGTATACAACTGGCCGAGTTTTTTAGACTCAAATGTACTAACTACCTTGGAATGCAACAGTTTTCCAACTGCCGAGGCAGCGAGGGAGCAGAAAACCACGACGATGCTCAGCCATGAATCCTGCCTACATCAGTCAGCCACTGCCGTTGGCGAGGTGTACCCAATTAAGGTGTGGGATGCTGTAGGTCAAAACCTCGGCAGCCTGGTGAATAGATGCTCTTGACCCATGCCCCTTGGAAGCCCCCGGCTACCAGCAGGACTTTTCTTCACTCAAGCTGAAGTTCAGGAGGTAGCAAATATTCACACACTCTCCCAATTCCCTGCCGCCCCACCATACTCAAATATAGCGATCTGTCCTGAACCAACAGTGCGATAGGGTGCAATCCATCTGGACACTGCAGGACTTCTGTGAAACTTGTGCTGCCTGGGTGGAAGGCCAACACCTTTCTTTGGTACAAGTCAGCAACATAGATTGTTCCACCTTCAGTTACAAACAGGTCCGATAGGAAAGACCGGCCCCCAATTGAGATTTGGCCAACCACAACAGGTTCCAACGACTCAGCTGGATTGATGCACAAAATTGGATGTTGATTCAAATTCAGATTATCCAAAAGATAGATCACCTCTTCCTTTGTTGCAAACACCCGGCACGCTGCGAACTGCATGTCTACTGGAAGAGTCTCGGAGGCAATCACAGTCTCAAGCGTTGAGCCCACCACCTTTGCCACTCTTCTCCCATTCCGGCTCGCCACATACAGCACTCCGCTGGGCGTGCACAACAGGGGACCAACATCAGCATTGCCAACAACTAAGTCTCCAGAACCATCTTGGAAACGAACAAGCCGCTGATTATCCCAATCTGACACGAACACTTCTCCACTGGCCGAAATTGACAGGTAACAACAAAGTCCCAAGTCGTCAATCCCAGTTGCAGCGCCTCCCCCAACAGGTCGCGCGGAGGCTGAAAGGCCAGCAGGATTCCAACTAAGGATTGCGCCCAAAAAGGGTGACCACTGCTGCGAACGACGCCGCTTCGACTGAAACGTTCCTGGACTTTGGGTTCTCTTTCGGGTCAAAGCATCCTCAACTTCTCTGTGCAGGTCATCACCACTTTGACCGGAGAGAGTTGTGTGGCCAAGGCGAAGCAAATTCTCAATGGAAAGTGAATTGAAATGTACATGTTGCAGCAACATGCCCAGAAAGGCATGTCCATCTTTGGCAATTTTATTCCAAGTAAATATTGCGTTCACCACTTCTTCTTCTTCTTCTTCTTCTTCTTCTTCTTCTTCTTCTTCTTCTTCTTCTTCTTCGCGAGAGATAGCCAGATCTTCCCTCCTCATAATTCGAACCAGCTGACTAGCACTGAGCTTCCCAAAATCGGGATGCTTGCTGCAAGTCTCAAAGTCCTCCGCAACTTTATCTTCACACACACCTCTTAAAGAATGAAGGCCATGTGCTTCTTCTAGAACTTGCAGGGCAACACTGCTGTCCAAGCAGGTACGGATACTGCCTCAATCTCACCTGCTAGCTTTGGCAGGTCGTAAGCCTCTGCCAGTCGTAGGAGTTCAAGACCAACTTCCACCGGTACTTCAGGCTGCCCGTCATAGATGTAGTCCAACAATGCAGACTGTGCTGCTTTGGATGCAGCAATTTCCACTGGCTGCCTTTGTTGCACCCTCTTTAAACGTCCCGCCCAGCAAATTCTTGAGAAACACGCTGGCAGATGATAGCACGACCTCATGGGCGGGATGCTGTGTGCCATCAAGGCTCTTCAGCACCACATCGCAGAATTGGTCGTCCACCCAGAATTGTTGCAACTGCTGCGTGATGCCGGCCCGATGCTGCGCCAGATCTGAGTGGTCAAGCTTCACAGCTCCCATGGCGCGGCTTCTACACTGGAAGGCAGTGGTTGGTCTTGGTGGATAGGTGTTGTGGATACCCAACGCCTGCATGATCTACGTTACTTGCGTGATGTTTCTGTTCGAAATGGGGGATTCGCCATTGCCAGCTGATTTCCAGATGGCTCTACATGTAAGTTCAGAGTTACATTGGTTGTTTGCATCAACGGACATGCGTTGAGGGAATACCTACTAATTGTATCCTGTTTAATCATGTTTGTTCCTTGCTATGCAACAGTCACCTTAATAGCGCCAAACGTACGTGACTTGTGTTGAGACTCAACCATGACTTTGGTGAATTCAGTCGGAACACCAAAATGAGATAAACAACCAGTCGGTTGATGATACCTGGCAATATGGACGTACAATTCCCAAATAAAAAAGATGGACAACATGATACCCTATGTATAATAATATCCAACAATTAGTTCTAGGAAATATATTCATTCCAAGAGCAGGTTTCAACATAGAGCGACAGACCCATAAAGAGACCTTTAGAAGGCCTCAATCCTACAAAAATCCATGGTTTTATTTCAGGTGTCTGGTTGCCCCTAGACTCAAAATTAGGTCTCGTCGTTCGGTCCCCCTGCGAGTCGGTATGCGCTCCAATCATGGAGAATCCTGACTCCTGCAGCAAAAAAACGGATCCACCACCCCAATGACTTACCATTTGAATGGGTGGTATAAGTATGTATAAATCATGAAATTATGACATTGGCTGGTTTTATATGGTTTTACGACATTGCTTTACCAACAGTCGTGGAAGAATTATCAATGTGCTATGGGGAAAAATGCCATTTTCGGCCGGTCTGACATACGAAATTCATACCATTCATATCATCATACCAGGATTCATATGGCATACCACCAGGTAAGTTGTATTGAATGTTATTAAATTCTCCTAAAATTGACCTATTGGTTGGTCAATTCATATCATGTCATCTCCATTTGGCGAATCTACTGGTGGATTTCTCTTCTTTGGCGAAGCCGTGATTATTTGTCAACCAAGCCTTGGCCAAAAGGCGGTGTCAACCAACGTTAAAAGGGTTGTTGGTTTATGACGTTGTTCACCAAATGAGTAGTTGGGTGTGTTAACGATCCCCCTTGAGATTGCTATAGATTTTGATTTAAGTAATTCCCCAATCTTGAGACAAGATGCAGATGCTCAAAATTGGAAAAATCACCTAGAACCAGTAAAGACCATCCAAGTAATTGGAACGATCGTTTAAAACCTGGCCAAACACAAACCCAGAAATCGATAAACATCTCCAAAAGTCAAAAAAATACATCCCAAAAGTTGAAAAATCTCGGCAAATTCATCCCAAAGTTGAGAAAATCGCCAAAAAACTGGAGAAAATCCCACACAAATTGCCATCTGGCAGATTTCAGCTCCAACCCGACCTCTATGGAGAACTTGCCGCCCACCACGAAGGCCATGACATCGGCGCCGCCTTTGGTCACGAAGTACCTCGAGCGGTGGATCTTTGTCAATTTATTTTGGAATCAGAGATTTCCATCTATTCATATGGCTATGCCTTACTTACTGCTTTGGCCTCTTTCTGTGTTAGGGGCCATAGCTACCCAGGATCTATTTGTAGAATCCTAGGAACTATTTACAGAATCCCAGAAACTATTTATAGAATCCCAGCAGCTATTTACTGCATTATACTGATACTGGCGTTTTTCTGTTTCCAAACTCCTGGGCCTATTTTTAAAAAAGAAACACATAGTGAGGCCAAAGCAGTCACCAAACCATCTGTCTACAATAATAGTACGCTTATGGGTTTTGGGCCAGTGTTTTAAGCTACCCCGACTTTTGGTGGTTTATTATTGAATATATGATTCCAATACTCTAAGTTTAAGACCACCAGAAACAATGGTTAGTTCATTTTAGTTTTGCACATATTTTGAAGATATAGTTGAAAATGTAGCTATGGCTAATGACCAAGTAACTTTGGGAAGTTCAGAAGTAGAACATACATACTTGATAACTATATGGATCAGGATGGTTTGGAACGGTTCCCATCTATCTCTAAAATCCTGTATGTAGTTATACATCCAAGTTGGTCAATATATCAGAACGTCTTGGAACGGTTGTGATTTATTTATCCATCCAAGTTTATAAATAGATCAGAACGGTTTGGAACGGTTCCGATCTATCTATAAATTCTTTATGTAGACAGTCTTGCAGATAGATCAGAACGGTTGGGAACGGTTCCGATCTATTTATACATCCGTTTTTATAAATAGATCGGAACGGTTCGGAACGGTTCCGAACTATTTATAACCGCTTCTGTTTATAAACAGATCAGAACGGTTCGGAACGGTTCCGAACGGTTCCGAACTATTTATACATTCGTTTTTATAAATAGATCAGAACGGTTCGGAACGGTTCCGAACTATTTATACATTCGTTTTTATAAATAGATCAGAACGGTTCGGAACGGTTCCGAACTATTTTTACATCCGTTTTTAATAAATATCAGAACTCGGTTCGGAACGGTTCCGAACTATTTATAAACTCGGATATTTGGACTATTTGAACTAATTGGATCTATTTTGTTTTTTTAGTATAAATAGATCAGAACGGTTCGGAACGGTTCCGAACTATTTATAAACCCGACGTATAAATAGATCAGAACGGTTCGGAACGGTTCCGAACTATTTATAAACCCTGTACGTATAAATAGATCAGAACGGTTCGGAACGGTTCCGAACTATTTATAAACCCTGTACGTATAAATAGATCAGAACGGTTCGGAACGGTTCCGAACTATTTATAAACCCTGTACGTAGAAATAGATCAGAACGGTTCGGAACGGTTCCGGTCTATTTATAAAACCCGTAAACTACACAGAGATATAATAGATCAGAACGGTTCGGAACGGTTCCGATCTATTTATTAACCCTGTAAAGTACAAAAAGAATAAACAGCTCAGAACGGTTTGGAACGGTGTCGATCTATTGTTAATCTTTGCTGCCTTCCCAACTGTTTCTAAATCCAAAATCAGAAATCAAAACCAAGAACTAACCCAGCTTAGCCCAGAAAAAGCGAGATCCAGGATATGATATGCGGACCTATTACTCATTTACAATTTTTGCTGAACCTGCGTGTGAACTGAACACAAATCAAAAAAATGATCTTCAAACCCAATCGGCCTTCTGTCAGGTTTGTCTGTTGGTCAGTGGTCAGTCTACCTTTTTTTTGGGGTATTTTTAGTAGATTATGCAATCAATATCTGCTGAGAAACGACCAAAGAATGTCCAAAATCCCTCAGTCTGCAAAAGGTTCATGATTTCCGGTTCGGTGTCCGAAAGTTGGGTTTTCTAGTCAAACGGTCGACCCGAACTTGTCCCGGCAGTACTTGACAAAGTGCTTGCTCTAGCAGCGACGGTGGAATGTTTGCAGATATCCTTTCTTGGGCTGGGGTCCGCTAAGATGATCTACAAATAGTTCCTGAGATTTTACAAATAGCTCCTGGAATTTTATAAATAGTTCCTGGAATTTTATAAATAGTTCCTGGAATTTTATAAATAGTTCCTGGAATTTTGCCATTCATAGCGAATAGAAACTCCAAAAAACCTGTCGCCGAAAGGGCGATGACACCCTTCTCGGCAATCCGAAACCTCAAAGTCCGGAAAACCTGTCACCGAGAAAGTTCTGACGGCCATGGTCCGACGAGGTACCAGATACCGAAGTCTTAGGTTGCAAAAACGAAATTTTCGATTTCAGGGGCTGCCTCGAACTTACAGCATCTTACAGCCAGAATCGGGTGATGGTTGTGGCCTCTCTACCTGGAATCTCACAAGCTACAAGATATGGTGTTCTTGTCAGGAAAGGCCTGCGAAAAAAAAAACTCGTCCAACAGACAATCGCATCCAGGTGATGATGCGTAGTCACAGTCAGGTCCTTGCAAACTATCAGCAGGTATGCCGCGCTTTGGTTTTGAGACCTTGTATGCTCCGCCACAGTTAAATCATTGCGTGTCTTGGGAAGGTCGCCAGTTTGTCGCTCATTTTGCTAACCAGAGAAACAGTGGAGTCTTGACCATTCTGATTTCTGCTTTTCCTTTTTACAATACGACATGGTCACTCACGCTGACCCTGATGCTACTGTTCACATGTTGGACTCACCCGAAAATTTTCATTCAATGTTGACTCATTTTTTGCGATGTGTGAACCCTTGGCATCTCAACTATGGAACCTCTGATCATGTGAACTATATTGAGTACTGACATTTACTGAGTTCAACATAGTTCAACTTCGCGCCGCGGAGTTGCATTTAAACAGAGGCAAACAGACAGTAAACTGTCAAAAGTCTCACGGACATGACGAATGACGCAATTTGTGATACGAGAGTGGCTGCAGGACATATTAGGTTCCTTTGCCAGCACCACCACAGCCTTCAATCAAGTTCACCATTTGCATGGCCGCCCTTTTGGTACGCTGCTGCCTAGGATTGTGAGATAGGATACGATAGGGTATCATAATCTTTGGAACTTGAATTGACTTGATTCATGACAAGGCTCATGACATAAAACTGAAAACAAATTATATACAGTACATTCAGTTGCAGTCGACATACCGTAAAACCAGCTACATTCCCCAGGACACGGAACGCTGTTTGTTTTGGGTCTCAGATTGGGGTTTGCTTGGCTTTTTGGCACGGGTGGTGGTTTTTTGCGCTTGGGCCTACACTTTGGGGCGTGCTTCTGGAACTGCTGGTGGTGGTGGTGGTGCTGGTGGTGCTGGTGCTGGTGAAGCTTGTCCAACGGGTTAGCTTGGGCTGGGTGCGCTGTGGCTTTTGCTCCTGCGAACTTTGATTCACCGCGTTTTCTTCTGGGCGGCCCGGGGGTGAATTGTTTTTTCTTTTTTGGCCTGATTGGTTTCCATGGCTCAGTAAGGCTGGAAATGATTTTATTGCATTTTGCATCTTTTCCGCTGAATGATACACCAAAACCGGCTGGTACTGTTTTTTCTTCGTTGGCTCATTGAACCATATTTTTTTGGTTCTGGTATATTTGACATGGCTCTTGATATGATTGGCCGATTGATTTATCAAATCAAAGAGGTATTTTTATGCCTGAGGCGCTTGTTTCCACGCACGCGATTCCCAAGTTTAGCAAGGCAACATGTTGGCATGTTATGGATGCACATATCCCATACCATAACTCATGAGTACTGTCATTTCCATATACCCACAATAGGGACGCACTGGTAAGCTGAAATCAGTTAGACTCAGCACTTAAGGGCATTTTAGTGTTGTGTTGCTGTTTTCCCTTTAGCTAGCCTGTGCTAACTCATCATCATATTCCCCTCGCTAACTCCCCTCAATATAACGCATGTTTTTTAAATAGTTCCTGGAACTTTGCAAATAGTTCCTGGGAATCTGCAAATAGTTCCTGGGTCCAAACACCAGAAAACAGAAAGGCCCAAATAAAGAGGCCAACGCCGATAGTAAGCTATGCCTCAAAACCTGGTACCATAGGTACCCTAAAATAGCTGGTTAATGAATGTTTATTCCCCCAATATGGTAATAATAGGTTTTGACCCATCCCCATATCTATAGATTTTGTAGAGGTTGGAGTTGTTGCTATATGAACATATAGATATTTTTATTACAGGAACAAAAATCTAGACAGCATTGGATTTGTGTTTATAATCATAAAAATACTTATTGTACCCATATATATATACTAGGTGAGGCGCCCTAGATAGCTAAGTTGACACACACACACAAAACTTGGTTATATAACTATGGGGGTTATGGGGAATAATGAATATAACTATAGTCAATGAATATATAAAAGAACTTATAACTGGGGGGTCCCGGGGGGGTCTCACCTTGTATATATATATATATACATATAGCATTGGAATTCTTTATATCCATAAAATGTCTCATTTATATATATATGTGTGTGTGTGTCGGGTTTTTGTCTATAAAAGAAAAATTGTGTATATGTGTGTATATCCGCTACCCAACCTCCACGAACTACCGTTTAAAACATCTTTCACTTCAATTTGCAGTTTTTGGTACATGTTTGCAATTTTGTGGGAAGCCTAGGTTCAGGAGTTTAACTCTGAATCTACTTTTGGTATATAGTAGATTCGACCCATTGCTAATCATCGAACTAGAGTCAGTTCCCACATCTCCTTGTCTCCTGTTCCTGTCTCAGAAAGTTTGCTCAGACACTCACAGCTGTGAGAGCGCACTGGGATACGCTTCATGCAGAGAAATCTAGGCGTAGATTTGATAGGTCTGAAACATATACCCTCTGGTTATTTAAGATAGCTATGGAAGCCATGGCCCACAAATGATTTTCCCAGCTATAAACCTCCATGTTTAATGGTGAAATCCCCATCTTGAATCCGTCTAAGTAATTTCTTCAACAAGTAGACACAAACGTTTTTTGGAGTTATCTCATTCTAAAATTTCCAAAATATAGTATAACAATGGTATAGTTCCAAAATGATATCAGTATACGACAACTAATATGGTATATAATCCCCATTCGGAACGATTCCCCCGTTCACCATCATTTACAGTGAGGAAACCTCTAGAGCTGGGCCAGTGACTGGGCAAAAAAAAACCTTGAGAACTCATCTCATGTGTATACATGCATATATATATATATACATAAACCTATATATATATAACAGTTATACATTGACATATGTATATATATAGAACTATAAAATGTTTGTAGTTTATGGATATAGACATATGTATACATATACGAAGACATACCCTCTGGTTGTTTAACGTCGCTATGGAAGCCATGGCCCATTTATTGATGGTTTATCATGATTTATCGTTCGTAAAAATATGTAATTTCCATAGCAAGCCGTCAATATATCCTCTTATAGGATGACAAAAATCCCCACGAACATCTCCATGAGGACAATGGTGATATGTATAGTTCAATATAAAACGGAGATTATATAAATGACATCAATCTATATACCTTGTGATGTTATAGAATAATAGGAATATGTATAAAGCATTGATCTACAACATTATGGTTCTGAAATACAATAATGGACATCAATGGTTCATGAATGTCTCTAATTATGAATATCAATGAATATCAGTGGTTATATCAGTGGCTATAAATTATAACTATGATAATAATGGATATAGATAAGTATTCCTATTATAACGATTATGAACCATTGATTTTCGGAACAGCTCTCTTTCTACATCAGCGACGGAGTCGCACTTGCCGCCCTTTGTCAAGGACCATCTTCCTGACTCAGTGAGCTCCTGAATTTCTCGGGAAAACAGGGGGATGCTGGAAAGCCAACAAGAAGGCTGGGCGAAATCACGACAAAATGGTGGTGTTTAACTGATTGAACCATGCCAAATGGTGGTTTAACCCTGAAAAATGCTGGCTTTAAATCTTTAAGCTGATTTAACCATGAAAAATTGTGAAAAGTGGTTGGTGAAGCATTTTTCAAAGGGTGCAGATGTTTTTTTTGTTTTTTATGTGTTTTTTTGTGATTTTTTAAGTTTTCAGTCTGGGGCACTTTTCGTTACTATTTGCTACATTTTGGAGCAAAAACTTGTACTTTGCTGAATTTTGGAGCTAAAATTTGCCATTTGCACTGTTCATCGATTTTTCCATGGTGTTCATTGATTTACCCAAAGGTTTCATCGTTGTTTCCATAGTCTTCATTGAGTTTGCCATGGGTTCAATTGATTTGGTTTCAATCGATTTTTCCATGCATAACATGCACCTGGAGAATTTAGGTTGAAGCACAACCGTGTTGGGTCTAAATAGTGGCATTGGATGCTATCATAGTGTTGGTTGGTTTACAGTATGGTTTATTTAGGGTTGGTTTAGGGTTGGTTTAAGGTTTATTTAGTGTTGGTTTAGGGTTTATTTAAAGTTGGTTTAGGGTTTATTTTGGGTTATTTAGGGTTGGTTTAGGGTTTCTTTAAAGTTGGTTTAGGGTTTATTTAGGGTTATTTAGGGTTGGTTTAGGGTTTCTTTAAAGTTGGTTTAGGGTTTATTTAGGGTTATTTAGGGTTGGTTTAGGGTTTATTTAAGGTTTATTTAGGGTTTGTTTGGGGTTTGTTTAAAGTTGGTTTAGGGTTTATTTAGGGTTGGTTTAGGGTTTATTTAAGGTTTATTTAGGGTTTGTTTGGGGTTTGTTTAAAGTTGGTTTAGGGTCTATTTAGGGTTGGTTTAGGGTTATTTAGTTTAGGGTTGGTTTAGGGTTTATTTAGGGTTGGTTTAGGGTTTGTTTAAAGTTGGTTTAGGGTTTATTTAGGGTTGGTTTAGGGTTATTTAGTTTAGGGTTGGTTTAGGGTTTATTTAGGCCTATGTAGGGTTATTTAGGGTCGGTTTAGGGTCTATTTAAAGTCTGTTGAGGGCTGGATTAAGGTACATGTAGGGATACAAAAGGTGTGTGTATAAAGACAGATAGACAGACTGACAGACAGACAGATAGATAGATAGATAGATAGGTAGATAGATAGGTAGATAGGTAGATAGGTAGATAGGTAGATAGGTAGATAAGTAGATAGGTAGATAGGTAGATACATAGATAGATAGACAGACAGACAGACAGACAGATAGATAGATAGGTAAGGCATGGTAAAGCCACAAAAGCCACACACCCACAAAAGCCACAGAAGCCACAGAAGCCACAAAAGCCACAAAAGCCACAAAGCCAGGCTGGAAGAAAAACAAAAAACAAAAACAAGAAAAATAGCCATCCTTTTTCAAATGGTGGTTGAATGCGGATAGAATGGGAATATCATGCGGGTATCATGGAATATAGCCAACTATATGGGGTACAATCAGTGGAAATATGGAACTGAATCTGCTGGAAGGGGAATGGGAAATATGATGGGTATTTCACCAATCAATGAAATACAACAAGGAAATTCATACAATGATGAAAATATCAACAGCAATATGATGGATGATCCATCACTTGCGGCAGTAAGATGCAATCACTTGCGGCAGTAAGATAAAAAATCACTTGCGGCAGTAAGATTCAATCACTTGCGGCAGTAAGACTCTTCAAAACCAATCACTTGCGGCAGTAAGAAGTGGGGTGTATAAACATATCCCCATAGTGGGAATGGGATATACTGTTGAGGCAATATGATGGGAAAACTCCCGAACAAATGTAGGGATTTAGTGGTATATGACGGGATGTAGAACCAACTCTATGAGGCATTTGGGTGCATCTGAAACTGAAGTACACCTCTAGAACCGGGCATTTGAGCGGGAAAAGCGTTGATGAAGCCCTAAATTTAAAGGTACCCTATTTTCAGACAAACCCATCTACCCTCTGGTTATTTAACATAGCCATGGAAAATCGCCATTTCTAATAGGTAAACCATCTATTTCTATGGGCCATCTATACCATGGCTATGTTAAATAACCAGAGGGTAAGTCTAAGTTGGTCGTTTCCATGGGAAATCCATCAGGCTAGAAGCCCCAGTTCGTCAGCTGTGATTTTTTCTTTGGAACTAGATCAATGGATGGGATCATGGATGTGACTAGAATGGAACTAGAATACTATACCCTCTGGTAATTTGTTACATAGCTATTGAAAATGGCACATTTATACTGGATTTAGCCATTGAAAATGGTGATTTTCCATGGTTATGTTAGTTTACCAGAGGGTAGTTAGATTTTCGTGAATACGAACCAACTACAGCCAACTAGGGAGAACCACCTTCTACTGTTCTGTTCCATGTTTGGCCCCCTTGTTTTTGCTGTCTGTTGTGTGCCAGCTTCGTACCAGGTTTCGTCTGTGTCGCTTCACAAACGTTGCATCAGAAACATGTAGAAATAGTTCTGATGCTAAAATCATGTTTAATTGGGGTTTTAATGAGGATTTAAGGAGGAATTAATGTTAACTTTTGACTTCAATTTGGGTTCTGATGAGGGTTGATAATGTTGATATAATATAGGGTTAATACCAAACTGTTTCAATAGAAACGGTACATATTATCTCAAGTGAAGAATTTACGGGGAGCTCTCGTTTTTTGCGCTCAAATATCGGTTTTACGAACGGACTATAAACTTCCATCTGGCACGGGGATGATGTGAAGTCAATCCCGCACCGGGGCACCGTTGATGTGAAGTATATAGATGTCATTGGTTTTGAGCATGAGAAACTTGGTTTTGGTCTTACTTATCATGGTAGTTTTATCCACAAAATACATGTGACACCCATCCTATCTTTGGCAAGCTGGAACCCAAAATGACCCTCATTTTGGAGGTTGCGACCATTTGCGACCCAGAAAATGGAGGGTTACCGAACCAAATAGAGATCATTTGGGCTCCAGGAAAACACTAATGATAATGATAGTCATGATCATGATCATAAGGATGCTGGTTATTATGATAGTACATTTGTCAATGGTTGTGGGAATTATTATGGTAATTATAAGCATGATATCATATACCGTATGGTTATTTAACATAGCTATGGAACAGGACCCATCTATAGATGATTTGTTGGTTCAATGGTTTGGTCCCTATGAATCACCATTTTCCCATGGAAATGCCATGGTTGCCACCAGACACGCGCCTTGAAGCCGCTGGCTCTCAAGAGCTTGGTGCAGGCCGTCACGCAATGGTACCTCGGATGAAACAACCAGGGGATGATGAATCGGGTATAGTCAGTACATATGAACATGCTGTGTATGTGTATTTATATATATATACATATATATATATATGTATGTATATATATATATGTACGTATACATACGTAATTGTATGTATGAATTTTTTTTATACATGTCTATATATATATGAGTACATGATAGTACATGTACATATAAGTATGTACTTAGGTATATATGTATCAAGTGTAAAAGTGTGTAAATACATACGTATATATATAATCAGTGAATATATATAGAAGTATATGGCTGGATCTGTCGACCCGGACGAAGGCACCAGTTCGATTGGGATGTTCTGGGCAGGGTACAGTATAGCTATGTATAGCTGCTAGGTGTATCATGGTGTGTATGTTGATGCTGAAACTCACCACAATTTGATGCTGAAACACCCATTTGTCGAGGTTGTCTGATGTATTTTCATGTATTTTCCTGGCTCAAACTGGCTTCCGGGCCATGAAACGTTTCATGGTCACTCAGCGCTGCACGGTGAGCCCGTCTCATTCACAAAGTCCAGGAAGAGCTGCGCAGCCTTTGTTCAGTGTCCAGAGTGGAACGTAGTTGTGAATACCATTATTATATACATTATGATACTACTGGTATACCACTATAGTTGTTCATAATGGGATTATGCCTTCGAAGTGTCCATAAAAATTACTGTATAGTATCATGTTTGAATATAGTTGTGCAACTATAATTCTGCTCATCTGTTTGTCCAAAAAGGTTTTGAGATCTTTCGGTTCGATTTAACGAGATGCGTGACGAGCTCGGTTCGATTTATCAACCCGATCACCATGGAAGGGATCCTCGGAGTTTCCTACCAGTTTGGTGGTTGACCAACCCTACCCCTCTGAAGAATGATGGACTTCGTCAGTTGAGATTATGAAATTCCCAACTGTTTCTGGAAACATCAAATTCCATGGTTCCAGTCACCACCAACCAGCTATAGATGAAATAGGGATGGAATGCCCACAGCTGGTATATGTCTATAGTTGATAGTTGATTACAGTACCTATTGAATACCATTCACAACTATAGACCACCACTGTTGATGAAAAATCAACCAATCCTCTGGCCATGAAACATGGTTCTGGTTGGGTTGATCACAGAGAACCAAGAAAAATCGTCTCTGCGTCTCTGCGTCTCTGCATGTCTTATGTTTCTCTTTGTTTTGGGCATCAATTTGACAGAGTTGCTCCCAACATCCTGAATACCACGGGGTGGATAAATTGGATAGAAAAAAGAGCAACCTTGGGGTGGCTCAAAATGGTAGACCAAGATGAATGGTTTTGATGTCAAATGGAGGTTTCCAGAAATGGCGGGATCCCCATAAAATCATTGCTGTCAATACTACAATTGTCTCATGACTTGGATGATTTAGGGTATCCCCTATTTTAGGAAACCTCCAAATTCTATCATGGTCAGCCTTTTGAGCTTTCCAAAGGTACACCACCACGGCCCCAACACATCACCCGAACTCCTTCGCAGCCGTCGACATCGCGGCCACCAACCGCGGCGATTTCGCTACGCCGCCGGATCCCGATGCACTTCGAAGCTAACCATGAGCCGAAGCAACCAGCGGTGGGGAGAACTCCGAATGTTTTAGACAAGAAGCAACTCCCAAATCCACTTTGTTCAATCGGATGTGACATGGTCAAAACATGTTAAAACATGGTGGTCATCTATAGATTCCATAGAATCCTCACAGCGGGTGTATAAATTCCCATCCAAACATTCAAGTATTGATGATCATCCCCCAATATGGGTGCACCAAGTTTCCACCTGCAGGACAAACATGAACATGTCGGATCTGTCGGATGTAACCAGCAAAGAAACATCGAAAAATTGGCCTATTAAGGCCTGGATGTGGCCCGTTTAGTTCGATGATTTGCCTATTAAAAATGGTGATTTTCCATGGGTCTGTTACTTTACCAAAGGGTAGCATCTTCTAGCGAATGCTATTTTGGTTGAATTTTGGTGTCCACTAATTTAAGCAAAACCCATTGCTCAGGGTTTACAATCACTCTCGATGATGAGTTTTCAACACACCGCCCAAAATCTGGCTTAAGAATATAAAAAAGGTGTGCGAAACTGGGATAACCGACAGATTGGTATTTTCAAGCCATCTCAAAAATGTAATCCATTTTGACCAACATCCCCTATAATTTCAGGTTGTTAAGTAGCAAACTTCATTGAACATCATCGAAAACACTTTCGCTGAAGTCCTCCAGTGAAAACATCAGCTATATCCCCATGTTCATCGGGTTCGCATTCTTTTTTGCTGCTGGGGTTCCCCTGGTTACATCTTGAGCACCTGAGTCATGTTCCACCTTTTAATACCCAGCAAAAACTTCACCTTTTGATCTTTTCAGCTGGTTCGTATACAATTTCACAAATATGGTCCAAAAAAAGGAATATTGTAAAACTATAAGCTTCCCTCCAGTAATCAAACGTGGCAATGGAAAATTCGCCAGGTATGATTTTCCCAGCTATAAACCTCCATTTATGAGTGATTTCGCAGCCACGTTTGTTTCTTGGAGGGTTTCCAATCAATGAAGATCATTCCCATCATACGAGTACACCTTTTTTCCACGAATCCACTCAGGGATTTTCACCATGATTTTCGGTCAGGTTACCGGTCATCATTGCCCCTGGAACATCCAAGCACTTGGAGGATCAATCATAGGATCTGCTTGGGAACTGCTGATCAGTAAGCCACTGGTTGTGATCCGATTCGGCCTGGTTTTTCGTGGCAAATTCCCCAGCTTCATGGGTTTAAAACACCAGTTCCTACCCAGTGACATCCAGTCTCAAAGTAGGGTGATCTCCCAAAAACCTGAAATTTCCGCAATTTTTCATGGTCACTTGGGCATGGGTCAAGTCACCCTGTACCCCTATAAAAAAACACATCAAAATAGCTGGGATTTATGAATGCTCATCCCCTAAGAAAGTCTATCTATAGTACTATAGGATTCTATAGCTATTGATCCATAGCCATTTAAGGAAAGTATGCGGGTATAACCACGTGGACAAATCCTTGACTACCGCAGGGCACCCAGAGTCGTTCGTCCCGATTTTTCGCTGGATGCTGGGCCAACCTGCCAGCAGCTTGGACGCCAACATTCGCTGGTTATCGTCCGTGAAACCGGCAGACTCTTTCGCGACGTCAGGACGTCAGGGTACGTCAGGAAGTTCTGGGGCGCTTGTGGACATGTCAGGATATGATGTCATGATGTGTTGCTTGATTTGTTTTTCTGAACCCATAGGAATTAGGATACTGTATGACTTTCTCACTCAAATATTCAAGTGCTGATATAATCCATAAAAATTGGGAACGTTAACACTTCCAATGATGCAGAGGTGGTGGTTTCAAGCCCCGTGACGGAGTCATTCACCAGCGACTAGATCAAGATGACGAAAGACATGGATAAAATCTAGAGTTGACAAGTTGACAAGAATATGTGTGTTCTTTTAGGTTTGCACGGGCAAAATATACCTTTTCAATTATACATTGCTCCGATTGTACTACCAATTGACACCAGACTTCGGCAAACAAAGTGGTGCGAGACCGTCGCTGCACAATCCGCTCCACCCGTAATCCAAGACTTTCACTCTCTGTGCCTCAAGACTTTGTAGCCACCCTTTCTGTCCCTGAAACAAAATATAATTACGAATATTCTGTATATATATATATTTAATTATATATATATCATACCTATACATTCTATATGATACACGTATATATATATTTATGTTGTTGCAGGCTGGTTTCTTGCACTTAACCGTATCTAGATATATAATGGAAGCCAGCCCGACCTTCTGGCAATACCTTCCTAGTTTTTCACTGCCTTAGAAATGTCATCAAAAATTGAACAAAAAGGAAAGGCAATCTTAGATTAGATACCCAGCAAAATGTGTTTTTAAGAAATGTGTTCAATGGTCTGTAGTACATATGTCCATTTGTGGAAGGAAGAAACAATGTATGATAGTATGATACCATTCATGTTAAATTAATCATGTTTAAAACCCACTCGTATAAAATATTCGGGCAGTGTAATATAAGAATATGCGTTGTATATATACGTTATTTTTACCCACTTGTACGCAGGTCATGATCCAGTTCCTGTTCAGCAAAGAACGTACGCTTCGATGTTCAGCTTCCTGACGCCCCCCTCACTGCAGCTGCACTGGGGAGGCGCCTTAGTCGCTGCTGGTATCCCTATATCAATTCCAGCATGTTTTTCTATGAAGGTGGCTGATTACTAAGCCATGGTTGTTGGTTGCCCATGTATTCTAGTTACCCTCTGGCAATCTGTCACAGTTTTCGAACTGGAAATTCACCATTTAGAATAGGTAAATCATGGTAAATCCACGAACTAAAGGGACTTTTGATAGCTAAGGTTATCATCTGATTACATTATCGAAGGGTATATCATATCCTATCTACTAGTATCCTTGAGATGGTGCGCGATCACTTGCCCCCCGTGAAAACGGCCCCTTCGCTACCTTTCCAGCCACATGTTATAAAAACGAGAATGACATGCCCCATTTTAAAAATACTGTAACATCCCCATGATTGTGTTGCGCAATCTTATTGGTGATCTTTTGGTTCCATTATTGTTTATAAGAATGGGGTCAGATTCCATAAAATCATGTAAAATCCCAATGAAACTATGGGTAAAATGCCAATGAAACTATGGGGAACACCGCGAAAATCGGATGTACAAATCGCGATCAAAGCCGAGTCGACCACCTCAGAGCCAGAGCGTTCTGCGGGAGACGAAGATGGGATACTCAGCGCATTGGACCGCCTCGGCTGATCCGTTGGTCAGGCGGAAGACCCATTCGGCGTAAGCACGGTGAATGGGGAAAAGGGATAGAAAACGGATGATCAACCTTGGTGACAACGGTGACAACCATGCCGGGCATCATGCATTTTTCATGGAAATGTTCGGGGTATACCCCATTTGTTCAGAACCTGTTGGATCATGTTGGTACACACACTGACCAGCCGCTGAGCCGAGGCGCCATGTTCCGAAAGAGCGTGGGGTGCGCCTGGAAAACTGTGCAATGCTGCAACACTTCAAGACGTCGACAGGTGGAGGTTTCTTAAGTGATGGGGGTACCCCAAATCATCCAAGTCAGTAGACCATTTTAGTGTTGAAACCCATGGTGACTTGTGGACCCATTTTAGAAAGCGATTGTGGAATGAGTACTCTTTGTCATGGGTGTGCCCGGAAATTAGATGCCTTTGTAAGTGACCAACTATTACCATGATATTGGTAACTGGTGTAGAAATAGTTGGCAAGATCTATTACCTGTTGGTAAACATATCTGTAAAACCCTGTGCAACTATAATCACCCTGAATTAGATACAATATGAATGTTCAAACATATTCCAAATCTAGTGATATGTTTTTTTCAGTATTCTATATACTCCAGCATGACTATAGCTGGTACGTGGTTTGGTTTGCAACCCAGCAGAAATTTACCAGCTACGGGGCGGGGGGTGTTAAACAGCACACCCAGTGACTGACAACATCCCAAGGAAGAGCAGTTGTGGGTAGTGTTTCTCATGAAAAGCCTGTGAGAGAACCACTGAAACATCATGAATATTCAAGTGATGAATCAACTGTTAAAGTAATATATATATATATGACAGTTGATTGGAAATTTACCCTCTTGTAAACATACAAAAAAAACATGGAAATAACAATCTTTCGTAGGTAAATCAAAGAAAATTTCAGTAATTTGAAAAGCCACTTAAGAAGCATGAAATATATATATATATACGTATGATCTTTACCATCTAAATATCATCTAGAAGATCTTGATATCATCTATACATCATCTATAGATCATCTGTATATATACATATTTATATATACACATAATGTGTATATATATATACAGACATATGCAATTATATATTGTATATACACATCCATAACACCTTCCAGACACCTTCGCGAAATGTCCTGAATCCATTCACTGAAAAGACGATCGCAACGAATTATTTGACACAGAATCCCACAACTGTTCATTGTGTGTCTGTAATGGTGTATGATCAATACTGGCTTATCATTGGGATTAAAATCAGATATTAATGGGATGTTCATGGAATGTTCATCTGGTTGGTGGTATACCTACCCCTCTGAAAAATATGAGTTCGTCAGTTGGGATGATGACATTCCCAACTGAATGGGAAAAAAAATGTTCCAAACCACCAACCAGTTCATTGTGTGTGTGTGTCTGTATTTTTATGTATTTGTGTATGCATTTATGAAACTATCTATAGCAACCCTAAACAAAAAAAACAGATTTGGCAAAATCCTGCTGCAACTAGCAAGGTATCTTTTACCTGTTCTTGTTGGTGGCATTGTCGGTACTATCCAAGGATGTAATATAAATCCCACTGCATAAGCATGTAATTATATACCTACAAATATATATATATATAACTATTATGATTCAAACATGGTTTGCTGGAAATTCCCCCATCTAGTTCGCAAAAAAAAATAGACAAGCTTTAAACCTCCATTTCAAGGACATTGCCAAATTTAGTTTCCAGCATGGTTTCCTAAAACATCCGTTTTTCATCCAGGTATTTCCCAGCAACGGTTCTGAGGCCTGAATGGAGTAGCGTTCATCGTCGTCATTGGCCAAGTATCGGAGCTCCAAGCCGGCCGAGGCCTGGCTGCTTTTGTCAGGCCTGGTTTTCATCGAAAGAAATCATAGAGCTGTCTCTAGTCATGATAATAATATGATGTATAATATATTAGATATAAATAACTATGATGGATTATGTATTATACTTATATACATGTATGTGTATATATATATGGATATGGATCATATACATGTATATACATATATATATACACTGTATATACAGTACATTTATATCTATATAGAAACAAACAAATATGTATTTGTGTATATGTCATGAAATCATGGATGGGATGATAGTCTACTTGATGGTTTGTCCCTTCGCGGCTTTCCATAGGAATTTGAACCACGCGACAAAAATCGCCGTATTATATATATATACATATATATATATATATTGTGAATCTAATCCCCGATTAGATATCCAATTTGGGATTCTCCTGAACCTCTGAGACTGCGAAACCCTGTTTTCGCTTGCCAAGTGACAACCTCCCTCCCGCCCGTCTGCGGACGGATAAGCGGCGGCCGGCGACATTCATGTCAATGGCCAAACTGGAACATGGGATCCCTGTGGACATGTTGATGCAAAGCAGGAACAAATGACATTCATGTTGGAAAAATCACACTCGTCAAAAATCAAACAAAACAACAAAACAACAACAAATCATCAAATTTTAAACCCAAAATCAACAACTGTCTCTTAAATTTCATGGTCCGGATTCAGTTGTTTTTCCTTCCAAGTCCACATTGTCAGTGTTCCGCACTGACTGGCTCCCTTCAGAGACCCATTTCAGTCTTGACCTTTTGTCAGCTCTTTCTTGTAAGACTTTATTTTCGTCGAACAAGGCGTATCGCCCAAGTTGCAGCGCCCGTCGGAGGACTTCGCCATCCATACTTTTGGTAAGACAATCGGCCAGCATGGCTTTGCTATTAATCCAACGGAGTCTGCAATTTTCCTCGAGGCGTTCACGGATGAGTAAGCACTCCAGGGTTGTCCTGTACTCTGAACAGGCAGGTGTTGAAGTCTTCGTTGAAAGGTCATATACTGACTTACAATCAGTAGCAACCACGGCCTGAGGTGCCTCGGCCAATACCTGATTTGGATTGGACCAGTCCACCCCTGGGTTTTTCATCCATTCCCAAAATATACGCAGCCAACTCAACCGGTCAAGTGCTGCACCCAATGCCACAGCCTCAGCACTGAGTGTGCTTCGCACAACCCTTGGGATCTTTCTTGATGACCATGCCATCGGACAAATCACGGTGCGGTGATTATTCACCAGTTTCCCATCAGTTGCAAACACCAATGTCCCCTGCCTGGATGAGTTCCCTTTTCCAGAATCAAAAGATGCATCAGAAAATGCACAAAATGTCACCTCAGATTCCTGAATTGGTACAATCATGATGGAAACTGGTTTGGTTTTGGCCTCGTACAAGACACGGTTGGCCTGTATTAAATGTTCTATTCGACCATGAGGTATGGCGGCTTGAAGTTCACCAACCTTTGCTGAAAGGTCTGGTCTTGTATGTACAGAGGCGTATTGGATGCTACCGCAAATTTGTCGGAGCATTTGTGTCTCCGTGGCTGATAGAGGCGCTTTCGGCTCCATTCGGCGACTTCGAGGGATCTCTATGGGTGATATCTTTTGAATGTAAGAGTTCTGCTCCATCTCAATGGATCCATCGTCCCACTGAAAGTAATGAACACCACAAAACTCAAACTCCCCTTCATTGTAGGCCCAAAAACTGTAAATGCTCTGAAGTTTTCCAATGACCTCCCTAAAATAAGAATCACCCCTACCGATCCCATCATCGACGTGAAGACCTAGGCAACCCCGAACTTTTGGTCTGCCTTGACGATCGTGTGTCACCAAACTGAAAACACATCCGTCAAAAGGACATACCACAAAGCCTAGGGACTCCAAAGTTTGTTTCAAGGTCCGATACCACAGAATTGGAGCATCAGCTCTGCCGTATGCCCCTCCAACAAGACTGCATTGGTCCCCTGGCCTCATGCCAATGGCCTGTTGCAATTCCGGAGGTGCATGCAATCCAAGCTTTCTGCCATCTCCTTCGCCCTTGAGAAATGCTGTGGCAATATCGAAGTTAATCAACTTCCAACCCCGACTTGCTACCTGCTGCAATACCAACTGTTTCCCATCCTTACTTAAGGTTGGGGCATCTGCAGAGATTGTGGCCAGCTGTGGATCTTCAAATCCAAGGACTACAAGCCGTGCCTTTGCACGTTTTTCTGTACAGCCCGGCATTGGAGGTTTCCAAGAGAGGATCCATCGGCATCTCATGATCTGATCATCACGGAGTGTTCCCCGTGATACTCTTTTTACAGTGCCATGATCTACCCATGCGCCTATCTCCTTGGCCTTTGCCTTCTGAAATAGGTCCCTCTCTTTTTCATTTAAATTCTTCCATTGTATTTCTACTCTCTGCTTGCGAGCACCAGTTGCCAAATTGGCCCACTCCAAAATCTCTGGGCTCTCACACAAACAGATTTGTTCACACTCATGTTCCGGTCCATTCTCAAAACTCAGTTCCCAAACCCCACTATCCCCACTTATTACTGGAAGATCGTCCCCAAACAACAAATCCCCATCATCCCCATCTGGGACAGGAACCTCAACAGGTAGATCAAAATCAATGTTTTGGGGTTCTTCTGGGATCATGGGATTCTCGGAATCATCTAATATGGACGGAACTGGAGAAATGGAAGATTGATGGTCAGACGGAAAATTTTCACCCTCCGGTTGGCTGGGCAGTTCACTTAGACTGGCACTAATCTGCGGTGGACTTGGCTCAGGCATCTCATCGCATGGCCCATCCTCTGGAATGCCCTCCAGTGGAACATAGTTCTTGCAGTTTCGGATGACCTCATTCACAATCCTGCCGCCAGCATCACAACGCAGTGCCAAGTGCTCTCGCATGGAAGCTGGACGCAGTTGCTGCGGGCTTGCACGAATTAAATACCCGCCGTGGCTGATCCAGACTACCTTAGAATTTTCAATGGTGATAATTTGTCCTGGGCCGTGCCATCTACCCCGTTCCCCTTTCTGGTTCCCCTTATTCTGCCTCCAATACAGTACCCAATCCCCTTTATCAAACCAATGTGGGTCCTTTCGGGTTCTTCTTAATAAGGCACGCCTCAGAGCACTACTGTTATCGGCAGTTAAGAAAGCCTTTCTGGCCATCTCTCTGCGTCTGAGACTGTCTCGAAATTCAATGCCCTCAGGTGATGCTGACTCAGCCAAACTGTGAGCAGTTGCGTCAGGATCAGACATCAATGATGCAGGAATAGACCGCGACTTTCCCATTACCGCTTGCTCGGGGGTAAATCCTCCTACACTGCTTAATGAGTTCTTCGCCGCAAACACCTGACGGAGGCATCGTTGAAAATCATCGGGCGTGCAAATTGGCTCTTCTATGTCCATTGATGTCAGCATTTGCTTGACCACTCTGCCGTGTGCTTCTGCCCTGCCCAATTGCCAGTGACTTTCACCAGCTGTGACGGACAATTTGATTCCTTCCTTTTGAAGGAATTCATGCCATCCGTCATTGACATATTCTCCAGCAGGATCTAAGTACAACAGTTTACACGGACCAGCCCAATGCAACCATGTACCCTCAAAAGTCTCAATCTGCTCCCCAACCGTACGGCCACTTGGTCTTCCCAAATGATACATTGTTGCTTCATCAATAAAATGCATAAAGTGGAACTTGCGACCCTGCCTATTTGTCCAGTATGCCCCATCAGCACCAACAATGTCATTAAAATCTCTGGCAACATGGATAGCTGATGGATTCGGAAGCCGGGGCTTTGCCTGGGACTCAATGCACGAGTCGCATTGATAGTCGCGTGCTGCCTTCACGACAGCTTCACTTGCACCCTGTTCAAGCAACATTCGACTCAATTTTTCGGGGGATGGGTGTCCTAGATTTGAATGGATCCTCCGAAGGTCGGCCTTTTGGGAATTCTCCAGTGATTCAAAAGCTGGTCCACTCCGAGGTACTATCCTAGGGGGCCATGCACTTACACTGACCTCTCCCTCCGGAGGATAAAACTCAGAACCCCCTTCCCCATCCCCTTCAGGGTCCATTAACTCATCCCCTACAACTTCCCCGTCACCAACCTTCTGGGCTCGTACGTCTCCATCATCACTTTTTGGGGGTTGTGGAGGTTCTGACGGTAATCCCCTTTGATTTGAGTCGGACATTACCCCAAACAGTGAAATTGACATCCGTGCTGAGCCAGCCTTACGGGTGAGAAGAAGTTTTGGAAGACCTTTCCAGTTTTCAGGGGGCCCCTTATCGACAATCTCCCCACTACTTCGATCAACCAAAATCGTTTTTCTCCATGGCATTTCTTCCCCTCTAGCATAGGCTCCTGGCACTCGAAATCGCTCGGTTCCACGACAGATCAGAATGAGTCGGATGTCCATCTCTGGAACCATCATTTGAAATTGAGGGAACATCTGATCCCCTGGTCTCATGGCGAGGTTGCCAACCCGAGGAATGTCGGAGTTACACCGTTGAATGATTTTTGACCAGGTGGGACTCCGACCATACAGTTGAAATTCATGCTTTAAATCAAGTGATCGTGGTGGCCTCTTAATTCCATAGCGTTGTCGCTTTGGACTTGCTGAGTCGTCTGGTGCCATTTCTGGTCGATCATGTTCTTCAGATAAAGCAAAAACTTCGGACATGACTGGGTTTTCTCGGATTTGGCATTCCTCCAAGACAAGTTTGGCTATTCGTGATCCAAAAATTGGTGTATATGCTGCGGCATATGCTGAGACATTTGTCCTCTTCCCCTGATATTTCATGGATCCCTGTATGATAGCATGAACATGGTTGCCCTCACATCGTTTGTCATGCAAATGATGGTAGACATAACCACTCGTTGTTCGAACCTTAGTTCGTTTCCGTAGGAATCGTTCTTGATGGGGGAGTTTAAGTTTGCCCAGCCTACACATATCGAAACATGCCTCGTATGTGCCTGACACCAGTTCTTGCATCTCCACTTGTTGAGTCATACATGATTCTGCAGGTTGTTCCAAGTGCGCATGTCTTTTGTGGGAAACTTGGTGAAGATAAATCTCATTACATAGCCATAGTTGACCACGATTCTCATGACGTTCCTGGGTGATCTTTTCAAATGACTCCATTCCCTTGGACATGTTCAAATTCGCAAATTTCCCATACAACCTGCACTCGGGGGCCAACCACACATGTCTTGGTTCATACATATAAATCCACAGCCAAAGTTTCTGGATGCCCTCTTCGGTCCTTAAATCTCCATCTCCCCGGGTAAAACGCATGGCCCTTCCCCCATGTCTAAGCACTTGTTGGGTGATTTGGGACCCCTCTTCGCAATACACCTCAAGGATATCCAGTGGCCGACTTTGCTGTGAATTGGATTTGGACTGCGTGACCATATTGGAAGAACATCCCCTTAAACCATCCAAAGCAAATTTAATGGGAAGCTTTGACAAACCGCCTTCTACTTCCATGATATATTCTTGAATAGCTTGGTGAATTTCTCCTTCCTGGTCAACCGATATCGATGAAATAGGTTCGTCACTCTGAATGAATTGAACGGTGGCCTCAATCATTTCTGTGTCTTCTCGTCGCTGCTGTCGTCGGGAATCTTGAGCTCGTTGGCCAGTTCTCTCTCGAGAATGGCTATCTGGGTCCGCAGCTTCTGAATCTTCTCGGGGTCGGCCTCGGTACTCATACGATTGGATGAAGCTGTGGTGCTTCCCCGTTTGTTCACTCGACCCTGACTTGATGCCACCTGACTGTGCTTCTCGACTTCGATCCACTCGCCCACGGTCGTCGATGGTCGGGTTTGGTTCATGGTCTCTTTGACTTTGGTGATGGGCTTGGCTGCCTTGTGTGGCTGTGGACTCTGGGCCATCACGGGCTCGGTGATCACCTGTGTGGATGACATTGCAGTCTCGTCGGGCCTCATGTGTTGAACCATTCTGCAGTACATCTGAAAACTGCGCAGCCAGCTTGACACTGCTCGACGATTCCACACCTGATGACGGTAGCCCAAATCCTGATGGGCCTCTGAGAAGGTCTTTCCTGCATGCTTTCCGGACGGGATCTTCAACTGACCCCACTGGCGTAGTGAGGCAATGTCCGGAGGTCGCGTGAGCGTCTCCGGAACTGACTCTGGGAACTGGTGACTTCCCCTTAGGTTCGGATCTACCTCGACCGTCAAGGCCTCGTCGAGGTAACCCTGGCTGTGACTCATGGCTAGTGCCAAAATTTTCTTTTCCTGAAAATTCGGGGGCTTGAGGGTTAATGGCAACATCATTGCAATTCCCTTGAACTTGCAAACTTTGGACGTTCCCACCTTCAACACTTTTCTGTACATGGTTCATGTCATCACAAGGCAAAAACTTTTCCGGTTTCGGATCATGATTCTTCTGGGGATTTTCCTGGTTTCCTTCTTGAGCATGGTTATTATTAATCGGACCCCTTACTCCCACATCCTTTCCCTTTGGTGGATCCCTGTCCAGTCCTGTCCAGTCCATGTGTGTCACATTCGAAGCATGTTGGGTATGATGAATCTCATGAGGCTCATGATTGTCATATTCGTTTTCACGTTTCAAGTTCAACACTTTTGAAAAATCAACACACATCAAGTTCTTACGACATGTGCCTAGGGGAATGCTTCCTTGAAACCCTTTGAACCATACATGTCTCTCATGAGTATCAATGACAGCCCGTAGTGACCTAAGAACTGAATTGGACAACAAAAAAGATGTTCGACCCGGCACAACTTCAATTCTGATCCAACCACCAGTTTTCCGTGGGAAAAACACTGCAAAGGTACTTTGCAACGTTCCGGAGTTGCCAAAACGAAATGTGACACTGGATGGAGCCCTTTTGATTTCTCCTTCAACACCACATGACTTGATCAACCCTTCCAGGCGCTGAGATCCAATGACAGCACGACTGGCTCCAGTGTCCAGGATGGCTTCATGGCACTCCTCTTCAATTTGGAAAACTTCAGTGAATTTTTCACTGTCGGGCGGATCCGGCTCACCATTCACATGGGTGTGCCATGAATTGAACGACTCATTGCATCGCTGAGACTCACTTGTGCACGTGGCCACCACTTGGATTCCATGCTTCCTACAACAGGACATGAGTTTGCTTTGGAGCATTCCAGTGAAACCCTTGGACCCCATGTCATGTTCCCCAAAACAACCAAAACAGTCAAACACCCTTGCCTGACTTGTTTGATTCCCATGTCCTTTTTGAACCCCGGTCTCCTGCCATGACGTAGCATCATCGGGCAGCTGATCAATGACCTCGACCATGTTCGACTCTTCCATGGTATCCTTCTCGACCATCATATTGATTGTCTCAGCCTTGCGACCTTCGGCTCGTTGAGGGCACTCTCTCTTCCAGTGGCCCGGCTGTCCGCAAATTCTGCAAGTCGAATTCGCTATCCTGTCGGCCAACGACCTTCTCTTGCCGGCCATTGAGAAGGTGTTGACTCCCCCACCAGCGCTCTTGCCCTTCTTGAACCCCTTCTTGCCACGGCCTTTGACAGGCCAGAAGCCCCTGGCTCGGGCCCGTTCCCGGACTCTCGCCCGTGCCTCTTGGTATGACACATAGATGGCGGCTAGTTCTGGACTGTCCTGAACTGCCTCCACCACCTGATCTTCGAAGTCGCTCACGAAGACGGCGTCCTCGTCCCCTTGTTCGGCCATCAGCTGAAAGATCGCCTCCTCGTCAATGTCCATGGCCTCCCCATCGTGAGATGAGAAGTTCACCGGTTCCTCATCCTCCGCAGCATAGGCATCGTATGTCTTCTTGCCCTGAGCGTTGCGATTGCCCTGCAAGTCCTGAAAGAACCATGATCCAAGGAGACGAAGGCTCTTCCGAGCTGAGTCATAGGTCAACTGGCCACCATTGTCCATGATAATCTTCTTCCGATCCTCAGAGCTAAGTGCGGACTGTCTGATCAGCACATATGCCCTCACATCATTGATTGAGATTGATTTCGCCAAGAGATCCTCAAAGGCAATGTCATGACGAGCCAGGTAAGAATCATTTGTTTCATCCTGCTTTTGGGCCACCATGTACAATGCCCTCTCGAACAGATCGTATCGATCCTCAGTGTCTGTCCTTCCCCATTGGCCGCCCAGTGCTTCTATGAGGTGTTGGACACCATCGGCGGATCGAAGCTTGGACGGGTCAACCCGGGCAATCTTCTGAAAGGCTGCCCCTTCAATCAATAGGGCAGCTCGAGGAGCAAGGTGCTCCAGGTGTTCCTGAGGCCAAATCTGCCTGAGGAATTGCATCTTCTGGCTGTATACTCGGAGATCAGTATGTGTAGGGTCGAACTTTGGAATCTGCCCCCATGGAAGTGAACTTGGTGGGAAACTTGAAGCCGAAGTTGGATCGGTCACTGCTTCCGCTGACCCGGACATGGCTCACACCTACTGGAAACGGTGTGCAGTCTAGTGCCTGCTAGACCTGATTTTGCTAATGAGACCCTGCCTCAACCTCCTAGGACCTTCCTAGAAGTATAGAGCACTCCTACAGCGGCAGCCCAGTGCTCCGCTACCAATGTGAATCTAATCCCCGATTAGATATCCAATTTGGGATTCTCCTGAACCTCTGAGACTGCGAAACCCTGTTTTCGCTTGCCAAGTGACAACCTCCCTCCCGCCCGTCTGCGGACGGATAAGCGGCGGCCGGCGACATTCATGTCAATGGCCAAACTGGAACATGGGATCCCTGTGGACATGTTGATGCAAAGCAGGAACAAATGACATTCATGTTGGAAAAATCACAATATATATATATATATATATGTGTGTGTATGTATGTATGTGTATATATATATATGTATATATATGTATATATATATATATGTATATATGGACGTTTCCTAAAATGGAGGTACCCCTAAATCATCCATTTAAACAGGATTTTCCATTATAAACCATCCATTTGGGGTTCCCCCATTTTATGAAACCTCCATATATAGCCAGCAGCAAAAATTGCTAATGAAGCCGAGATGCGATAGTTCTATCTGAAGATTGCTGGCTTGTGATAACATTTAAACACTCCAAATTCCAAATGGATCCAAATGGCAGTTGAACAAATGACGTAAATTGGGATCATTATCCCAGGGTGAAAAGTCAAAAAATACTTTCCAGCGGACGTGTTGAAGCCAGCAACTGTTTGGGGCGCAAACAAGCCAAAAAAAAACATGATTACTAGTTAATTTGGATCACCCATGAAACAACAAGTACCCTTTGGTCATTTGAAATAGCTTCGGAACATGGCCCATAGAAATAGATGATAAACCTGATGATTTGCCTAGCTATAAAATGGGGATTTTCCAGTTCACAAACCGTGAAAAACACCCAGGGAGCGGCCAGGGTGACATGGACATTACTTTAGATACACACACCAAGATGTCGGAGGTATCACCAATATTGACCCAGTACAATCCCAGTACAATTACTTCACTAACTGTTCCTGCAATTAAAAAAATCTGCAGTACTAACTACACATTAACGTCAGGCCTCAACCCACCTACCATCCACAACTCCGAGACGCGCCGCGAGAGACTCACTCCGAACCAAGGGGCCCAAAGAGAACTCCAGACTCCGGGGCGGAGTTCGGCAACACGACATACGTCCTGAAAAGCCATGATGGTGCCCCAGATCCAAAACGCTAAACTGCTTCAGAAATGTTGGTGAACATTTGGGTTGATGCTGATTATAACATATTAATACATATTATATCATAACTATAGTTATAATGGATGTCAATACATATTATAACTACCGTACGTATACTTACAATAGATGTCAATAGGTACTATCAACCAACTTTTACCTAGGGGGCACCATATTGTACTGGTCGGTTTTGGTTGGTGGATAGCGATTTACATCATGGAGATCTAATAATCCTCGCAGCCAGCTGGTTATGTAGTTGAGAGCGGGATTCCCAAGTACGCCAGTTTCTGTACTATAAGCTAGTACCAGTACCCGACCTCATCGGATATAATAACCTATAAATTAACCAGTTGGTACAACCATGTATGTGTATGTACAAATATACATTTATGCAGCGATGAACCAGCAAGGGTTTAGGGAATTGCTCAAGAATATGTGAACCACCGATGCTGAAAAGCTAGGGAAATCAACCTCTGATACTTGTGGGTATGTTTCTTAAATTCCCGAAATGTCTCTGGGTTTATTTCCTATATAATTGAATTCCATTGTTTCCGAATATACCCCATTTCTGGCCATACCTTGCTGCATACATTAGTTTATGAAACTGCGTGCGTGTACGCATGTCTGCATCCGCATGGCTCACAGAGCATTCGCCGCATGGTCAATTGCTTCATCTTTTATCCATTTGAGCTGTGTCTGCTAACCCCCCCTGTTGGTTACTGTTGGTTGATGGTTAGGGTTGTACTCCCTGGTCTGGTGGGGATTGTAAGCTGCCCTATTCTGGGAACTCACCAACCAGTAGAAAGGAATCACAACTATTCACAAACCAGAAGAACAGAATAATTCTTGTTGATATTCTCAAAAAAAAACCGCCAGGATATCACACTATCCCAATAATATGCCCATGATTCATCCGTGATGTTTGTCCAGAAGAACTCCGGAAATCTCGACATCTCCTCGGAGTAGCGTAGACGAAGTACCTGCACCTGGAAAGACTCTGTGGGTCGTTGACCATAAATGAGCAGTGTTCAAAATCCCTCATTCCATGAAATACTGGTTGGCTAGTAGGGATTTCCCTGGATTATTACAGTATAATTATCATCTCCAATATGTAAAGGGTAGTATAATCACCGAATTTAATCGTCAACGTCAACCGAACACTGCTCAAATAGGTGTCAGGAAAGTGATATGTTTGGTGGGAAGGACTGGGACTGGGAGAACCCCAACCAGATAAATTTTAACCATGAAACCATGGGATGCTATGGGATTTAATGGAATATTCATGGAATGATCATAGGAATATCATGGGGGTACAATGCCGGGCTATAACCGACAAGAACGGTGTTTTTTCATGGGGTATCTACCTTCAATGACAGGCAAAACGATTATTAACGAGGGTTTTGATGGGACATTAGTGGGGATTTCGTGGGATATATAACAAACATAAACAAACCAACAATCCAATGTCGGTCTGTCTGAAAATGGGCGATACCTCAAAAATGTTTTTTGGATGAGAAAACAATTACAATCCATGAGATTTGGGGTACACATGCATAGATATGTATGGGACTAGTGTCGTCAAGTCCCGTTTGAAGTACTGTTCAACCGCCTCTCTTCAAGAGCTTTTTACATCTATCTACAGTGTTTCGTGTTTGAGCATTTCATTCCTCATGAGGGCTGTTCTGACTTTTAGGGTTGGGGGTGAGGGGTTCGGGCTTAGCGTTTTTTGGTGTGGGAGGGAGGGTGAGGCTGGGGTTTGAAGGGTGAAAGGATGTAAGGGGGTTAGGGTTGAGCAGGATGTAGCCGAAGATTGTCCCACAAGGATTACTGTTGAAGAACGAGCAAGCTGGTTGGACCCCCATGTTTTTTGTTCAAATGCCCATGTTTGTGGCTTCCAGCATGATGTTTTTTTAAACCAGATAAAATTATCAACCATCATTAACCATATATAATAACCATTAATATTAAGCATTATCAACCATTATTAACAGTATATTAGCCACAATGTTAACCAGTAATGGTTCCTCATTTTTAGGTGAAAATTCTGGAACCGATGATAATCAATTTCCCATGGTTATATTATTCCATGTTTATAATGTACCATTAATAATTATAACCATATATTAACCACAATTACTATTATTCCTATGTTTTGTGGAATTTTTATTCTCCCCATGTTTCAGCAGTCTCGGTGGAAATCCTCATCTAGAAAAAGCTTGCTGTGCTTATGCTGAATCCCTCCATTTTCAGGTCCACCCAAGTGTCATATACTGTTGGTGACATATGATTATACGTTTTATTTATGTGTATATATAATATGTAATATAATTATATATATAATATGTAAATATATATATACACATATTAATATTGTTGTATTTATGTGTTATATATATAGTGTGTGTGTGTAATCTTGATTCTTTGATGACTCCAGCGCCGGATTCCCGTGCCTCAGAAACGCCTTTGCCGGACCTCAAGGCCATGAGATTCGGCCAGCCGCGCTTCATGGCCGCCTGGCGGTGGCGGCTTCATCAAGCGGCGTCAATGGCGAGAGGGGCCCAGTGAAACTGGACCAAGTCTACTTACATCTGGTTGGTGGTTATTATGATGGTTATATGATAGTTATATGCCCAATTTTCATGGTTATTATGATGGTTAATGATGGTTAATAACTATATCTGGTTGGTGGTATACCTACCCCTCTGAAAAATATTAGTCAATGGGATGCTTATGAACCTGGAACCCTCAAAAAGATAGAAAAGGAACAATTCATCACTATTTTCCTGGTTGGTGGTATACCTACCCCTCTGAAAAATATGACTTCGTCAATTGGGATTATGAAATTCCAAATATATTTGGGAACCAAGTAGGTGTAAGTATTTGATGTACTTGCTTCACCAAATCCACCTGGGGGTGTAATCTAGTTTTAACTGGATTTGGAACACACAAACTCAGGATACTCACATGAACCAAGTAATTAAGCAATCTGGTTGGTGGTTTTAACCATCTTGAAAAATATTAGTCCATGGGAAGGATTATCCCATATAATATGGAAAATATACAATGTTTGAAACCACCAACCAGTAACTGATCTTCACACTGATCTGGTGGGTTTCTTGGTACCCGGTACCCCAGTTGTGAGTCATGGCCAGGTTTTTTTCACCAGGAATCATAGGCTGAACAAAATGTTTTACTCAAAAAGATCTCGGTTACTTGGACTGACCCGGAAATGATGGATTTTCCCAATTTCCACATGTTTCTGTAATCAGATCTGAAGAAACTTCCCTCCCAAGGAGATGCAACAACCATGACCAAGAGGCACCGAGCCTTCCTCACAAAAATCATGAAAACGGGTGCAAAGCTGAATTTACCATGGTTTCTTGGCAAATGGTGCCCAAAAAACAATTTAAAGAACTGTTTTTTTCTAATGGATGGTATATTGAAGGTACATTGAAGATCTAGGGTGCGGACGCTCTTGGGCAACATACCTTTTCCTGCTGTTCGCCATTCAAATCTGAGGCTATGGTTGATCTTGGAAGCCACCGACTGCATCAGGTCTATTGTGTTTCACTCAAGCTGAAGCTCAGGAGGTAACAAATACTGGTAAACTTTCCCGCTCCTGGGCACTCCATCCACCTTCGGTGTCAACATGCTCACATACAGCGATCTGTCATGAACCAAGAGCGCCCGAGGGAGCAATCCGTTGGGGCACTGCAAAACTTCCATGAAAGCTGCTCTCTCTGGGTGGAAGGCCCACACCTTTCCTTGAGGTATGTCAGCAAAATAGATGGTTCCACCTTCAGCTACGAACAGGTCACTTCGAATGGATGTGCTTTTTGGTCCCAGCGCAACAACTTCCAACTCCTCAGCTGTATTGATGCGTAAAATGCGGAGGTTTTGGTTCTTGTTGTCCAAAAGGTAGATCACATCTTCTTTGGTTACAAAGATGCTGCGCGTTGAAAACTGCATGTCTTCTGAAAGACTCTCAGAATCAATCACAGTCTGCAACGTTGAGCCCACTAACTTTTGCACTGCATGCCCACCCTGGCTCACCACATACAGGACCCCCTTGGGCGAGTAAAACAGGCCTTCAGCATCAATATTTTCAGCAACTAAATGTGCCGATCCATTTTCACAACGGAGAAGCCTCCGTTTCCTGAAATCACCCACGGACATCTCCCCGACGGCGGAGATGGACAGGCGAGCACAAGATCCTAACTCATGGATTCCCGGCACTTGGATGACACTGGTCTCAGGGTTGCCAGGCTTCCAACAAAGGATACGCGTCTTGCTGCTTGGTAGGCACTCCGATTCCGAAGCAAATATCGCACCGTTGTGCCAACACAAAGAAACACAGGGCGCGGACAGCACTACTCGCCCAGCAGCACCGGCACCCAAAAATGGTGACCAATGCTGAAAATGACGTCTCTTCAATTGAAGGGTGCCTGGACTTTGTTCATTATTTCGGTCGGTCAAAGCGTCCTCAACTTCTCTGTGAAGGTCGTCGCCACTCTGGCCAGAGAGAGTTGTATTGGTACTGCCAAGGCGAAGCAAATTCTCAAAGGATAGTGACTGGAAATGAACATGTTGCAGCAACACACCCAGCAATGACTGTCTGTCCTTAGAGATCTTGAGCCAAGCAAATATTGCTTTCACCACTGCCTCTTCCCGAGACACACCCAAATCTTCTCTTTTCAAAATTCGTGCCAGCTGAGTGGCACTGAGCTTCCCGAAATCTGGATGCTGGCTGCAAGTCTCAAAAGCTTTCACGACCTTCTCTTCACATTTGGCTCTCAATGAATGAAGGCCATGTGCTTCTGGTAGGACTTGCAGGGCAACACTGCTGTCCAAGCAGGCACGGATGCCTGCCTCAATTGCCCTTGCCAGCTGTGGCAGGTCGTAAGCCTCTGCCAGTCGTAGGACTTCTAGACCAACTTCCACTGGCACTTCAGGCTGCCCATCATAGATGTAGTCCAGCAATGCAGACAACGCCGCTTTGGACGCAGCGATTTCCACTGGCTGCTTCTGTTGCACCCTCTCTGCTTCCAGAAACGATCCTCCCAGCAGATTCTTAAAAAACACGCTGGCAGCAGATAGCACGGCCGTGTGGGCGCGATGCTCTGTGCCATCATGGCTCTTCAGCACCACATCACAGAGATGGTCGTCCACCCAGAATTGTCGCAACTGCTGCATGAGGCTGGCTCGATGCCGCGCCGGGTCTGAGTGTTCGAGCTTGACAGCTCCCATGGCACTCACTAGATGGCTGTGGAACAGCCGGTATCCAGTGGCTGTGCTTGGTCCTTTTGTGATGACCATTTCCCTTGTTGTGCTGAAACAAACAAGTAATATTGAAATTCTATGCCATATACTAGCCAGCATTCAAAGATATCAATATGTCTCTGTGATCTGTCATGGCTTGCCATGAATTGGGCTTGTAGCCCTGAGATCCGAGATGTTGGAGTCACTGGATTGGTTCTACGGAAAGGGAAACCATGGTTTTTCTACCATGACATAGAAGGGCCTCCTGCAAATGTCCACTTCAATTGCACTACTTGAAGGATCATGCCACTTAGATCCACTTACTCGAAGTGGTCAATAGGCCGGCTTGGGACGTAGGAAAGTACCTGGAAAGTACCTGCACTTCGAATTCAAAGTGCAAATGTGGTACAAATATGGCTGGTAATACCCTCTGGTAAACGTTTACATAACTATGGAAAATCACCATGCTATTCATAGGGAAAATTCACAAACTACATGGTGATGTTCCATAGTTATGTTAGTCATTACCAGATGGTAATCAGTTACATCCAGTGAGATGGTCCCCTAAGTCCCCATCGTTCCGTGCAATCCGAAACGCACCTCCCACTGCAGGCTGCCTGGCACAACGCAGAACTGGCACAACACGGAACGGGAACAACGCCGTTTGGCTTTTCAACATGGGTCCTTTACCGGAGAAACTGATGATTCTTTGATGACATTTTGGAAGGCCCTATTTTCAGAGAGAGTCACATATATTAGATTATATTAGAATATCCTTCAATATTGGAAAATATGAGAAATTGTTGAGTGTTCAGATCAACATCATTTTGTTGGATGCCCCGTCCTGAACCAGACTCCGTGGGGGGGACCAAAGGAAGCCCCGATAAGAAAAGTGGCCCAAACATCTAAATTCATTCGTGTACCAAAAACCCCACAGGGTGCCCAGTTATACTGTAACTTGGTCTATAACTCCCTCGAACCATAGATATCTCCACTGTAAACCTGTCACTTCGTCACATAGAAATCCACATCTTCTTGGTGAAATCCCAACTTTTGCTGGTGAAATCCATGTTACCGGCAATTTCTTAGCGAACTGGAAGCCATGGCCTGGCCGAAAGTTCGCAACGATTGAGAGGCCAAATCCCATCATCATCAAGTTTTTGTACCCGGCCTGGTAAACGTTTACACTTTGCGACATTCAAAAAATTGCCATTTAGTGCGTTGATTTACCCAGCTATAAAATTGTGGATCTTTCCATATAAATCACCATTATGCCATGGTTTTCCCATGCTTTTCCCATGGTTTCCCATGGTTTCCCATGGTTTACCAGAGGGTACATGGCCTGAACAAATCAACCGCAACCGGCGACCGGCGCGCACCTTCCACACCCAGGAACCAGCGGCATCGCAACTCATCGGCCAGTTCGGCAAAGGCTTGGTACCTGGTGAGTTTGCTTCGGGGCTATGGTCGAGTCTTATCTGGATATAACCAACAATGTAAGAGAGATATATATATATAGATATATAGGTAGATATAGATATATAGATATATATATATAGATATATATATATAGATATATATAGATATATATAGATATATATAGATATATATATATAGATATATATAGATAAATATAGATAAATATAGATAAATATAGATAAATATAGATAAATATAGATAAATATAGATAAATATAGATAAATATAGATAAATATAGATAAATATAGATAACTATAGATAAATATAGATATATATATATATATAGATAAATATAGATATAGATAAATATAGATAAATATAGATATATAGATATATATAGATATATATAGATATATATAGATATAGATAAATATATAGATATATAGATATATAGATATATATAGATATAGATAAATATAGATAAATATAGATAAATATAGATATATAGATATAGATACAGATATATAGATAAATATAGATAAATATAGATAAATATAGATATAGATATAGATACAGATATAGATAGCCTTTTAGACTTCAAGCGCGCTGCCGCAACGAAGCTCGTTCCAGCATGCAGAAGGAAAAAAAAAGATCTAGATAATGGGATATGGAGATTTAATGGGATATTAACTTGATGTGGATTACTCTGCAATGGGAATTACAAAGATTTCATGTGGACTTAACCAACAATATACGGAAAAAACACTGAATTGGAACTTGGAAAATCTTGGAAATCTTTAGGGAATACTTTTCTACTGGAAACTCAAGTTGTCTTTTCCTGGCGGGTTGAGCATGAACCCATGGCCAATCGTAGACGCCCCAATATCAAGTTGCCGATCCAAGGGTGACCAAACTTTCACCAACAGATGGATTTTGATGACAAGAAATGGACAGATTTTGATGTCAAAACTTGGTGAACTGAATGAATTAGTCAGAAAATAATATCTAATTGGTAATATCTATTGGTAATATCTATTGGTAATATTAAAACTTGGTTAATTTTAAATGTAATATCTATTGGTAATGTAAAAATACTGAATGAACTGAATGCAAATCTAAATTATACAGTAAATACAGAAAAATACACCAACACTTACGAGTGCTTTGTCACCAAATATGCAGATTTCACCAAAAAGAATTTGCATTTCACACCACCAAAGAATGGGAAGACCATCCAACCACTGAGATAGAATCGAATAACCCAACACTTTTTTGGGTAAAAATCAAGTAACGTATGGTACAAATCAGTAAAGACCCTTGGGATTTGGACACAAAGTTCTGATTTTTTCAGTGCGCAACATCCTTCATATCCAACGACTCCCTTGAAGATCAATCGTCACTGATTTAGAAGAGATTTATCAATGGTGTGTCAATGATTTTCAAGAGGGTTATCAATGGCTTAGCGATTTCAAGATTTTCCAGTAGCAGGTGGATTATCATGATGTTAGGATCATTTAGCTGGGATTGAAATAGCTACTGTCCGGCAATCGAACTTGGCCATTGGATTAAAATTGGTTTGTCTGAAAATAGCATACCCATGCTTACCCCATCCATCCACATGTTTACTGGCAAAACTTGGGATGTAGTCCAAAATTGCTGCTGGAAATCAACCGAGATCACCCATCGCTTTGGTTCTCTATCCGATATATCCTAGTGAATCACCCCCTCTATAATTACTTGAATTATACACGGCTTTGTCTGAAAATGGTGCTATCCCCAAGATGATCATTGAAAATGATAATCAGTGAGATGTTCTGCCGGCTTTTCCCTCAATTTGACAAAATTCAGATGTTAAAAATCAGCGATTTGCCCACTGCCGCTCCGTTGTGAAGCATCGCAAAAGGGGCACTCCATGTCCACCTCTTCTCCCATCGCCGCCTCGATGCGGGGGCAAATCACTAGAGGGACCTTATCTGGTTGGTGGTATACCTACCCCTCTGAAAAATATGAGTTCGTCAGTTGGGATGATGAAATTCCCAATATATGGAAAAATAAGCAATGTTCCAAACCACCAACCAGATATACTATGATTGACCAAGTATAGCATATTACATAGCTGAGAAACCTTATGTACACAAATGATGTTTCAAAATGCTTCTCAGTTGTTGAGTATATGTTTACATGAGATGTACCTAATTTTTGTCTAACCGAGAATGGGCACTCTGAACAAAACGCTCATTTTTATTTCAGTACTGTAGTGTCACGACTTGGATGATTTGGGGATACAGTACCCCTATTCCGGGAACCCCTATTCTAGGAAACACCCATACATCGAATTTATTGGGCTGGAAAGATTTGTGGGAAAAAAACAAATATCTAAGCACTTTGTACGTTGGAAAAGTGCTGGAGTAAGAATCTGAACCAACCCCCAAGTTCAGAAAAAATAATCTGAAAATTGACATTTAAAAACATTTATATAAACTAGGAGACATTCCATCCACATACTCCAGGATGATTCTATGATCGCTCAATTTGGCCGCTAAAGTAGCTACTACGTGCAAAACCCACCCCCGGGCAACGCCTGAGGGACTACAAGTTCAATGTTTAATCTCATCCATCTATGACCAACATTAGATAGATAGATAGATTGATTGATTGATAGATTGATAGATTGATAGATAGATAGATTGACTGATTGATTGATCCCCTGCACTTGTAAAGCTGCTTGGTAAATGTTCTCATGTATGGCAACAGAATAGAGAATCACACTACCCATCCTGTCCGTTTACCACGTTTACTCAGCCAACCCATACCCATACGCATCTCTTCCAGTTGATTTCGCCTCTTGATTAAGTCTACATACCCATCATACTCAAGTATTCAGAATGATAACCCTACAGCTTCATATTCCATTTGCAATTCATTTCAAGTAATGTCAACCCCCAATACTACCCAGTGATGTCATCTACCACAATGGTACCCTGAGCCGCCGCACGGCATCGATCGAGATCTTGACCGCAAAACGAAAGGCGCGCAGGGTCAACTGGAACAGCCTCAGTCGCCGTCCGAAAGCGACGTTGCGGTGGCCGTTGAGTTCAGGTTGACCCGTCATGGGGGTGTTATCTCTGGAAAACATGCTTCGTAGTGGTTGATCATGGGAAGATTATGGGAAGAGAATCAGATTTATATCCATATAATGGGATTTATATATTTATATCCATATATATTTATATCCATATATATATATATATTTATATCCATATATATATATCCATATATATTTGTATCCATATATATATATATATATTTATATCCATATATATTTGTATCCATATGTGTATATATATATACCATATATATTTGTATCCATATATATATATTTATATCCATATATATTTATATCCATATATATATATATATTTATATCCATATATATATCCATATATATATATATATTTATATCCATATATATTTGTATCCATATGTGTATATATATATACCATATATATTTGTATCCATATATATATATTTATATCCATATATATTTATATCCATATATATATATATTTATATCCATATATATATATCCATATATATATATATATTTATATCCATATATATATATTTATATCCATATATATTTGTATCCATATGTATATATATATATAAATATATACCATATATATACATTTATATCCGTATAATTCCATATATATATACACACCCTTGGGTAATCTTAAACTTGGCTTGCTGGAAATTCCCCCATTGAGTTCGATGAATTTCCCGAAAAAAAGGCAACCCATTTCCGGCGGTGACTTCCAATTGCCATGTTCGATTACCGGTGGTAATTGATGTATTTATATGATATACATTCATCAGGATACCAACCATCATAAAAAAAATTGCTGGTGTTTGCCATGAAAAGTGGATAGTTCACCAAGTTTATCTAAAGTAAGACACTTTCTGGTTGGTGGTATACCTACCCCTTTGAAAAATATGAGTTCGTCAGTTGGGATGATGAAATTCCCAACTGAATGGAAAGTCATAAAATTCATGTTCCAAACCACCAACCAGCTTTCAACTTCTTTTGTCTGAAAATAGGGGGTAAGCCCCAAATGCCCCCTTTAGTGAAGGGACACCTGATGGCATGGGATGCCTTATTTTCACAGACACCGGGTCCATGTGGGAATCGGATTTTTGACAAATGGGAATGCCTCGAAACCCATTACCCTCTGGTAAACTAACATAGCTATGGAAAATCACAAATTTTAATGGCTAAATCGACTATAAACGACAATTTTCAATAGCTATGTCAAATTACCAGAGGGTATTTTCGATGAATTTGGGGGATGGACATCCATTTACTTGCTATTTCGATGTGAACAGAAGGGTCACAGGCCTTTGATCTACGCGAAATCTTCAGATTTCCCCCAAAACCTGGACCGAATCATGATTGCATCATGTAACCAATGAACCAATACACCATTTATTGCAACCCCATATAAAGATAGAGATTCATAGAATCCAACTCAACTAGTGACGACCTGTTCCATGACTGCATCTTGCGGCTTACCCCATTATTTTTCCCCATTCAAGCATATTCAACCGCCGTTCTTCATTGGGAAACTGGCTCCCCATGGCTCCCCTGCTTTCACCTCATGGAGGATCCCCAAGTCACCATAGGTTTCAACCATTTATTAATGGTCTACCTGTAGATGATTTTTTCGGGGTACCAGCATGACTGAGAGGAAAAACCTCCATATTCAAGATTATTCAATGATCTAAATAGGTGGATCATAGTGGCTAGATATTCCAGTAGTCCATATTATTCCTATGTATATATCACAATAATACCGGTATCAATACTTATTCTAATTGACAATAAATGTGATACCAATACACCAGGATAATTATTCCTATGTTTATATAACAATAATAATGTGTATATAACAATAATAACAATAGTAATAACAGTATCTTATCTGGTTGGTGGTGCAATAACCATCTTGAATCACCATTAAATCACCATAAAATCCCATTAAATCACCATTATCAACCAGTTATATATAGCTTTAAGTCGATCCTGATTCACTGAGGATCTGGACTCAGGTCGCTCCACCAACCACTTGAGTTCAGTAGTCTCCTGACGAAAAACCACGAAAAACGTCGCTTCCAATGAGTTGGTCGGTGAAACCCGTAACTATGGATATATCTACCACAAAATACCACAAGTCTTAGATAGTCTTAGTGAAATTAGAGTTATAAAATGCATTGAAATGCGATATATAAACCAACTTAGCATCAAAGGAAGTTGATGAAGTGTCCTAAAATGATCCCCAAGTCACCATGGTTGTTTTACTAAGTCATGGTCTAATGACTTGGATGAGAACTGGGAGGAAACCCCCAAAGTTGATGAGCAAAATCCCATTGTAATCCCGTGAAATTTATAGTGTTGAATTATGTGCCCAATAGTCACCAACCGGTGCAGGATTTCGCCACCATCCACAGTATCTTAACCAATATAACTTCAATTGTTCCATGGAAAAACAAGCCATGTTCAACGTGGAGTTGTCTCTTCAACTTCGAAAAATACCCACATGTTTCACATTTCTGCCCTCTGTATCCCCATATTTGTTTGTAAAAGCCTTGCTTTTAATGTCTTTAAAAGTTCCCAACCCCCGTGGTTGATATACCAACATTTTTCTGGAGACGGAGACGTGGCTATAGGTCAAAATTGAAGACCTGGGGGACCGCTCATTTTAGTCTATGTTTAGTACACAGGAGAAAAAAAGAACTATATATATATAGCATCATTTTGTTGGTTATTCCCATTTTTAGTATCCAATTTTCGTATCCATTTTTATTTTGTTGGTAAGTTTAGTATCCAATTCTAGAACAAAAACTGTGATCCAGACACGTACCTGTTTCTCCACCTTTTCGCCCCATGCCAGATCCCTACCTGGCTGCTTCGCGCCAGGTCGCCAGAAAAGAGTCGCAACACCTGGCGCAGCAAAACCTACAGGATGGGGCCCCAGTTCGTTGGCGAAGATGGTTTAACATGGTTTAACTAGGGTTTATGGGGAATATATATATATATATTAGTCGTTGGCGAAATGGAGGGGCTCTAGGTATCTATGATATCTATTGATATCTATGATCAAAGAGCCTCCAGTCAAGTCGCTGGTGTACAAAGGGGGTGATTTTGAGATTCATCTCCCTGAACGTCCAGGCACATGCGACGTGCCATGGGCTTCCGGTTTCTGGCCATACCTCAGTGGAAGTGATGAAGTGGCTTCTCTGCTGAGCTAACTTTCCCCTGGCGGTTTTGATGGTGATTTCAGGATCAAAAAACCTGGAAAATGCTGGTTGAATCATGGTTTCCAATGGTGAAACCCGTGAGGATTGGGAAACCAACCGTATTTATGGAAGTGTTCATGGGAAATCATTCACCAACTTGATATAAGATGGCGCTGCAACATGGTTTTCCATAATTACCATCTTGGCTGGGCGATTTCAAGCCCCTCAGCTGTTGCAATGGGGTGGGGGCTCCCATCCACCGGGGGAATCAAAGGTGGCAGAGGGTCGCCGATTTTCAGACAAACCTAACTCACCTTTAGGGGGTCCTGCATTCTCCTGTGTGTTTGTGATCCTAGTCATTTGGGAGACATTCATAAAAAAGTAGGGAAAGATATGAACGAAAAATATGAACGAAAAATATGAACGAAAGCACCAAGTGTGGAACAGGGGAAGGTACTGAAATGGAACGGGATGATCCCTGATTTTAGGAGCCAGTTCCGTGTGTCGTTCATGTGCAGCATGTTCTGGCCCAGGTGAATTTTCGCAACATGTGGGGACTGAAAATAGGCGACCCGGTATTCCGTTGATCCAAATGCTTCCTATAGAAATTGCCAAACTGGATCCGCACATTCAGACACTCATAGAATTGGATGATGGGAAAATTTACAAGAAAGCCCTATATTTGATGGTAAAAACCATGGTTTCCTGTAGATTTTCCCTTAAACCAATCCATTCAGACACCTTTTCAGACACCCAAGGACCTGTGGTCTCTGTAATAACCCTCTATACTTCGGCTGAGCCATGAAACAGGGGCCCGTATCCCGTCCCATTAAAGACTGGTTGGGGACAGTGGGGACTCAAATAAAAATGGTTGCAACAATCGCGATGGAAAAAAAAAAGTAATAACCAACCAGTCATCATCAATCATATCATAGGCTTATGCTTGGATGTTACAATCAATATGTCATCAACAAGGGTATCTTTAGTGGAACAGAACTTGGAGCATCCATGGAGATTCCACATCTTCAACCAACTCCCTTTAAAAATTTCACCCCCAATGCTGGTGACTAAGCTGTTTTCAGGGGGTGGAATCGCCATGGGACCGGAGAATTGGAGAATCCCAGGCTTTTTTGAGCAACAAAGGGAGATAAAGCTTGGCAGCAAGAAGGTGATTTTTCGAACCAATTCAATATTCATCAATATTCCCAAAAAACAGAACTTACTAACTAAATACTAAGTACTAAGTACTAACTATAGTAACTAAAACTTAATCCTTTGAAAAAAACACTGCCGTTTGTGGCGCCCATCTTTTCGAACCCTGAGCTTCCCCCACAAGGGTGCCACGTTCACCGCCACATAGGCCTGCAGTGCCGCGTCGTCGCTTCGGCACTGTGTTATTTTTGCCATATCCAATGTGCCCATGTATGGCAAACGAAAACTTAGACATGTGTCAGTTGGGATGATGAAATTCCCAACTGAATAGAAAAATAAAAATCATGTTCCAAAGCACCAACCAGTGTGTTTCTTTAGTTGGCAAGTCTCTTGTCCCATCAACCATGACAAGATGATGTGAAAAAGCAAGGATTGCCAGTGAAATGATGGTGGAGTAGCCCTGTCATACCTCGAGATTGCCATCTATCCGGCTTTTTCACAGTTCATCCCTCCATTCATATGGCAAAACTATAGGTGCTACTGTGGATGGAAGAAATCTTGCACCAGTTGGTAACCATTCGGTAACTATGAAACACTCCAAATGATGGGAATTTAATGGGATATACATTCCGATCGAACTGGGTGTTTGCTATGCTTAATCACCAGTTTTCTCATCACTTCTGGGTCACTTTTTCACTATAGATTTTGCTGTTTGATAACACAAATGTTGATCCATCTCTATCTCCGGATGATCTCTGTTGAAGCCATAGCCAGATCAACACTGCTGAGATAATATAACCCATACGTTTATGTTGGGTGTGTATACATAATCTGTTTGTCAAACTCTGTACAATATCTGTATGTATACATGTTTGTATAGATAGAAACCTTTGTTTACATGTCTAATTGTGTATATATATATACACACACAAACAGAAACATGTCTTGTCACCCCCAAAAACAGTGATATCCCGCAGCTTTTCATCAGCGCCTCGATGACAAGGCGCGCCAAAGGACTCAGTTCCTACAGGATCCATCGGGACTTCGAGTTGCAGGAACTGGAAGTTCAGCCATTTAGTTCGTTGATTTCCCTTTTAAAAAATTGTATTTTTCCATATGTTTGTGTATGTTTAGCAGAGGGTAGATGAAAAAATTACTGTGAAATTCCCCAAGTTATTGGGAATTTTGGGGTGAATATATGATGCAAAAAAACAAAAACAAATTTGGGAGTTCTTTTGATTTCTTGTGGAGGGAGCCTTCTTCCCGCACTCACCTTGGACATTGGACACCTAGTACTAAACATGTTGTGGGGTTCAGAAATTTGAGCCATACCCTTGCTTAGAAGTGTGAAATCGTGCATTCTTAGTTTGGGTGATCGGTTATCGTAATCTGTAGATTTGGGAGAGTTCAAACTACTGAAATGGGATGTCGGCAAAGAACATGGAAACAAATAGTTCAATTCCTGGTCTGTTGATGGGGCCCCCAGTTTTGCTGGTCAAAGACCCTTGTTTCTTGTGTAATATGGCCATGTTCGTGCTGCTTGTCATGTTCGCGTCAGCCCACCAGTAGTGTGCGCTCACTGTCGCTCTGCATCAAATATCCACAAATCCCCATATAGAACGTAGAGCGACATTGATAGAATTCTCTGCTTCAAATAGATTCCCCACTTACCCTGCGGTAGTCAAACATAGCGATTGAGAATCCCTTATAAATGGAGCTTTTAATGGGACATTTATCCATAAATTGGGATTGTCCATGCCATGTTTCATTGCTATAAATAATTCCCCACCAAGATTTCATGAATTCATGAATATCCCATCAAATCTCCCTGTTCAATCACCATTTTATTGGTAACAATGAGTGTACTATGAATTCTTCATAGTTACCCTCTAGTAAATTAACATCATAGACCCTGAAAATCACCAATCTTTAGTGAAACCCACTAATCTTCCAACCCCTATGCCAGGGTCGTAATGTTAATTTACTGGAGGGTATATCATAATAGTATATAATAGTTATATTGATCATAACTATCATAACATTCCAACATTCCTACAATCATCACTATAATACTATAGGACAGCTATTGTTATATCATAATAGTTATATATATATCCCCCAATTATGTATTGTTGATATAACTATTAATATATATATATATATACAATTGCTATAGTTATATCAACAATACAATGAAATATCAATAATATATACAACAATATACCAATACAGTTCACCGGTATAATTGTTATAGTTATTATAATGGTTATATATCCCCCAATTATGATATATAACTGTTATAACTATGTCTTGTTATATCAAAATTGGCAATAAAAAAATCGGTTTCACAGTTTCCCATCCCCCAATTCTCCCTGGCCCCGGCCCCTCCTCCAACGGCTGGTTCCCCACCGTCGTGGGCTTTCCCAGCTGCGCCGGAACTCCGGCAGAGGTCCTGCGACCGGCCGGGAAAATCCCAGGAAGATCCGATGAAAATCCCATTGAAGACATAGTTAGGCCATCTGTTTCCCATGAAATCCCTATGAAATCCCCATGAAATACCATGAAATCCCCATGAAATACCATGAAATCCCTATGAAATCCCCATGAAATCCCCATGAAATACCATGAAATCCCTATGAAATCCCCATGAAATACCATGAAATCCCCATGAAATACCATGAAATCCCTATGAAATCCCCATGAAATCCCCATGAAATACCATGAAATCCCTATGAAATCCCCATGAAATACCATGAAATCCCCATGAAATACCATGAAATCCCTATGAAATCCCCATGAAATACCATGAAATCCCCATGAAATACCATGAAATCCCTATGAAATCCCCATGAAATCCCCATGAAATACCATGAAATCCCTATGAAATCCCCATGAAATACCATGAAATCCCCATGAAATACCATGAAATCCCTATGAAATCCCCATGAAATCCCCATGAAATACCATGAAATCCCTATGAAATCCCCATGAAATACCATGAAATCCCCATGAAATACATGAAATACCATGAAATCCCCATGAAATACCATGAAATCCCCATGAAATACATGAAATACCATGAAATCCCCATGAAATACCATGAAATCCCTATGAAATACATGAAATACCATGAAATCCCTATGAAATCCCTACTCCATGAAATATCTGCTATTAGGGCCATTGAATGGTGGTATCTAAGCAACAATCTATGGGGATATGATGGGGATATGACATCTATATCTAGCTGAACTATAATAATTCACTACCCTAAAATAGCTGGAATAATATGTCCCGTGACGCATATCCAGTGAGGTCACTATGATTTATCCACATATATCATGAGGTTCTACAAAGTGAGGCCCCTTACATAGCTAAGTTGGTGCAAATGACTCCAACAACTAGGGTTAATGGCAATTACTACTGTAGCTTAGGGGTTTTATAGACCAACTTGTATAGAACTGGGCGTACCCTGGCACTTGTAACCATGCTTGTCAATCAGCTACTAATTCAGTGGGAGAGTAACCAACTCAGAAACCGTCTCAATAAGTTGCATGATGAAAAAATCGAAGTCCATATCATCTCCAAACATCCCAAACTCAGAATTCAAATCTTGGTTCGCACACATTGTCTCATCATGTCCAATAGGTGTGTCTGAAAATATGTCAAAAATGGTCGGTTCATCATCATGTTCCCTATTAAGATTACCATTTTGGAGTATACTCCCCATAAGAAACAGGTCAATGGCATGGTCCTACATTGGCGCAATTGGCTAGAGTTGTTGCAACCAAAATAGCGGCTTTTCACAGGACTCAAAAGAACCATGACAGCATGCAACAGGCCTGACCTAGATTCAGTGATGACGACTCTAGGGCACCCATGTGAACCCCGGATTCATTAACTGGACTGTAAAAAAAAGGGGCAACTAGTTACCGGCGGAAGCACCCCAAGTCAACCAGGGTTCCTTTTTGACATTACAAAGACCCCTTTTGTGAGATATGGCTGCGTCTGAAAACGGGGTAATTACACCTAATGGCAAATTTGAATAGGGAAAATAATGACAATATTATATATATATATATGTATATACATATGATAATAGTATGCCCTAAATCTGAAGACAAGTCCAACCATATATCTTCAATCCCCCACTGTCTTCACCACCCCACCGTCACTCCTCTCATCCTCCATCGCCCCCAGCGAGGCGCTCCCCGTGCCGTTCGCCAGCGTGGACGAGGAGTTCCCGGGCAAACTGTTGAGGGCCATGACCTGCGACAGCGGTCAAGTGAGTCAAGTGAGTCAAGTGTCACTGCTGGTGAACTACTCATCGTAAGTAGGTGAGTTCACTACCCAGTTGTTTGGGATGAAAAGCCATGAAAAGCCTACAGAAAAATGTCACTGGATGAACCAGGGATTTTTCACCAAGTGCATCTGCCAATCTCCAAGGTGCGGTCTCCGGTCTCATCTCAGAAGTTTTGTCATAACATCCCCAGATGGTTGACGGCTTTGATCTCCATTGGTGTTGATTCATTCATCTCCCCATCTTTCGTGGAAAATGATCCCCATGTCTGTTGGTAAATTCCCTCCATCTGCCACCACCCTGCGTACACTGTTGAAGATCTGCTGGTACTACTGATGCTATCAAGTGAATCAGGCGTTCCCCGACACAGTACTTACCCATCAAGACATTCATGGCACGACATCAATGTGAATTCGTCCAACACAAGGTACCCCTGAATCCACTGGTCGATCAGCATACCTCTTTGGCTTGGTGGCAAAAAACATGTGTATTTATACATATATATATTATATATAATATAATATGTGTGTGCATATATCCGGGTTAGAAAGATGTTACAGTAGTTAAATCCCCACTTCTTCTTAGTTACTATCCTCCAACTAACATACACCGTGAGAAGAACCTTTTTGTTTCAGGAATGTAGTCTTCCAAAGACTTCCAATATTCTGAGTTCAATCCCTATATTTCCATCCATTACATTCCCAATCACATCTTCATAGTAAAATCCCCATGTTTCAAAAATTTTCCAAGGTAAATCTCCCCCTTTTTTCTAATCCCCTGGATCAAAAACCACAGCCACACCTGAGGTCGTTCGGCCTAAGAGAAATTTCTGGATGCGCGTGCAAGCCGAGGTACCAGCAAATTTTTTTAAGGACAAAAAACATGGGATGGAAGCGGTGTAACCAGTGGTGCACCTCCTGCAAGCTGTTTTTAATGGACGTTTCTGGGATCCAAGGGGATGATCCGGGATCATGATAAGCATTGGAAATATGGGAGGTTGCCATCAATGGAGGTCTCCAAAAATGGTCGCTTGATTTCATGGAAAAAATGCCAATAAAATGGATGATTTGGGGGTATCCCTCTTTCAGGAAACCTCTCCCTGGGATAACCCCCCTGAATCCGATTCCCATCATTCCAATAAGAGGAAGAACAGTGAGGTCGTGATCAAATTTACCCAGATATATTGATGAATAAGATATGCCATGATTCCAGTTATCCCCATGATAGCCCTAATTATCCTATTTCTATTGTTATCATGAAATCATGAAATCAATGACTAAGTTGTTATCTTAAAAACATATATTGAAATCATAAATAGTTATACCCATGATATCCCTATTTCCCAGTTAGATCCCCATGTTATCATGAAAAAGTCAGAGCCTATGATCCCAGGAACACATCTCCTCGCTTCCTTAGAATCTGAGGAACCTTAGCAGCCCACGCTTCCTCACTGGGATCGCCTGGCTTTCCTATGGTCTTGGGGTATGGTGAAACAACAAGAACTGGGCATTGCAATTTGGGAACTATGACTTAACCATCAAAGATAGTGCTTGTTGATGGGGTATTATGTGTTTTTTTTCAATGTCCGTTTTTTTTTGCTTCTATCATCCCACGAATCACAACTGGTGATGGTTTTTGTTCGGGGTTCACCCAAATTTCGCCCACTTATACACGGGATAACCCCGGGGGAATCCGGGACTTACGATCAGCAGGGTTAGTAATGATGATCCTCCAAGTAGTCTATGTTGACCCCAAAGTTTCAAGATTGCTCCCAGCCATCCCAAACGATTGAGGGGGAATGGTTAGATTTAAAAAAAAAAAGTCAAAGCCCTTTTGTGGGGGCAACCCGAATTTTTGGATGTCTTAAAGCGGAAAAGGCTAATGAAGCCTGACTTTTCTTGCAGCCATTCATTTGGACTATAAGTTGGTAGTAGTGGACTATTGTTGTATAATTGGGGGATTCATATGAACAGAAATCGGTGTATATAATTATCAAATGTGATGTAATGTGATATATGCAAGGGGCTACTAACCAATGATCAAAACCTAATGGAGATATGAACAAAAGGAAATACTGGGTCGATGTTCAACCCGAAACTGATCAGATTCAAGCCTTGGCTCTTGGGGCCATCAATCCCACAGCCGGGTCCAACTACTTCTGGGTCATGGCGTATCTTGGTCTGAACAGTTTGAGAGGTTCATCCCAAAGTCCCATGGTTCAGCATTTGACCTGCCTTGGTGTTCATTAAAATAGCTATGTGGCTATGTGATCTAAGGGGTGTTACCTATGCTCATTTTCAGACAGACCCATCTTTCAGGAACGGCGAAGATCACAATGCCCTATGGAGATATTCCTGTTCAGCTACCAATCCTGAGGCCAAAGGTAATCTTGGCCAATGAGCCCCTGCCACCGACGGGGCCAGTTTTATTGCCTTTCACTCAAGCTAAGTTCAGGAGGTAACGAATATGCGTAAACTCTCCCGGGCACGTTCTCTCCATCCACAGTCCGCCTAAACATGCTCACATACAAGGATCTGTCGTGAAGCAACAGTGTCATGGGTTGCCATCCATCTGGACACTGCAGGACTACCGTGAAAGTTTCGCTTCTTGGGTGGAAGGCCAACACCTTTCCTTGACACCAGTCAGCAACATAAATTGTTCCACCGTCAGTTACAAACAGGTCCCCTAGAAAAGACAGGCCCTCAGTTTGGATTTGGGCCACCACAACAGGTTCCAACGACTCAGCTGGGTTGATGTACAAAATGCGTCGATTTTCATTCAGATTGTCCAAAAGATAAATCACCTCTTCCTTGGTTACAAACACCTCGAACGCTTTGAACTGCATGTCTGGAGGAAGACTCTCGGAGGCAATCACCGTCTCGAGCCTTGAGCCCACCAGCTTTGCCACTGTTCTCCCCTTCTGACTCACCACATACAGCACACCACTGGGCGAGTGACACAAGGGAATTGCATCAGTGTTGCCAACAACTAAGTGTCCAGAACCATTTTGGAAACGAAGGATCCTCCGATTCTTGGCATCTGACACGAAGACCTCCCCGCTGGGCGAGATGGACAGGCGACAAGAAGATCCCAAGTCATTGATTCCAGTCACAGCAGCGCCTTCACCCGCAACAGGTTGCACGCGGGATGCAGGGTCACCGGGTTTCCAACTAAGGATACGGCGACCCGCTAACGGCGCAGCAAACAGTTCACCTTGGTGCCAGCGCAAAGAGACACAGAGAAAGGGCAGTACCTCTCGCCGTGAAGCTTCAGTGCTGGCGCCCAAAAAGGGTGACCACTGCTGCAAACGACGCCGCTTCGACTGAAAGATACCTGGACTTTGGGTTCTCTTGCGCGAGGTTAGAGCATCCTCAACTTCTCTGTGAAGGTCGTCACCGCTAGGACCAGAGAGAGTTGTACGGCCAAGGCGAAGCAAATTCTCAATGGAAAGTGAATTGAAATGTACATGTTGCAGCAACATGCCCAGAAAGGCATGTCCGTCCTTGGAAACTTTGTTCCAAGTAAATATTGCGTTCACCACGTCTTCCTCGCGAGAGATAGCCAGATCTTCCCTCCTCAAAAGGCGAGCCAGCTGACCAGCACTAAGCTTCCCAAAATCTGGATGCTGGCTGCAGGTCTCAAACTCTTCAGCAACCTTATCTTCGCAGGCAGCTCTCAAAGAATGCAGGCCATGTGTTTCTTGTAAAATTTGCAGGGCAACACTGCCGTCCAAGGACGCTCGGATGCCTGCCTCAATTTCACCTGCCAGCTTTGGTAAGTTGTAAGCCTCTGCAAGTCGTAGGAGTTCAAGACCAACTTCCACTGATACTTCAGGCTGCCCATCATAGATGTAGTCCAGCAATGCAGATACTGCCGCTTTGGATGCAGCAATTTCCACTGGCTGCCTCTGTTGTACCCTCTCTGCTTCAAGGAACGACCCACCCAGCAGATTCTTGAAAAACACGCTGGCAGCAGATAGCACGGCCGTATGGGCGCGATGCTCTGCGCCATCATAGCTCTTCAGCACCACATCACAGAATTGATCGTCCATCCAGAATTGTCGCAACTGCTGCATGATGCTGGCTCGATGCTCGGCCGCATCTGAGTGGTCAAGCTTTACAGCTGCCATGGCGCGGCTTCGACACCGGAAGGCGGTGGTTGTGCTCTTGGTGGATAGGTGTGGATCCCCAACGCCTGAATGATCTAGTCGCTTTGCACACTCTGACAACAAAGACCCACCTGCAAATCATAGGTCCAAAAACTGTAAATTGATACCAAGATGATATACCAAGATGATCCAAGATGTAATTCCCACGTAAATGACGTAGAATCCCCACCTTGCTTCCATTGCAGCCCCATTGCTAAACCATCAATTGGCAGCAGCCCCGGCGGGATGATCCACACATCCAGATCATTACAATGAATCACTATGGTTGCATAACAAACTTATTTATTTCAATATTTTCTAAGATATGTTTATAGACTATGAATCTATGAAATAATTATATACTATACTTAATATATCTTAATATAGAATGTTCCAGACTTGGACCCCCGTGGTTTGTAGAGGGGTCCTCTGGGTGTTTTCCCATAGGCTGAGTTCCACCCCCGGGTGAAACCGCCCAGAGCCTTCCGTGGCCAGCAGTCTCCTCGCCGCCTTCCAAGATCCGATGTCCGATGTGAAAATTCACCCAGAAATTGATCATCGGTTCCAGAATTTTCACCTAAAAATGAGGAACCATTACTGGTTAATAGTGTGGTTAATATACTGTTAATAATGGTTAATATATGGTTAATATATGGTTAATATACTGTTCATAATGGTAAATATATGGTTAATATTAATGGTTATTATATGGTTAATGATGGTTAATAACTATAACTGGTTGGTGGTTTCAACCCTACCCCTCTGAAAAATGATGGACAACTCGTCAGTGGGGATGATTATTCCATTCCCAATATAAATTTCCATGGCTCCAGTCACCACCAACCAGATACCATTTCCGGATGAGCCCAATCCAGCCAGGTACCCCTGGCTATCCATTCAACGTAAGTTTCAAAATCGAATCATGCTACATGGCATCATCATGACCCAAAAAAAAACATCATATATCTCGTTTCATGTGGGATTCACCCCATGCCATCCCCAAGTCATCACCATGTTTATGGCTGTGATTCAAACATCTTCAAACCATCCCCAGTCATTTTCTAGGTTTATGGCATCCAGTGTTTCCCACATAAAATCACTGGAGATGTCCTAAAAAAAGGGGGATACCCCAATTTTTTCCGCTGTCCGAAATTGGTTTTCTCTATCCCTAGTCATGGTGAAACCCAGGCGACTTGTGGTGAAAGCCATGGGAAAATCAGGGGAAACCTGGGACCACAGGGACTGAACTCAAAAATCCACTCGAAAACTCACCAATCTTCAGCAACATAAAGCATAAATCATCTATAAATAATCCATCAGTATATTAATCAACAACCATAAATCATATTAATCAACAACCATAAATATGATGAATGATGCTTTGAATGAACATAAATCAACAACAATTTATCGTTCCATATGTTTGTTATGTCTCAACTCAATCCAAAATGAACGTGCAGTCACGTTTTTTCCATTCATAAACCTGGTAAGTGGAGATCCAGATTCTGTGCCTTCAAAATTCAGCCGACTCTTCGGTGGTGGGGATTGTATCCCAACTTGCGAAGCTTAAAATCCCTTTCAAAATCACCACCGAAGCTTCGGTAATTTGTTACATGTGTTGCAAACTGGTGCCATGCCATGACCAAAAAAATGTGGCCAGCGAGTATATTGCCACTTAGATGAATTTTTGTGGCCTATGTTGAGTTATATCCCATGACAATTCCAAATGGTTGGTTTCCACCATGAGCTCACCATCATCCATGAGCTCATGTTTTCATGGGTCAACCATATTTTTTCAACATCTTTGGATGGTTTAACCATGTTAAACCAACATTTTCCGTTCCGGCTTCACCAGCCCAGTCCCGTTTTGCCAACTCTCTGGCACCTGATGCGCCGGCGCCGCGGCACGTTTGCGACTCACGCTGGGTGCCATGCCCAGGACCTCAAAAAAGGTTCAACGCTGGCGGCGTTTTGGCAAGGGAGGTTTGATAGCGCTAGAGTTAGCATCAAGGATATAGCATGATATACCCTCTGGTAATTTAACATAGCTATTGAAAATCACCATTTGTAATGGGAAAATCCACTATTAATGGTCATTTTCAATAGCTACGCAACAAATTACCAGAGGGTAGCATGATGGCACCAAGAAGTTGGGATATTTCATATTTCTGGGAGCATGATATAGCACCTCTACGTTCGCCTCATGTTTTTTGGAACAGCTATATTTATAGCCATTATATAGTACTAAGTTAGCTCTAAAAGGACGGCTATCTTATGGTTCATATTTTGATAATCCAAAGTCTTAAATACCTGGTAAGTCAACCTCATGTTTTGAACCCAGGAAATTGGGATGTGTTTTTAAGTGGGAGATAGCCCAATTATAGCGGGATTCAAACCCCAATGATAGTTTTACTGATTTGGTCAAATAATATATATATATATGCATATATTATGCGTATATATACAATGTATGTGTATGTATATACATATATATAAAGTATATTATTTATATTATGTATATTAATTATATATATATGATGTATATATATATATATTATGTATACTATATATATATTGTGTATATTATATAAATATATATGATGTATATTACATAATTATATATATATATTATGTATAGTATATAATTATATATATATTATGTATATTATATAATAATTATATATATATTATGTATATTATGTAATTATATATATTATGTATATTATATAATCATATATATTATGTATAACATATATATTAGGTGTATTATGAATATGTATGTATATAATGTATGTATGTATATATATATATGTACATATATATATATGTTTATCTATGCCAATAACATGTCAATTTTATATATATACATAGCCAAGCCCAGTTCGGAAGTTGAATACTACAATTATAGTGGGTCATGCCCTCAAAAAGATAGATCAATTAGAAACAATATTTACCGCTATTAGTAGTAAAAAAACACCTGTTTTAAGTAACCCCTTACGATTTTCCACTAACTCTAAAAAAGATTGTAGTAGGATTCTACTTCTGTATCTTTTGAGGGGTATTGGAAAAACTAAGATGGGGATGGGTCAAAAGTCATGGATTTCTTTGGTTGTTTGGAATTCATGGATGTTCATCCGCCTATGATGAACAGGTTTTGATCTATTTACAAACATTGGGCAAAATCATCAGTTTTGTGATGATCAACTCGACTATCTTCATAGAACAGACCAACAAAAATGGTTAGTCTGGAAAATAGGATATACTCCCCCATGTTTTGGTATGTTCGGAAAATGATGTGCTAGATCCTCAAACATCGGATGAATGGGGTACGGTAGCCTCTTTTTTTCACCCCAAAACTGATGGTTTTCGGCATTCCAGGTGTCCCTGTTGAAAAAAAATAACGGAGAATCCTAGGAATCGCTCCAAAGCACGTTGACATGCTCCGCGGTTAGGTTCTGGTTTGATTCAAAAAAACAAGCCACTACAGTAACTTGGCAAAGCAATGAAAATGTGATATATATATATCCCCCAATGACCACCCGGATCTCGTGCATGAAACTCACCACTGTTGGATTAACAGCCAATTTTTAGCAAAAAAACTGTCCCCATTTTGGATGGTTAAATCATCAATTTGCGTAACTTATAAACCCATTTCGGATGGGTCAATCCCTATGTTGGTAGCTTCCCAACAGCCACATCTAGTCACATCTTTGCAGCCCAACCTCCCTTCCTCCACTCCCCACCTGATCCATGAGAGTATCCAAATCTTCGACCTTGGAACCAGGACTCTAAACATTTCACCCCCAAATCTTTAGATTGATTGTTTTTAACACAAAAAAACTCGAAGATCACATGGGAGTGTGAAGTTTTTTCTCTGAAACATAATATTTAATGTATAACTGGGAATCAGAAATTGAATGGTAAATTGATGTATCATCAACTGGGATTTTTAATGGTAAATTGATGGAGATTGCTCAAGATATTCAAGCAGAAAACGTGGAGGTGATATGATATCCCCACGAGAACTAGGGATGTGGCCACAGGGCAGCGGCTCGCAGAGCTGCTCCACCCCAAATACCAAGGTGAGTCGTTAAATGGAGGACGAGAATTACCTTGGTGTCCTTTCACTTCTGGCAATTGACTTGTAACAAGTTCGAGAAAAGCTGAATCAAGTTACTTGATACATCTGATATACTTACATAATATATATATATACAGCACATTATAATTTATATATATATCCAGTGATATGGGATAGTTTCGATAGGTGATAGGGGGGAATATATTTGTACCACCGACGAGGGTACAGTGACGCAGTGATCAAATGATGGGAACGGCCATGGGATTTCAGCCCAGTTGGGAATAGTTGGGTCCCATGGGGTTCCCTATGACGATGGTTATGTAAGCACTTACCCATCGCCCGATCCAAGATATCCAAGTTGGGTATCCAGACTCCCTCTGAGTCACTTCTGGCCCCCCTGGCGAAAGGAGAAAAAGTGAGTTTTTCCTGATCAAACACGGTGGTTTCATGATGCTTCATGCACGAACAACATGTGTTCAAGCAACAGATAGTCTATCCAACCTTAGACATGAAGCTTTCAGGGGAAAAAAAAAAACATGTTTCAAGACTCAAGATGGTTGACCTACAAAAATGGCGATAACCCCGCAACAAGTATCATTTCAGAAAGCAATCAACATGGATTCACACCAATACAAGTTGCCTTGCGGGCGGAGCAATGGTGATATCGTCCATCTAAAATGGCGAAGAAAGGCACCCCATCCATCAGGTTCCCCACGATGGCAAGTCTATGTCTGGTTGGTGGTTTCAACCCTACCCCTCTGAAAAATGATGGACTTCGTCAGTTGGGATGATGATATTCCCAACTGTTTCTGGAAAGTCATAAAATTCCATGGTTCCAGTCACCACCAACCAGATGAGTATCCGGCATTTTGAGACCCATCTGTCATACGTCTGTGTAAATCACCCATCATAATTCACCAACCTGCGTCCGAAGAATTTTGGGATCATTATCCTGATCCTCGCCATACTTTTTGCTGACCTCGTCCAGAAACATAGTAATAATATGTTATAATTCACCAAGATATGTTGTTTGAACCAGAGCATTCACCCATTATACTGTCGGCTGGCTCAGAAATGATAGAAATGATTTGCATTGATTTGCCATAGGACCTCAGAAATGTGTCTAGAAAGGGGGGTATGCGCCAAAAGAACAACGGTTGCAATAGGGAAAAATCCTGTTCGAAACCATCGGAAACCATCCAATGATTGGAGCATCTCAGCTCCTCAGTGCATGTTCATCCTGAAAGGTCTTGACGGTCTTAACCTTGTTAAACTCTGGCAATCTAACATGGCGAGCTTAAAAATCCCCATCAAAATTAAAAATGGAGCTTCATAGCAAAGAACATCATCTATAAGTGAAGGAATTTTCCAGCCACTGGCACTTAGTTTTATATCCCATCAGATTCCAGATCAGATTTCCATATTTCATCATTGAACTATTGCTATAAACCCATATTTCCTGGAAATGTCCATAAAAAATTCCCATTTTCTGGAAATGTCCATGAGAAATGCCCATTTCAACCACCATTTTTCTGGAAACCATGGCTAACTCGGCAGCTCCACGGGGACATCTCTGCCGTTGCCATCGTCGTTGCCATCGTCGTCGACATCGTCGCATCGCTGGGCGGCACGGCGTCCACGGCCTCAGTGGCGGGGGTTTCACCATGAAGAAATGGTGACTTCACTGACTTAACTGGTGAAACACGCTGAATCATTGAACATGCAATGTGGTGCCCCCAAGATAGCGTTCAGTTGGTTTTTAACTCTAATAACTAGGACTTATGGTAGATATATCGAACTAGTTAATGGGATTATAAACCAACTTATAACTGGGGGGGGCACCACCTTGTGGGGATGAACTATAGTAACTATAGTTAAAATATGTGTTAAAATGGTGATTGAATCAGAGATTTTTTGAGATATCAACCAGTCAAAATGGGATGTTCGTTCACCAGAAAACACGGTGATTGAACCAAAATTTAGCCGGCAAACTATGGAAGATGAGGGAGACTTTATCCACCATGGAGGGATTGGTTTAAGGGTAATTTTACAGGAAAGCCCCATATGAAAAATGGGAAAATCTATGGTTTCCGGTTAAGATTTTCCCTTGAACCAATCCATTGATTTCAATAATTTGCTGTTGCAATATGTTGGGACTAAATGCGAGATTGATTTTGTGGTAACAACAATCGGGAGGAATTCCGATCACTCACCCACATGTCCAACTAAAAATATGTAGTATAACCCACAATTCACCAGTCGGATTCCCAAATGAAACGAATTCATATTTCTGATTTCATCGTGACATCAGCCAATTATGTCATGATCCTTCTTCAACCAAATACGCCGATTTGTCTCAAGCTTTTGCTTTTTGTTAGGGAAATCGAACCAGATTCAACTAATTTCAGCTTATTTCAACTCAACTTGAGAATCTTCTCATTGTTCTCATGTTTTCCCATATGTTTCTCATTCTTCGGATGAAAAAACACTCAACCCCGTTGGGGGACTTTGCAGCGTTTACACCAGCATCCGGCACAAAAATGGTGGCTGCATTCCGAGGCACTTTCTGCGGTGGCCTGCAGCTATTGGCAAAGTGTTGGAGTTGGATACCCTCTGGTAAACATACAACATACTATTGAAAATTGCCATTTATAGTTGATTTACCCATTAAAAATTGTGATTTTCCATAGTTATGTTAAATTACCAGAGGGTAACAAGGAGGGGATCTATCAGATAGTGAGATGAAGTCAGATGCTCGGAACCAAAGATTAAATCATGCACATCCAGTTGGTGCCAAGGCGAAAGAAAATGATAGAAGCCACTCAGCCATGGAAATGTAATCGCCCATTTCCAGATAGACTAAACAGGTGGTGTTAGATGTGGTTCTACACCAAATGTAGGGGGGTAGCTCGGATTGATTGGATTTATGGTCATTACATATGTATATATATATATATATACACACATTATATATGCATATATTATACATTATATGTATAATATACAAAATATAGTTAAATATGATTGTATATAGACCAACTTATAACTGGGGGAGCCTCTGTAAAGTCGAGGTGAGCTATGTCAGGTGCATGAACTTGGCCCCGAGTGCACCCTGAAATGTACCCATGAGAATTGTTCAAAAGTCCCAAGGCCAAGTCGTACTCGGATATATATATATATGGAGGGTCTAAGATTCTAACACCAATTTTGGTTGGTTAAACGGTTAAACCCCCAATTTCCCTATTCTTTGGTTGGTTAAAGCTGCCATAAACCTACCATAACCCCATCCTAACGATGCCGACCCCGACCCCACCTGATGATGGGTGGGGTGCCAGGCGGTGGCCGCGGGGCGTTGGCCTGGGCCAGAAGCGTTCCAGCGAAAAAAATGGTGACCCCACTTAGCAAATGCTTAGATTAGGAACTAAGTGGTTAGTATAATCCCCCAACTAATCATCAATCATTACTGGTTGTTATAACTAATGGTTAGTCTATGTCTGGTTGATGGTTGACCTACCTCTCTGAAAAATGATGGACTTCGTCAGTTGGGATGATGACATTCCCAATATATGGAAAGTCAAAAAAAATCCATGGTTCCAAACCACCAACCAGTTATATTAGGAACTGGGTAATAACTGGATTATTTATATTAGTGGCTATCATGGTGGGTTCACAGAAGAAAATGATAACTGGATTGTTTATGTTAATAACCAGGGTTATAACCCAATTGTACACATATAAATATCTATAATATAAATGAACCCTGTTATTAATGGTTGGCAACTGCTTATATTAGTAATGTCATAACCCAATAAGCTGATTGAATTAATGTTATAACCCAATGAATCCCAGTTTGTAGCAACTGGTTAGCAACCGGGGTTATAAACGAATCAATCCCAAATATAAATGGGATAAACCAACAAAAAATATGGGATGGGCAATGATTGGCAATTATTTATTTGTTGTTTTTCTCTCTTGTGGGATATCTAAGGAGTTTAGGGGAATAATGTGGGGAATGTGGGAAAAAGAAAGCAAGAATCGGGATATCTAGCTGGGTCCAGCAGTTAAATTTGCTCTAAGCAAGGAACATGGTAACATGGTGACAAGCAAAGAATGAGGAGATTGATCAGCATCTATGCTGGGTCAGAAAAAGATGGGAAAACAATCCCGCCAAAGTGGCGAATCACCAGGCAAATGCAAGACAATCATGTTGGAACGACATGTAACAGTCAGACGTCAGAAAAGTATGTCAACACATTAATCTATGGTGTACATGTCACTGTGGGTTCTATGGTAAACCCTCGATTTTCCCTCGTGAAATGCTCATGTTTCATCAATCTTTCCAGGAAAATATCCCCAAATACCAATCCTCTCAACTGGATCTTTCAATGGCACCATACTTACAGAGGGATATGTATGTATATATATATAGATGATGAAATATGATATATATATATATGATATATCATATATATGATATATATATGTGATATATCATATATATATGATATATGATATATATATATATATATGATATATATATATGTGATATATATATGTGATATATGATGCATGATATTAATATGTATATATATATATATCATATTATGTATATATTAATGAAAATATATATATATACATATATATATCATATATATATATCATATGTCATATATATATATATCATATGTCATATATCATATATATATCATATATCATATATCATATATCATATATATATAATCGTATTATATATATATATCATATGGATCAGATATAGATATATATATATATATCATATTAGATATATATATATATATCATATGAATCATATATATATGTCATATATCATATATTAATATAGAGTTATATAAGATCATTTAACAATACACATTATAACAACCCAACTTACGATGAACTCACCATGCTTCGGTCATTCCCCCTGGGGACCCCCGGCCGCTGCCCGCAGCGAGCTCGTGCGCTCCGGCGTGTCGGAGGGCGCCATGGTGGAGCTTGGGCTGCCGTGGGCAACACGAAGCGCCTGGCGACGGAGGCCGGCAGTTCACACGGATCAAAAAAAGGCCTTGTTGATATGGGTCAATAATGGGTCAATAATGGTTGTTGATGAAGGTTGATAAGATATGGTGATTAATGGTTGATGACAATGGTGATTGAAAATACTTAATAACAATCGAATTCGATCGAAGTCGCTCAATTAAGTGAGAAATCCTACTAATTAATGCTAATTGGGAAGGATGTAGGGGATATTGCCAGGGTGTAGTTGAAGAATCCCTAGATTAATTATGAGAAGTACTGGTTGATACACCCTTGTTGATTGGTTATTATGGGGAGTTGTACTACCTGGGCTATTAGGGGGAAGTATTACAGCTCATAGTAGGGAAACCTATCAACCAGTTAGTGCAATCAGATGAGATAGAACTATTTACCCTCGGGTAAACTAACATAACTATGAAAAATCACAATTTTTAGTGGGTAAATCAACTACAAATGGCCATGTTCAATAGATATGTTAGTTTACCAGAGGGTAATGGTTCATGTGTGTCTGAAAATGGTGGACTTATCCCCCAATTATGGCCATTTTTATAGGTATAATGATGATGAACCCTTGATTTGGGGGTACGTTTGAACAACCCAAGCGGGAGTGGGTCAAGGAGACAGAAAAAAGCATGCTCGTTTTGGCTAGGAATGATACTCATTCGGGGAAGAATCCGAAAATAGCCGGTCTCCGTTTATGGCAAAGGATAAAATGCTAAACCAGTGAATGGTGGGAGAAATCATGAAAGAAGAGGCCTGCGGGAGTGATGAATTTGATGGATGACGCGACATTTTGTTTATTGTCATGTTTCTTGTCTGCAAATTTTCAGCCCCGAATAATAAATATGAAAAACATAAATCCTGAAATGGATAAAGGAAGGATTTCCTGCTCGTCAAATGACCCATCTAAAAATGATGTGAGCAAAGATTCCTTTCCCCATCCGCCAGCCATCCGCCCCCAATCGCACCACAGAGATGTGCGGAGGCCAAAGGCAGTCGCTGATGAGCTGAAAAACCTGCGCAGAAAAAGGGTGAAAAAACTAACCTGGTTGGTGGTTTCAACCAATCTGAAAAACATTAGTCAGTTGGGATGATTATTCCCAATCTATGGAAAAATAAAAAATGTTCCAAACCGCCAACTAGTAACAATAATGGAGATATAAGGGGGATTTCATGCATATATCATGGGGATGATTGGGATACATTCAGCTACTGTAATTTGATAGCTCGGTGGGATGTTCGGCAGGTTTTCTGTGGGTCCCTTGAAATATTGGCTGATTGAGAACTGATTTCCCAGAATGGACTATGATAAGCCTAATATAATGGGTAGTATAATCCCCGAACTAATCATCAACCAACAGGGGGTTTAGCAGCCACTGTTCAACTCTGGTGACATCACCCAACTGCATCGATTGGCCATGTGAAAAATGTCTTCAAAACCCTATTTAAAAAATAAAAATAAAAACTTGAAAAAGTGGTTGATTAAGAACGAGATTCCCAGTTCATGCATACTAGATATCTACAATGTATACAGTAAAAGTAGTATAACCCCTGAAAAAAAAAAAACATCAACTACATAGCTACAGTACCTGGGAATTTTGAACATTTCTCAATTCACCTCATTCCAGTTGACCATGGTTGAAGAGGGGGAAATTCATTCCATGAACAGATTCCCCTCATGGATTGTGATTGTCCCAATAATCCCCAAATCATCAACAGAAGTCCTGAACATTGCAAAATTCATGAACTTCGGAAAACGATCATCACAGTGGGCATGAACTTCAGTTTTAAACGTTTTAAACCAGTGTTCGCGTCATTTGTTGGTGCACCATCTTTACTTGGCATGCGCTGAATATTCTTCCTCTGTGCCAGAACTTTACCCCAAAAAAAACCAACCTAGCCCTGATTCGAACTTTGATTTGTATCTGTATAAAGCAGTTCTAGATTATCATTGATTCAATGTTCCCTATCCGATTTACGTATATATACATATATATATATGTATATATACATATATATATACATATTATATATATACATATATATATACATATATATATATATACATATATATATATACATATATATATATATACATATATATACATATATATATATACATATATATATATATATACATATGTTTTACTATTTTTACATACATTATATATGATATATATATATATACATATATTATGTATATATATATATAGTATATCCGTATCCAATTATAGATGAATTACATCTTTCTCAAATGTGTTCCGTTGCCAGATCATCGGCAGCCCGACCAGACCCGACCTCTTTGGCATCTTGTGGCTTCAAGGGGCAAGTCAACCAACCTGCTAACCGCAGTGCTGTTGGGATGATCAAGGATGGAAGTGTTGCAATAGGAATTGGAAGGGCACACGAATATATACCAGAACAATCAAACATATGGGGGTTTCCAATCCATGGGGGTACCCCAATAGCTAGATGGTTTAGTTCATGGAAAATCCATCTATAAATGGATGATACCTGGGGGCACCCCCATGACTTAGGAAACCCCTAGACTGTCATTCCCAATGAACCTCTGGCTATTGAACATAGCCATAGCTATTGAAAATGGCCATTTATAGTTGATTTACCCATTAAAAATTGGCTAGGTTTCAAAACGCACTGGTTTAGGTTTCTTTTGGACGTGTTTATTGGAGGGCTTCGTTTTGACATGGTTTGGTGGTTGCGCGGGCGCTGGCTCGGAAAGGGATTCTCTCTGGCCTGTTTCGTCCAACAGCATTCAAGGAACGCCTTTCACTTGCTTTCTGAAAGCGGTTCCGCGGTTTGCCCAAACAGGGTTTCAAAACGCTTTGGTTCAGGCTTCTTTTGGGCGTGTTTCTTGGTGGCTTCTAAAAGGTTTCGCTCTGGGCCACCTGTGTGTTTCCGATTAGCCCCGGCGAGCACCGCTGTTTCTTCGAAAGATAAATAGAGGCAAGCAGGACCCAAAAGCAGTTGCACAACCCGAGCAGACCGGGCAATCCAGCCGGTGGACGCGCCATTCGTCTGCAGCGAGGAATAGTGCCGCTCTCTGACCAGCCGAGCGCGCATCCACCCGAGGACGGATCCCTCCATTGGATTGCGACGGCGCCACGCCCCAGATGATCGGTGGCCACCGCTACACCCTGGGCCGTAGAAGGGCGAAGGCGGGAAATGCACATTTTCGACTTCTCTGCAGAATGCCCAATCCCAGGATGCTCGCATACAAAATATCCAGAAAGCACACACCCCCACAGCACTCCAGGACCATGCCAATCTGAAGCCCTGAGCCCATAGAGATAATCCGAACCATGCCGGGCTTTTTTCAGAACCAGTTCAAAAAAAAAAACGACCAGTTCAAAAAAAAAAACATTAAAAATGGTGATTTTGCATAGTCATGTTAGTTCACCAGAGTGTAAAATAAAAACATCCAGGGGTCATCCCTCGATTCGCAGAACACTTCGTCCATCTGGGGCCGCCAAGCGAAGACGTCGATTCACAAATCGTCGACACCGAAGACGACCCCAAGATGTCGTGTTTGGATGGGTGAAATCGCTTTAAGTTGGTTTATAAACCCCATTCACATCCATTAACATCCATTAACTATAGCTATATCTACCATAAACCATAGAAATCCAAAAGGAAAAACAGACAAAAAAAACAAGCTAAGTGTTCTTGAAACTCAAATGCAACATCCAATTAAGTCAATCCCCAACAAACCGTAGAAAAAACATGTCATGTGGGTAAAACAATGCCATAGACCATCCCCCAGTCATCACCATAAAATTATAGGCGGTGTTTTCTTACCATTCCCAGTCATGGGTTTATGACTGTTTTACCCACATTAAAAGTTTTAAGTGTATTTGACCAGAGTCGATGGCCATGGATGGAGATGGCTTACTCAAACATAACACTCCATTGCACTCCGCTACGCGTTCAAAGCTGTGAACAGGCCCTCCGGGGGTCGACTGTTTGCTTAACTATTGAAATGGGTAAAACAGTAATAAACCAGTAATAATGCAAATTTCCCATCCCAATCCCATGGTGCGTAAACCTCAAACAAAAATGGGTGGTTTATGACATCGTTTTACCCACATTCATTGAAAAAGAAAACATAAGTTGGTTTTGAAACCCCATTAACATCCATTAACATCCATTAACGTCCATTAACATCCTTTAACGTCCATTAACATCCTTTAACGTCCATTAACATCCATTAACGTCCATTAACATCCTTTAACGTCCATTAACATCCATTAACGTCCATTAACATCCATTAACCATAGTTATATCACGTTACGTCTACCATAAACCATAGAAATCCTATAAAAGTCTTGTTGAAATGCTGCTCTCCGCAAGGAATCCCATCACTCCCATGGTCCTTCGGGAATCTCTTCCAAGGAGAGCACCCAGACCAAACTCTTCAAGAAGAGGCCGTGGATCTGGCGAAAAAAATGGCATGGTGATCTAACAACAGATGATGTGGATCTTATTGAAGATGTGGATCTTAGATGATCTTAGATATTAAAATCCCTGAAATATGCTGAAATCACTATGACATAAAAAACTGATGGCAAAGTTTGGAGAGCAAGATGTGGATTTTAGATATTAAAACAACTGAATTCACTATTATTACTGGTTGGTGGTTGACCTACCCCTCTGAAAAATATGACTTCGTCAGTTGGGATCATGACATTCCCAACTGAATGGAAAGTCATAAAATTCCATGGTTCCAGTCACCACCAACCAGATTAAGCCGATTATGACTTACAGATCGCCAAGTTTGGAGACTTACCCTGCCAGAGATACATGTCTTGGCTGATTTCGTTGACCCAGGTGGCGACAAGGTATGGGGAGTCGACCATGTGAATTGACAAAAATTTGGGTCCTAGGTTTGGGGTCCATGTTCAACCTCAAACTTAGGATTTCAATATATGTCCATCTTGGTAATTCCTATTCAATTAAAAACTATGTTTTGATGAACGATATTCCAAGATGTTGGCAGTTCCGCTTCAGAAATCAGGATAGACGTACCGCGGCGAGGAACTTCCCCTGGTCATCTCCATATGGTTCTGTCTAAAAATACGGGGAAACCATTCCATCCACAGGTGAATCATCCGTTGTCCATTTCAAGAATTGCCATTTTAATAGGTAAATCCTCAAACTAAATGGTCCATGGTTTCCATAGCTATGTAAATGTTTACTGGAGGGTCTACCTCATTTTTGGACAAAACCATATGACTTAGTTGTCCAATGTTTTGGGGGAAAACTGTCATGTTGGAATCTCAAGAATAGCCAACAGCCAATTCCAACAGGACAACTGCCGTCTATTTTCGTTTTCCGGGAAGTGGTAGAAAAGGTGCCCCCAACATTGGTGCTGTCACCTAGAGCCCTTTTCTTGTGGGTCACATGGGCATCTACTAATGATTGGCCCAACAGTGGTATCTGGACGAAACCCGAAATAACTTTTAAAGGAGCTTTATGGTTTCCCAACATCAGCGATCACTTGTTGTGGGGTCGTTTGAAGGTTGCGTTACATAACATGTAACAAAGGAAAAACCATAGCAAAATTGGTGTCCCTTTTTGTATGACCATAGAATTATGTCTCATCATTGACTGCAAAATTGGATGGTTGAATAGGTTGGTACCTCATTTTGGGTCACCAGACCCAAAATTGTTTTATATCCCCCATGACCCTCCGGTAATCAAACATGGCAATGGGAAATCCCCCATCAAATCATCAATGGGCATGTCAAGGGGAAAATCATCAAACTTCAATGGTAGACTTTGCCATGTTTGATTACCAGAACGTACATCTCATGATTTCTTGACTCATCGCTCCATTTACGGCTACAAAAAAACAACTATGGGTCACCTGCCTTTGACACCACTCAGCCAAGTGAAATTAGGGTGAAATCCCCCTGGACAGGATGAACACACAGGACATGTTCAGGCTCCTGCTACTACTACTACTACGACGACGACGACGACTACTACTACTACTACTCGTCCTACTTCTACTCCTACGCCTACTCCGACGCCTACTCCTACTCCTACTCCTACTTCTACTCCTCTACTCCTTCCTCCTTTCTTCCCCAAATACTAAACTGGTAGTGCCGGTAGCGAATGACACTGCCTACAGCATTACAGTCGTCTACAGGTACTCGTCACAGGACGCACATGGTACTAAACTGATCGACCAGTACTCATTTTGTATGCGGTCCATAGGTTGTTCAAGCAGGCACTTGCTACTCAAACTGCTTCTGATCTACGGCTCTGTCTTCGTCTCTTCTTCTTCCTCTTCTTCCTCTTCTTCCTCTTCTTCTTATTCTCTTCTCTTCTGCTTCTCTCTCAGGCTTCCACCTAGCGTGCACATCACCTTCCCTTGGGGCAATCTCTCTCCACTTCCACCCTGTCTCCTTCCATGCAGCGGTCTGCTGTCAAGCCAGAGGCTCATACATAGTACCTGGCGCTACTTTGCTGGGGCCGGTACTAATTTAGTATACGATCAATAGGTTGTTGCAGCCAGCACTTGCTACACAAGCCTCTTCTGTTTTACGGCTTTGTCTTGTCTTCCTTTATTATTCTTCTTATTCTTCTTATTCTTCTTCTTCTTCTTCTCCTCCTTCTTTTCTATTCTGCTTCTCTCGCGGGCTTCCATCTAGAGTGCACATCAAACTCCCTTGGGGCCACCACTCTATGGCCGGCGGGCTTGCCGAAGGCAATGAAATAAGCTAGATGAAAGTCTGAAGCCAAAGTCAATTTATTTTTCGCCACAGGATTTCCTTTTTTTACCACAGGATGGTGCCCCCCAGTTGTGTTTGCTGATTTATAATCCCCCTTAACTATAGTTATATCTCTCCCATAAGCCCAAACGTTATTGTTTATAACTATCCATGAGTGACGAACTGCCTGCCGCAGCAGCTGCGGGTTGTCCAACAGCCCCCGCAGGGAGATCAGGCTCTGCCTGGCAATGCACACTTTCATGACGATTATAGTGGGAGATGGGGCTATACCCTACTCTGGCGCTCAAAATCTTCGCTCTGCATGAATAACATGGGATTCTTGGGTCTTTCTCAACGGGACGGGCGCAAAAGAGGTTGACCACCTGCTTTCGAGATCCCCACGTTGAGTTGATCGGTACAAGGTGAGGTCGGGTGATGTTGGTTCTTCAACCTATGAATACGATAGTTATATCTACCATAAACCATAGTTAAGCCAATTGTTAACCAAAATTATTTGGGTCAACAATAGTGATATCTCCTGTAAACCCAATTGTTAACCAAATGATGTGCCTCCACCAAGCTATCGTTTGGGGGGGCCCACCTTGTAATTCTGTGGGAAACCTAAGGACCATTTTCCCGAAAGGAGATGGTAAAACTAGGTGTGGTCTATCATAAAAGTGTTACGGCATTGCAGCACTTACTTCCAATCAGTTTCAGATATGATGGGATTTGAAACATCAATTGGTTTGTCGGTATCTTATGGAATGTAGATGCCTTACCAATGAGAATAGGCACACGAACAAGAATATCAGATTAAAACATCTTAAAATATCTGTGAACCGTAGCTTGTTTGCAGAGGCTAGGCTTGCTTGGATGTGAACCATGTTGGACCAAGAAACATTGGTTCTGACCAAGAAAACATGTTGGGTTTAACCATGCTGATTCATAAAAGGTGTGACCAAATCAAGAAAGAAATGGGCTGTCCAAGACAAATGTGTGCCATGGTCAGTAATGGGAATCCTGAGCAATTGACCATGGCACATGTGGGCATAAACCTAGGCAAAACCAAGAACATGGTATCCTCTCTGGTAATTCAACATTGCTATACCTGGCTATATATTGGAATCACCAGTTTTAACAGGTACCCTCCAGCAAATTAACATAGACCCTGCCAGATGGGGTTTTTTCCAAGACTAGTTTCCACCAAAAAAATTGGTCAGTTTCAGGGTCTATGTGAAAATTTACCAGAGGGTATATTGGGGGTGGGTCAAAACCTATTATTATCAATTCTAATGGGATGAACATCCATTTACCAGCTATTTTGGGGTTCACTAGGTGCCAGGGTTTTGACCAATAGCCATATCATCTACAAATCAGCAAGTCTTCATTTCCATGTTTGACCGGAAAAAACCATGGGGATGAACCAGCGGAAACCAACCTAACTGGGGCGAGCCGACTCGTAGGTGCTACATGGCACTTCGCAAATGGCTCGGAGCACGAAGCTCGGCCTGCACCATAGGCGTGTCCGTTGTTTTGGGTGCTGGATCCACTTTGAAAATGGCCCAAGCTTCGACTTTCTGGCACTTTTTTTTGAAAGTGGGCGTTCTATACAACTTGAAAAAGACTAGGGCTTTGAATTGTTCTTACTTAAACTGGGATCTGAATGGGCGTCACTTGGGGTATCATAGGGTGCAATGGTGAATAGTGGTAAAATGGCTTGTACATCTGGGGAATCCCTGTCAAGGATGGGAATTTACCAGCCTGGCGAATGATCATGATTCACCAACCATCATTAACCAGTACCCATCATTTACCATCATTTGCCATATATATATACACACATACATATACCCGTATATATATATGTATATATTATCATACAACTGGATTCTGGTGAAGCATCACCATGAATTCACCATGTATCAATGCACGCAGCGTGCTCCTTTGTGAAAAAGCCATCTGGCTTCAGGATCATCGCCAAAGCATTCAGTGGTAGACAGGGTTACCCCAGGTACGCACCGCTTCACACCGAAACCGGAGAAGCCTCAAACTCACCGGTGCTTCATACATAAATGGGGTCATACTATATAATCCACATATATGTTCATACTATATAGAATACTATAAATGGCTTCATACTATATAATACACATCTATAAATGGCTTCATACTATATAATCAGTTGATGTTGATATTATAACTCCCACATAGGTGTTTACCAAGTGTGTGTGTGTGTGTCTGAGGGGTATACCCCGAAGTTATGGCAGCTGGGAAAATGACGTTTTCAAATACCAACGCCACCCCCGGGCCGCTGCGGGCCTCTCAGGTGCCCTGACAGATCCAGGTGGGAATCATTGGGGGCTTCACCGAGTTCACTGGGCCAACAAAAATGTATTTGGATGTATTGGGTGAAACTTCAAGATCAACAAATCCATCATTTGGAAAAAAAAATGCCAAGAAAACATTGGAAAAACGATGGGAATTTGGGGAAATGTTGGATGGTGAAAGGGGATAGGAATTCAATGAAGGGAATATCATAGATTATCAGAGGATATCACCAAGACATATCAGGATGGCGACCCGAGACGGGCACAGAACGAAGACATGTGATAGAATGACTAGCAATATCGCCAACGGAATAGATTCTACTTCTTATAGATGTAGGCATTATGTATGTATAATACATATATATATATAGTACACTCTGGTATACGTAACACAATACTGTGTCCATGATTCCGCCCCAAGCATGTAACATGTTGTCATCCCCCATCTTGCCTTTCACCCTCGAAGGCATGGGCGAAGGCTTCGTCGATCTTCCCAGCCTGGTGCCGGTGCCAGGGGTGCCAGGGGTGCCAGGTATGGTGGATCTATGGTGAAATCTAAGCCCTGGTGGGTTTCTGGGATTCTAATTCTAGTTTAATGGCTAAGAAACCAAGAAACCTAACTCGAGGCGCTGGTGGATCGCCATTTTTGCTGATGGCTGCAAACGGATTCAGAATCGAGGGATTTAAGCAGTAAAAAATGGGAAAAACACGGTGATTTCGCCAATGAAGACTTGGGAACTTGGGTCTTTTCAGCGTTCGAAATGGAATATGTTTCCAAGAAGACCAGTCTTGTTGACCAATCAAGTCGTTGATATTATGATAAAATTCATCATCAAGAATAGTGCATAGTGCATAACAAGTGGTGAATGAACATGATTGTGACATATTGTGACTCAGTAAACAACTGGGAATAAGCCCCCGTTTTTCTGCCTTGCTAACCAGGATTATTCATCGCAGGATAGCAGCTCAATGAACCCCCCAACATGTACTGCATCGGGTTTCGAAGCTTAGAAAGGGCATATTTAAAAATTGCCGTTGGTGTGTTCAAAAACACCTCGCAAGAATATTCGCCAAGTGGAGGGCTATCATCCCAAATGATGGAACGATCAAGCAGCTCATGAAAGAATCGAGGACGGAAAGACCCAACCAGATTTTTGATACCACAATGGTTGCCTGCAAAAATTGTCTGTCACCCCCACGCACCACAAAAACTGGCCCCAGAAAAAGCAGTTTCAGCACCTCCACGTGATGACAGCTGGTGGGCTCCTAATGTCACTGGCTTTGTCGGGGGTGAAACAGTACTGGATGCTTCACCCCCCAGTTATAGCTGGACTTTATGACTCACTTACTAACTGGGATGAGCCACCCAGTAGAATGTTCGACTTGTAAAAGTTTTTGTTGGTTACTATACACATTAGTAGACCACTTCTGGCTGATGTTTGAGGCAACCATTTCAAAACTACGCCCATCATTTGGGTTTCCATCATCTAGGGATGGAAAATTGGTCAGTGGCTGATTAAAACAATCCACCAGATACCGGGTGGAAAACACATGTTTGTTGCCCAAAGCCTGATGTTACCCTTTGGTCAAGTAACATAGCCATGGAAATGTATTATTTTAATGGGTAAATCATCTACAAATGGTACATGTTCCATCGCTATGTTAGTTTACCAGAGGGTAATCGCCATGTTGCAAAAAAAAAAATGGTGTTGCACTAGCCTCTGATACCCTGCCAAAAAACAATCATCTTTAGCTGATCTCCATGGCAATCATTGGGTTTGTCTAAAAATAAGGTATACAATGGTATACATATACATATGTATATATATATATATAAGTGTGTATATATATATATAAGTGTATATGTATATGTGCATGTATATGTATATATATATATAGTATATACGTATGCACCCCATCCCGAAATCCATTGATTTATCATAATTTCCCCTGTTAAAATTGTCATTTGGGTGATATACCCCTTTTTTCAGACACACCCAAATGCATCCAAATATCGTATTGCTGGTTGCTTATTGTAATCCCCTATATTCCATAAAAATTGTTGATTTCCCCATAATCATTAATTTTGATTAAATCCCGATTTAGTCGGTTATATTCCATTGTATCCCATCAAATATCCTCATTACATACGTCATCCATTCTTGGTGAAATCCCTGTGAAATCCGCCATAATTGTTCAGTACATCCCATCCATAATCCCACAAACATCCCAAAAAAATATCCAGAGAAATCCCACTGACTTTGTTATCCATGATATCTCATCAAATGGCAGTGTGTCAAAACCTTGTACCCCTGGTGAACATCAAAATAGCTGGTAAATGGATGTTCATCTCACTAAAAATGGTATTAATAGGTATTGATCCATACCCATATCTCAATCAAAAATCCCTAGTCAAACCCTATGTCTTGCGCTACAAATCCCATAAAACTCCCATAAAATGGACCTGTCCTGCAGCTCCAAACCCCGCAGCTCCAGCTGCATCCAGCCGAAACCACTCGCCTCAGAGATTTTAAGGGAAATAAATCAAGGGCACCAAGATTGGCTTAACGATGAAAAATTCACTGGATTGGTTTAAGGGAAAATCTACAGGAAACCATGGTTTTTACCATCAAATATAGGGCTTTCCTGTAAATTTTCCCATCATCCAATTCTATGAAAAATTGGTAAAATGATGTAAAATGTATGATTTCATAGGGGATTTGAAGAATTAATCATGGGAAATTGATGGGATACTTCATGGAATATACCGTATTATGGTGGTTTAATATGGTTTTATGGTGGTCTAATGATGGTTCAATGGGGAAACCAACCATTTTATGGAATATCATGGGATATAGTTAACCCATATGACTTGGGTAAATGACCTAGCAAACGGGTAGATGGTGATTCAATGAACAAAAATAGGGACTTGACATGACTTAACCAACAAAAACTTGAATATTCAGTGTGATTTATGCGAGGTTTCCGTTAGTTTTTAACTGTGCTAATGATTGGACTTATGGTGGATATATGGGGCACCCATCTGTGTAGCTAGGTGTATTTATAGCTTATAAAACCATTTGTGACTGGGGGTTTCCTGTCTACTGAAGGTGATTGTGTTGGAAAGCCACAATGAGAACTCTAGCTGGAGTCCCTCACCTGGGCCCCATCTTTGCTGCCTAAAACCCCTGACAAGTTCGGTCATATTGGCCTTGTAAGGTGCTGGTCATCATGGTCATCCTCATGAAGAACCACAGATCATCAGGGCCAAGTGTGCTTGGTTGAGCTCACACTGACAAAAAGACAGGAAAGATGAGCACTTTCGCTGAACGAAGACAATATGACAATGCCGGTTCACCAGGGCCAAGTTTTCTGCGTCAGCAGCTTCATGCCAGCTATGTGGATGTTGTGTCTTCGGTCTTGGCCCAAAGACCACACCGTCTCGACACATCATGTCGAAATCGACCTGTCAGACGGGGTGATAATCTACAGATTGATCACTGTTCTTCAAACCAACAGCTGGCTGGGGACACTACTTTCGAAAAACCCTTGACATCCATGACCATAGTTATACTACACTCCATGGTGATAAGCCATACTACACTCCATGGGAAGTCTGTTTGTTGAAACTTGATGCACCAAATCATCATGTTCCCCAATCGAAAATGACCCAAAATATGAGGTTTATTGGATATCCACCATTTTTGGACGTTGATTTGCTCTAACTATCAAAATTGTTATGTGGAAGATATCCTCCAGTAAAGTAACATAGCTATGGAAAATGGCCCATTGATAGATGATTTACCTCTTGAAAATGGTGATTTCCATTGCGAATTAGCTTAGTGTACCAGAGGGCAAAAATATGGCAAGACTATTTCTGTCTGAAACTATAGTTCCTTGCAAGAATATGGCAAGACTATTTCCTGCAAAAAAGATGGCAAGACTATAAAAATATCAATAGTTCCTCTATTACACTATGTTCACTAACTATTGATATGCCACATCTTCAGACAGACCCATCTCTTCTCTGCTTCAGTGGCCAGCACCCGCACCACACAGGCCAGACGCTCGTGACTCCTGGCACACTTTGTTTCTTCAGGGCTTCCAGTCTTTCAAAAATAGGACTTATATAAGTAAGTATGGAACCCCTGATATAAAGTGGTTTTAATGCAAGTTTCACCAGCATGAAAATATGAACGGAAAATCGCCAAGCAGAAGAGGGATTTGAGCGAGGGAAAAAATGAAGATCTTGGATCAACAGCAATCAACATCACCCCCATGAGGGGGTCAACTGCCATTTCACCCATCTTCCCGGTGATGTTCCAACCCCCTCTCCCAAAAAAAATAGGATTGAGGGAGATTAAAAAAATAATAACAGGCAAAAGCACATGTTTGAATGGTGAAATCAGAAACTTCGGTCAATATAATATCATGTCATATAATTATATACATAGTTATGCCATGTGTTCCTATGTAATTTTCTACTTCAATCATGTTAAATCAGATAAAGTTAGCCCATGACCTCTTGGCTTCACTGGATGGGTAAGTTTAACCCTATCAAAAAATGGGTTAATCAATTCCCAATGAATAGGTCAACTAATGATTCACTCATATGACTAGTATCATTACTATAATCATTACTATATGACTATATGACTATAATCATTGGAATATTGAAATATTGATTATTACTAGTATATTGGAATATTGATTAGTATCATTACATATCATTATTATATGACTATGATCAAGTTATGATACTAATCAATATTCCCAGTAACATTAGTTCATCAATTCCCAGTTAATCAATTCCCATTAATAGCTGATTCCCAGTAACATACTAATGTTGGGAAGGATGACAACCCATATATGAAATGGAAAATAAAAATCATGTTTGAAACCACCAACCAGTATACTATACTCCCATGATATCAATGATATCTCAATTCTTGGTACCCTCTGGTAAACTAACATAGCTATGGAAAATCACCTTTTTCAATGGGAAAATCCACTATAAATCACCATTTTCAATAGCTATGTAACAAATTACCAGAGGGTACCATAGTTACCCCAATCCAAGTCCCAGAAAAAAATCCACTATAAATCCCTCCACTTTTTCCGGGGGAAACCGAGCGCCACTGGCGTCCCGTGTTCGTCCTGCAGAAGAGCAGCGTCCCGGGCGTCTTGCGCAGCGTCTGGGCGCGCCACTGCAAGGCCAGGCCACGCAACAGCGAGGGCACGGCGACTCGGTGGAGATGGGATGCACGGGTGGGATCTCTATGGCAAAATGGGATTTTGATGGGATTTCTATGGGAATCTATAGGAAAAAATGGGATTTACAAGGGAATTGATATGGGAATCTATGTGGAAAATGGGATTTATGTGGAAAATGACATGGCAAAAAGTACATCTTATATGGAATTGATATGGGAATCCATATGGGAAAACTATATCAACTACTGATTCTTGACGGAAAAAGTGAACTGTTTAACATTTCGATGATTCTACTATGGTGTTCATAACTTAACATCAGAAATATATCCCATATCACATGATAGTTCGTATATATAGAAGATTCTAGAATTTGTAGTTGGTATATTATATAACATCAGAAATTGCGTTTGTCAATAAAATATATGCCATTTATAACATTGTAGTTGGTATATCAATATCAAAAATTGGACTTGCTATATGTACGCATATATATATACTATATGGAATAAATGGTTTTCCATTGGTATTTTAAAATCCCAGAGGGTATTGGATTTCAACCACATGTGGAATCTAGATGGAAAATTGGATATATAAGGGATTTATACAGGGAGTCCAAAAGGGAAAAGCATCAACCACTATATTGGGGTTTATGATGGAAAAAGTGAACTTTTGAACATGTCGATCATTCTGTAGGATTTGTAGCATCAGAAATTTGGATCTGTTATGAAGTTATGGACGATATACCAACTACAGTACATCCGATTTGTTTTCGAGCTAAGGGAAATTCACAATGTAAAGTTGTCCTTTCAATCGTAAAATTATGGAACTAATTAGGGGAATTATCCGGTAATTCAACAGTTCGCTAAAATGGATGGGATGCATTTGCTGAACAGGATCATTCACGGTACAGAAGCCCAAAACAGTCTATAATATACACAATATACAGCAAGCCATGACATCAGGGGTCAAACTTATGGATAGCCCGAAATCTTCAGTGATTTGACGATGATTCCCCTAGTACTTGCCAGTTGACGCATACGCCCAGTGAGGTCGTTGTACGTCCAGATGGTTTCGTCCCAAAATGTCTGGCTCCGTTGGTACCCCTTTTTGGCAGAAGAATTACACAGATTTATCACTATACAATGTGATGCTCTTATACATTTTTTTTTGACTCGGTCTACCTTTTTCTAAGCTACAACCTTTTCAATGGGGCCCCCTTAATCGCCATCATTGGGTTCAATCTCCCCAGTGGATCTTTTTTTCGAGTCTCCCAGGATTTCAGCCTTTCAAAACGTGAATCGAAAACGTCAATCCGAATGCCAATGAATTGCTGAGTAAATAACGTCACTCTTAGATAACAAATCCCATTGAAATAGCCAAAAATAAGCCATGTTCTCCACGATTTCATCGCCAGTCTGGTTACTTAAATCTCCATAAAATGTCCATCTCAAATTTAGATCATCTTCAAATCCCTTAGATATCCTTAGATCATCTTAATTCTCCCGAAATCCCCCATCTAAATTCATAAATGTCCCATCTAAATTCAGACATCCCCATGGAAAAATCTGCACCCAGCGGCTGGCGTAGAAGAGCCCCTCCGCTCCCTTCACCAGTGGAGCATCGGTCCCCGCAGCACCTGCAGAGGCCCGAGACCACCTGGCGCGCGAGCAGATTCTCCATGGATTCTCCATGGGAAAAAATGGTGGATCTTCGGATGGAAAAAAAGGAATGTTTACCTATGGAAATCATGTGAGAAGTGATTTTCATATAGGATTCTCTGATGATTTTGAATGGTTAGAACATGCAAAAACTAGAAACTATAGGGAGGTGTAACGAAAAACTGAGATCTGATTATAACTCTGGATGTGTTTTTTGCGAACCAAAACCAACAGAGTATGATTGACTTCTGGCAAAGTCAACATTTCGGAAAATCCATGATCTGGTTTCGCTGCTCTGCCCCAGTAACTCGAACTGCCAAGCTTGGACCGGAGTCACACTTGCAAGTCATGTGGCAAATTCAATAAAAAAATACCCTTTAATCACTTTAATCTAACGTAACTACGTGGAAAATCGCCACTTCCCAGTTTGGGATTGTCATTCAGCCGTGAGTTAGAACCGTACTACATACAGGATATCCCACCTTACTCTAACTTAAATTTAGCGACTAAAATTCTTCTAAATGTCCTGATGTCTATGATCCAAACGGAATTTCGTGACAAATGAAATCAATCTGAATCATATCATCTCAACAGATAACGACCTCCATACCCTCGGCTGATCAAACATAGCAATGAGAAATTCCCCTTTTACCGGAGGATAATATCCCAATGATTATCCTATTCCCCAGTAAGATTCCATTCATATCCCTATCATGTTTTTATTCCCGTTAAATCCCATTTGAATTCTTATTTTAAATCCCATGGAAATTCCCATGGTTCTCCATCAAATCCCCAGATTTTGCTCCATTCAACCACTACTCTTCCTGGTGAAACCCTCATTTTTCACCAATTTTCCTGGTTAAACCGTCGTTTTTCACCATGTTTCACCATTTTTCCTGGTTAAACCCTCATTTTTCACCATGTTTCACCATTTTTCCTGGTTGAACCCTCATTTTCCACGGTGAAACCACCATTTTCCACGTTGGACCCCCAGCTCCTCCGTTGCGCTTTCCAAGGCCTGGGCGCCGCCAAGGTGAAGAGCGGCAGCGAAAAGATGGCCATCACCGGGCTCTCCAGCAGCGCGCAGAGCACCAGCAGCAGCAAGAGACCAGGCCAGAAGAGGACCTGGTGGAGAGGGGATATAATAGCTACACTTATATATATATAAAGGTCAAGTAGTGTACAACTAATATATATATATATATATATTGTTTGGCACTTTTGCTGAACTAAGGATTAAACCAACAGATTGATAGCTACTATAATATTTAAGATGACGCATAGAACTACGGATTTACAGTTTAACTATGTAATATGGACCTGGTGCAGAGGGGATTTATAGCTCGACAATTAGTCAACTAATGTACAACTATATGACTAATGTAGGTGACTAATGTAGGTGAACTAATGTACAACTAATATTTATATATATATAAGCTAGGTCAACTAATGTACAACTAATCTAGCTTTTATAGGTGAGGGTTTTTTGTGCCAAACTAAGGATTAAACTAAGAGATTAAACTACGGATGAATATTATATATCTCATAGAACTACCGATTTACAGTTTACCTATAAAATACATATATATATATACTAATGTACATAAACTAGGTAAAATCTAATATCAAAACTAGATATCTAGACTAAATGACCTAAGGTGTAAGCTAATGTATAACTAATGTAACCAATATAGCAAAAGATGCATTGCTTAGATTCTGATATAAAATAAATATGTATGTATATATACGTCTTTATAGAACAGGTCAACTCATATAACGTTTATAGGCAAACTAGGTTTATCCATGGTTTAGAACAAATATATAATAACCAATACAACGGAACACATATAACTAATACATCCATACATGTAGTTGGATTGCACAATCAACTGATACATTTACAGTATATAGGTTTTACTAGGCTTTTTAAGGAATTAGAACTAATTGTAAATAGTATGAAAAGGTGGCTTAAACTCATATCACCAACCAAATGGGGGCCAACCAACTATAGTTCAGGTTTGATCAATGGTTCATAGGCAACCTAGCCTACATGATGGAAAGTGAGTGAAACTAATACAGCTTCTTGAGAGAAGCAGTGTGCAGAGGCTTCTGGTGCGCGGTGTATCGGTGTATCGGTGTTTTAAAAAGCCTTAGCGGAACCAAATTCCAAACGCTATGAACTCCTATAACTAAAATAGTTAGGATCTAAGCTAGATATATCATATATCATCGTATATCTATGGTTAAGGGTGGTGATGAACCAACTTAAAACAGGAACATGTCTATACTGGTCAAGGGGGCTGTAACGGGCTCTGGGACGGGTTAGTATGAGATCCTTTATGAGATACAATGGGATGTAAATGTAGGGTTGGATATCGACTTGATGATACGAAACTATTCTTATCTATTCTTACTAATCGGTTCTTATGGTCATATCTCAGATAAGTTGAGTATCTGATTAGCAAGAATAGTTTGAGCATAGTATCTCATTAGTATCTGGTTCTCCTTACCCATTTGCATCTGGGATTTTTTCCACCACAGCTTAGGCTGATCAAGTGGTGGAGGCTGGGAATCATAACTATCATGTCTATTCCCATATGGCAGTGTGTCAAAACCTTGTACCCCTGGTGAACATCAAAATAGCTGGTAAATGGATGTTCATTCCCCTAAAAATGGTATTAATAGGTATTGATCCATAGCCAAATATATTTTCCATAGTAATAAATGGGTCGGACATATCATTAATCAATGGCTAGGATAATAACTATCAGTTATTACCAATGTAGAACTTGGAGACAACATGTGTTGAGGAGTTGGGGCAACAATGGTTGGAAACAATTCTGGGACATTTTTCTGGGCATAAAATTGCTGGATGTGTTGGGTCAAGAGTCTTGTTGCAATCTTTTTCGGGATGGAATTTTAGGGAGGCATGGCACTGGCCTTCATTTCCCAGAGAAATGATAAACAGCAGATGTATCCCAATAGTAAATAGATATTTAACTAAGGTGAAAGAGAAAGGGATGCATTTTTAGCATGTCGACTGTAGGCTCATTTGACATACATGTAGAATGTAGAAATCAGGACACACTGTGTATATCTGTTATCAACCTCTTTCTCATCAGCTTCATGACGCTTTGAAAAAGCAGCTGTCCAGCCAGCTACGGAGCAAACATTCCTTCAGCACTTGAGGTTTTCCATAAATGGGGGTACCCCAATAGCTGGATGGTTTATAATGGAAAATCCATTTGCAAATGGATGATTTAGGGGTACCCCCATGGATTGGAAACCCCCACTTGCACTCGGATAAGAAAGTCTTTCCGTGAAGAGTGTCACTTGATGTCCACAGCTTCTTGGCTACGCCCCGTGAATCGCCTTGGTCACTTGGGCATGTACAACGATCGTCTGACTTTAGTCGCCATCGGGCTGCGTCGGCCTTCAAGCTCACCAATCAATCTCTTGGCATCTGTGGAACGCGAAAAATGGCTTGGAAACCCTGATCCAGCCGCAACAAGATATATGGTCTAGTCTCAAAAGGGATACTTCAAAAAATGGTCATCAAAGGGGGAGAAAAGGAATAATAATATAATTGTATAACACCATGAGATGAGAATTAGAAAAATTAGAATCTCACATCTTCTGGTGGAAACAACGGTTGTTCATTATCCTGTGCATTATGGGGTGACCAAGTTGTTTTTCCCCTAGCCTTCAGAGTTCCCAAGTCTCTAGGATGAAGGTTTTTCAAAATATGTGTGTAATTTCTGTGTAATGATTTTGATATGGAGGTTTCCAATCCATGGGGGTACCCCCAAATCATCCATTTAAATAGGATGTTCCTTTATAAACCCACCAGCTAATGGGGATCTCGAATTTATGCTTTCCACATGTTCCACTCCCATCAATAAGATATGCCATTATATACCCATGAATATTCCATTCATATCCCATGTATATCTCCCCATTCATTCTCCCATCATTAGGTTTATATGGAAGTCTATTAGGTCTATAATACCATACTAAACATCATATGGGGGTCTCCATAAATGGGGGTACCCCCATAGCTGGATGGTTTATTTCAGGGAAAATCCCATGAACAAATGGATGATGAATAGGGGGTACCCCTATTTTAGGAAACCTCCATATAATATGAAACTGTTTTTGATTTCTTGAAGATTCCTGGTGTTTTCCCATGTGTTGGACAGTGGGATATCGTTGGTTAAGTTATATCCAAAAATGTACCATCTGGTTATTTAACGTAGCCATGGAAAATCACCATTTATAATAGGTAAACCATCTACAAATGGGCCATCTATACCATGGCAAACTGTTAAATAACCAGAGGGTAACCCTAATGATTAGGATATGTTTTTTGATATTTAATATCCTAATGATATCCTAATGATTGGGATACTTAACCTTATAAATGGAGGTATTAATGGGAAAATCATCTATAAATGGGTCATTTTCCATGGCTATGTTAAATAACCAGATGGTAACCCTAATGGTTCTCATATTTCCATATGATGAATTTGATCACAAGCAGCAGCCAAGGCACGTTCAGCCACAGCAACAGCGCTGTCACCGGATGGCGCAGCTTGGGAGTGGCCCAGGTGATCCACGACACGTGCAGCACGTAGCCTGGGCGACGGATAGGACGTAGGATGGACGTACGTCCAAAAAGGTGGGAAACTGGGGATCATGGGAAACTGCTTAGCCTATGAAAAAGCCTGAAAAAGCATGAAGCATTTGGATTTCTGACATGGATGGAGAACCTATTCAACCATGAAAAAGTCTGACTTTTTGGCCTGTTGAACCATGAAAGTCCGTTATGCAGCCATTTGTGATTTTACCATATTCGACCATCAAACATTGGGATACATATCCAAAAAGATAAAAGTTTGGAATTTGACTGCGGAAACTAGGGATTCAACCCACACAAATTGGAGTTTGATCAGAAAAAATATGAAGTTGAATCAACAAAACAGGAGTTGTGATCCATAAAAAAGAGAATTGGTACTTATACAAAAAGGAATGGGCGCATGATCAACAAATAAGGGTCTGTCTCAGCAAAAACATAAAATCAAACTGATCGTTATAGGAAGAGACCGCGTCCTACATCGGCAATTAAGTTTCTTCATAACTAGGCTAACCATTGGATTTCTGGTGGAGATATCTATAGTTGGATGGGTAACATCAACTTGTAACTGGAGTCGGCCCAAAACCTGGACGACATGCGAACCTCCGGCATCCAAGCGTCGTATCAAGGACCAAAGGACCAGGACACGTTGCCTCAGGACCTTTGTTGGCACGGTGACTTGGGGGAGTTGGGAGCTAAAGCATCAGCGTGGTGGGCGCTGGTGGGGATGTGTGTCCTTAACCTTCGTTACGCCGGATATGCGTTGCAGCTGTGCACTCTGATATGTGCATATAAACTATTATCATCTATAATGGATCTAGAATTCATCCAGAATAATATAAGATAATCATATGTTATCTATAAGTATTTATAAATAATCTACAATATACATAGATGATAATGTAATTACCAATATGTATAATACTTATAAATGATAATTATTATAATACATATATCAGTTATTATGATATAATAAGTATATACTATGTATATATAGTTGTATATATATATAGAGCCATGACATACTGATATTTATATATACTTATAATATAATACATATTATTATATTTATAACTGATAATCTATATATATATATAAGTATTATTATCTATATAGATGTCATGGTGTTACCTATCATCTTCCTTCCGCCAAGCTGCTGAGACCACGCAGATTTGGACCTCAGCATTTCATCGATTTCATCGGCCATGGTGAAAAGTGCCTGAATATCACCGTGGATTAAAGGTACTTTAATAGGAATACCTTAATAAGTACCATATGGATGGTTCATGAAAGTACCATGAAAATATAAAAATAGGAATTTCAGGAAATACCTTAAATTACCTCAATATGATGTCAATCACTCAAAATCTTAGGGTCCTGAAATTCCTATTAAAATAAAGTGATTGAAATCACAGGGATGTTTGCAAAACCGCAAATATCCGCGGTTTAGAATCTACTCCCCAACAGCATCCGTAAAAACCTAGCACTTGTGCCCCAAGGAGATTATTTTTCGGGGCAATTGATGTGATTTCCAACGTCCATGAGTTTTATGCATTGCCTTTTGCTAAAAAAAATGATTTGGCATAATCCTCCCAATTCATCCCAATTCAACATGGACAATGAAATTCGTTGAAATCCAGTTGGTTACATGATCCTAATGTAAATAGCAGTCCAATCTTCATCTTTCTCAGCAAAATCTACCAAATGTTGGTTGCTGTTCCCCCAATTTCTCTTGGTGTCCAAGTTTAGACCCCCGAATTGTGGTTTGTTTCCAAGTTTCGTTGCCAAGACCCACTGGTGTCCAACAGTTAGATCCTTCAAATTCTGTTGATTTCCAAGTTGAATCCTTCAAAATTCCAAGTCATATGCATCCTTCAAATTGTCAACTATGGCCGGGTTAAATCGCCAATTTTCTGGCGTTTCGAGCTAAATAAATCCCGGTTTCCAAACTAAATCCTTCAGGAAAGTTGGCATACCCTCTGGCGCCAGTAATTTCTGAGAGCTATGGAAACTGTGCCAGTTTTTAGAAGTAAATCATCTACAAACTGGCCATCGAATCGATTTTTCCTCCTGAATTTGTCCCTGTGCCATGGTGAATTTTCGTGGGTAGATATGTGGTACGGTCATCCCATGTCATGGATTAAATCCCTCCGGATTGGTCTGTGTCATCCCCCCATGGGCATATCCCAATATATACCCAGTAATATGCCCATTGTAGGAATAATAGTGGTGGTTAATGATAATCATTCACTGATAAGAATATTAATAATGGTGGTTAATGATATCAATACCTACCATGTGAATATTGGATATTATCACGTGATAATAGTGGTTGAAGTTTTGTCCCGATCAAACCACGTTAAAAAGTGGTTAATCAATCCAATCTAACGAACTTGACCACAGCACAAAATATTCCCATTGTATCCCCACAATCTCATCCACCTACGTTAGGTGAGGCCCCCAGCTTTGAAAACCCATGAATACTAGAGCTATATCCCCCATAAATCCAAACCTTAACCAAGTTATCTGTATCAACTTAGGTATCGGACTGGGGGGCCTCGCCTTGTATAGTATTCACTTACTATAGATATATACAATTGTTGTCATAATATGTATATATAGATAGATAGATAGATATAGATATAGATATAGATATAGATATAGTACAACCGTAGATGGTACAGGCTGGGGCCCCCAAACGATAGCTAAGTTGACTTATAGCCCGGTTAAGTAGGGTTTATGGAGGATATATCTACCGCAGCAAGCTGTACCAAGGCACCGCCACCGGCAGCCAGCCGTCCTCTGCTTGGTCGTACTGCAAACCGAGGTGCAGCAGACCCGCCAGGGCCGCGTCCAAGGCCTTGGTGCTTCCCAAGTGGCGAACAGAACCCATACAAGGGTGATATCCTACATGTTTATTTATTTATATATAATTGTATATATATATATTATATCTATATTCACTCAATTTGATCTATTCATTCATTGACATGATGTTGTTGCTCTGTTTTATTTGAGCGTTCATTTTTATTCATGTGTTTGCGTATCTATTTATCTATTATCTATGTATTTCACTATTTTTCCAAATGCGCAGCAAGGGTTCCCATTTTACTCTGGGGGTTAAGGGGTTGAGGGTGTATTTGCTAGACGTTGCGTTTGCGTCCGCAACCGTCCGTGTGAGCCCGCTATGGCCGTGCCCAAAGCGGGTGCTACAAAAGCGGACCTTTTTGGAGGTTTACTTTCAAACGTTGCGGAAGGTGTGGCAGGCATGGCACTTCGTGACATTCCATTCCAACATGCTTCATAACCTGTCAAAAATCGTTCTGCGCGACAGGCGCAATACTTTTGCATGGCTTGCAGAAGATGAGCTGCATTTTTCGTGGCAGACTATGGAGACCTCAATCTTCATTTTGCGCGGCAGGCGCAGCACTTCAGACGTGTGGTGTTGCGTGTTTTTTGCAAATCCCACTGTCAGGGCTGCGATTTTGTAGGTACAAGTGTGAAAAGTTGAGGAAGTCTCATATGAAATGCTTGTTTTGAGCTTCCAAGTCGCCGTGCCTGTGGGCATTTGAAGGTTTCAAAAGAAGTTGTAAGGTCGTTTTGTGTGGCAGGCATGGCACTTCGTGACATTCGAACATCCCTGAAAACGTGTCAAAAATCGTTCTGCGTCACAGGCGCAAGACTTTTGCATCGTTTTCAGAACATGACTTCCATTTTTTCGTGCCAGGCGCAGCACTTTGGACGTCTCCATCTTCATTTTGCGTGGCAGGCGCGGCACTTTAGACATGTGGTGCTGTGTGCTTTTGCGAATCGCATTGTCAGGGCTGTGTCAAGTAGTGACAACGTGCAAATTGTGTGGCAGGCGTGGGACATCGTGAGAGTGTCCTTTTGCGTGGCAGGCGCAGCATTTGCTGCAGCTCCATCGTGTGTGGAATGTCATAGCATTTGGGACACTCTACACTTTACACTCTACACTTTACACTCTATACACTCTACACTTTACACTTCACACTTTACACTCTACACTTTACACTCTATACACTCTACACTTTACACTTCACACTTTACACTCTACACTTTGCACTTTACACTCCACACTCTACGCTTTACACTCCACTCTCCACACTCTACACTTTGCACTTTACACTCCACACTCTGCACTTTGCACTTTACACTCCACACTCTGCACTTTGCACTTTACACTCCACACTCTACAAAATTGACGGACGTCTCGCACGAAATATCGATTTTGAGGTCGCAAATTGTGAGGTTCATGAGAAAATTGTGAGGTTCATGCGAGAATTCTATGAGGTTTTCCTCTCTATGTGTTTCGACATCTGTGCCATTAACATACGTGTGAGCATTCGGGTTCGTAGGCTGCATCTTGTTTCGTATACAGTATATGCATCAGATGTGTATGTCAGGTACAAATCGGTATGTGACTGGGTTTGAATATGGTACAGATTTACGATTCCTGGGATGCACCCCAACTCACAAATATGCTGGCTGAATCAACAAATTTGGATCGTGTACCCCGCTCTACTCGGTATACCGAGGCTTTCTCAACTTTCAGAGGGACTCATCTTTCACGCTGGCGAAAACGGTGCCGTGGCCATTCAGAACTACTGTACAATTTCAGGAAATATGCCTGCCATTCACCGTTCACCTATGAATTCTGAGGCCACAGTTGATCTAGGCCAATGACCCCCTGGAAGCCAACGACCGCACTAGTTGTATTGCGTTTTACTCAAGCTCAAGTTCAGGAGGTAACAAATATTCGCAAACCCTCCCGGTCACAGGCCCTCCATTCACAAGGCGTTTCGCCATGCTCACATACAGCGATCTGTCCTGAACCAACAGTGCCAAAGGGCGCAATCCATCTGGACACTGCAGGACTTCCGTGAAAGTTTCGCTGCTTGGGTGGAGGGCCAACACCTTTCTTAGATCCCCGGCAGCAACATAAATTGTTCCACCGTCAGTTACAAACAGGTCCCGGGGGAAATGCCGGCCCCTAGTTGGGATTTGGCCCACCACAACAGGTTCTAAGGACTCACCTGGATTGATGCGCAAAATGCGATGATGGTTTTCATTCAGATCGTCCAGAAGATAGATCACCTCTTCCTTGGTTACAAACACCCGACACGCTGAGAACTGCATGTCTGGAGGAAGACTCTCGGAGGCAATCACCGTCTCGAGCCTTGAGCCCACCAGCTTTGCCACAGTTCTCGCATCATGCCAGCTCACCACATACAGCACTCCGTTGGGCGAGCAAAACAGGGCCCGTGCACCAACGTTGTCAGCAACTAAGTCTCCAGAACCGTTTTGAAAACGAAGAATCCTCTGATTCAGACAATCCGAAACGAACATCTCACCGCCGGGCGAAATGGCCAGGTCATCCAGGACATTCAGGACAGCATTAGTTCCAGTGACAGCAGTGTCTTCACCCACAACAGGTCGCACGCAGCTTGAAGGTTCACCGGGCTTCCAACTAGTGATGCGTTGACCCCCAAAGTGCGCAGCAAAAAGTTCACCTTTGTGCCAGCGCAGAGAGACACAGGGAAAGGGCAGTACCTCTCGCCCTGAAGCTTCAATGCTGGCGGTGCTGGCACCAAAAAATTGTGACCAATGCTGGAGACAACACCTCTTCGACTGAAAGGTACCTGGACTTTGGGTTCTCTTGCGCGAGGTCAAAGCATCCTCAACTTCTCTGTGCAGGTCATCACCACTTTGCCCGGAGAGAGTTGTGTGGCCAAGGCGAAGCAAATTCTCAAAGGATAGTGATTGGAAATGCACATGTTGCAGCAGTATTCCAAGAAAGGCATGTCCATCCCTGGTAATTTTATTCCAAGTAAATACTGCGTTCACCACGTCTTCTTCGCGTGAGACACCCAGATCTTCCCTCCTCAGAATTCGAACCAGCTGACTAGCACTGAGCTTCCCAAAATCGGGATGCTTGCTGCAAGTCTCAAAGTCCTCCGCAACTTTATCTTCGCAGGCGGCTCTTAAAGAATGAAGGCCATGTGCTTCTTGTAGAACTTGCAGGGCAACACTGCTGTCCAAGCAAGCACAGATACCTGCCTCAATCGCACCTGCTAACTTTGGCAGGTCGTAAGCCTGTGCCAGTCGTAGGAGTTCAAGCCCAACTTCTACTGACACTTCAGGCTGCCCATCATAGATGCAATCCAGCAATGCAGACACTGCCGCTTTGGATGCAGCAATTTCCACTGGCTTCTTTTGCTGCACCCTCTCTGCTTCAAGGAACGACCCACCCAGCAGATTCTTGAAAAACACGCTGGCAGCAGATAGCACGGCCGTATGGGCGCGATGCTCTGCGCCATCGCTGCTCTTCAGCACCACATCACAGAGATGTTCGTCCATCCAGAATTGTCGCAACTGCTGCATGATGCCGGCCCGATGCTCGGCCAGATCTGAGTAGTCAAGCTTTACAGCTGCCATGGCGCGGATTCTACACTCGAAGACCAGGATTAGTCCTTCTCTAGGACACACAACAACACCTGTATGATCTAGTCATCTAGTCACTTTGCCCATGACTTCGGCTACAGACAGAATTGAAGAACACACAAATAATAAATAGTTCCACCTGAAAATAAGAAACATAGCTGTAATCCCCACCTGGACATGGATCCCAGATGGTTTCCACCTGGCTCTATCCCAATTGAAACAGACATATATATATATATATGTGTGTTTTTTCATATTCCCATATGCTCCATGTATGGAACATTTACCAACATTTACCCCATACATGGCCCAAATGTAGTATAAATATACTATACATGGAGCATATCCTTTGGCAATTCGTAGCCCTAGATGGCCGAGAAGATTTTCGAATGCGGTCACTGCGGTCACCGATTTTATCTGTGGGACCGGTGACTGAAGATCCAAATGCGAATCTGATCCATAGATACCATGTATATCCCATCATTATATCCAATTTATATATCCCCCTAAAAAACATCCCAATGGGTTATATATGGTTATATATTTGGAGCTGTCCTAAAATGGAAATAGCCCCAAATCATCCAAGTCAGAAGACCATGACTTGGTACTGAAACAACCATAGTGACTTTGGGATCCCAGTTTGGGAAACCTCCATTTGGGCATTTCCTGAAATGGGGGTACCCCTAGTTCTCATCCATTTAGATTGAGATTTTCCATGAAATAAACTACATAAACCATCCAGCTATTGGGGTATCCCCATTTCTGGAAACCCCCATTTATACCTGGTTGGTGGTTTCAACCCCTCTGAAAAATATGAAAGTCAGTTGAGATGATTATTCCCAATATGGCAAAATAAAAAATGTTCCAACCCACCAACCACTTCCGGGTCTATCCCATTTCCCCACAGACCCCACGTGCGACGTGTCGCACGTCGCCATTGTAGCACCAGGTCACGGCGCGGGGCGCGTCGGCGAAACTGATTCGCAGCTGTCGCAGCTGCAGAGCCACCAGCAGGAAGAAGTACCAAAATTCGGAGCCTCGCAAGGGACTGAGCCATGAGATTATATATATGTGTATATATATATATATATGTTATGTATATATATATATTGGGTAATTGAAAGATGAATCTTTCATGGCTCACTAAGATTTCCGCTAAATTATCTGGATCTTATACTAAAGATGAAATTTAACCATATCAGGTAATATTGGGTATACAATTTTATGAAATGATATAAATATGATGTTATTTTTCTACATATGATGTTTTTGGGCCAGTAATGAAACTTTATCTGAAACCCCGTGAAATATGAGGTAATCAGATTTAAGTGCTGGTTGGTTCATATGTATTTGTTCAATAATTGCTATTACAAGTATGATGACCATTGTGGAAATTACCCATGACATATTGGTTGATTAATAGGTACATCAGGTGAATTCAGGTGATACATATAGCCCCCTAGCACCAGCCACGGTTTTGAACACTGCGCAAGTGGGACACGTTGAAAGATCAGGGGGTCATAGGGTATATCTATGGAATATCTTGGAAATCTATCAGGATATTGAGGGGAACATGCGGTTTCTTTTTGTAAGAATGCGTATTTGTGATGGGATATACCCTCTGGTTATGTCAACATAGCTATTCAAAATGGCAATTTATAGTGGATTTACCCATTGAAAATGGTGATTTTTCCATAGTTATGTTAGTTTACCAGAGGGTAGTAGTAATAATAATAAAAATAGTAGTACGAATACTGGTTGTAGTAATTACAGTAGTGCTGTAACAATCCTTTAAGAAAGAGGAGTAATGATAGTAATCGTAATGATGATTTAACGATAGGGATTATAACTAAGGTGAGATCCACAATGCCACAACAAATTATCTGCACTTCTCAAGAAATTGGGGATGGTGACTATAACAGTGGATCTCCAAGTATAAGAAAAGGGAACATATAAGCTGGTTAGGAATAGATCATGTACATCATGTACATGCGCATATCCCAACTACTTTGGCTGTGATGCCCCAAAACAGGGCCAAGGGGATCGACCCACAGTTTGCGTAGCGTCTACTCCTAATGATACAATTCACAGAAGATCAGAATGGGAACTGATGGTTCAATGGTGAGACGCCAATCGTTTGTGTCTAAAAATATACAGTACCCTCCAATACTCAAACGCGGCAATGGGAAATCCTCTATAAATGGAGGAAATATTTGGAAACCCTCCATAAATGAGATATGTTCTATTGCTTTGTTTGATTACCGGATGGTATTTCTTGTGGCTTTGTACCATCGGAAAGTCCTATAGTAAGAAGCCTATCTGGATGTGCAGGACCCATTGAAAACCACCATGAAAACGACTAACAGAGATTCATGTTACAAACAAAAATGCTGGTCTTTCCTCTCCCATAGATACTAAAAATCTAAGACGACCTGTCCCGAAAAAGATGCTGATTTGATGTGGAAAGGCGAAAGATTCAATCATGGAAACCTACCACTGACCGCTTTCCCAGCTCCATTGGCCGATCTCCCCATTGGATCCGGAAATGGTTGCTGCGTTGTTGTGAAACAACCCATCCCGAAAAGATTTTGTGTAGACAATTCATGGGATGCAGTATCCCAGGTATGATGGAAAAACGTCAGACATGAACCTGTCAGTAGCTGTCAATGATGTGATTTAACCAACAATGGTGATATGTGCAAATGGATGCAAATGGGGAGATACCAATGGGTTACTAAAAACATTATCAACCAGCAAAAAAGATGAAAGATGAATTGTCCCTATTGCTATGGCCTCGGTGGTGGAGAAGATCTGCGGTGCCAAAGAAAGACATTTGCAGCAGCAGGAGGATCCTGGAACGGGAGTTTCTGTGTAGTCAAGCCTAGGGTAAACTAACATAGATGTGAAAAATGACCCAATGCATGTATTACATATTAAAAATGGAGATTGTCCACATCTATGTTAGTCCCCAACGCCGCCCCCAGGCAACTGGTCACGAAACACCTTTTTTCGCTTTTTTTAGGGTTTGGGGTGGGGGGATGTTAACGTCCCTGTGAACTTGCTCACGTCATGTATGCTTCGTGAACTTCGGGTTTGCCTGGGTTATTTATATAGATATATATATATATACATATCCACAATATTACACAATGAAAATCACATTTAGATACATATATATATATGTAAACATTTGCACACATATACATTTATTTTCACTATTGTATACATACAAATGTACATATATTCTTGTTATTTATATTTATGCACATAAATATATTTCTGACTTAAGTACACACACGCACACGCACGCATATATATATATATCACGTGTATAATGTGTGTATATATATATACATATATACTTCTGTTTAGACAACTTAAATTAACTTGTCGGGGAATGTTCCATTGCACTTCTCAAACAATTGGCCAAAGCTTGCAACGCTCGCTGATAATGGCGCAAGAACAAAAGAGCACAAGGCGCAAAGAACAAAAGGCACCAAAAAACACCAGTTGCCAAAGGGCGGCGCGACCTGTTAGTTTAGCCTAGGGTTACCTTCAAGAGAGTTTACCCACCAATTGTATCTCATTTTCTTGGGGAAACCATGGGTGTTCCACATCTATGTTGGTTTACCAGAAGTTAACCTTCACAAAAGATAGGACAAGAAAAGCATCCTTTTTCTGATTCAACAAATTTACGGACAAATTGATCACTATCTTTTTGGCAATTGCTATATACAAATGGAGTAAAGACCATTCATGTATGTTTCTTGGTTTGTATGGTTCATCTACAAACACAAAATTGGCGTAGAATAGATATACAGTATGTATAGAGATCTGTATGTGTGTGTAGATCTGTATGAGTGCATGTGCGCAAGATTCTGCTGTAGCTACTCATCTTTGCTTCTGCAAAATGTAAAAAATATTATCATATTTATACCCACCAATGCGAAAACGACATTTATGCAATGAAACTCCTCGAAAATTCATTGCATCCCTAAGTTCGATGTCTACATCCCAATTTTTGTCAATCTTTACAGTATATCAACCATCCACAGGTATTACTCCGTACTGTGCCACATTTAACTGGCCGTATCTTTCGGCGTACATTCCCAGAAGTTCCCGAAGGGAACTGGGATGAATTGGGGTGCCCAGAAATGGTGGTACGAGTATACAATACCCTCTGGTAAACGTTTACATAACTATGGGAAATCACCATTGTTATGGGTAAATCAACTATGTCAATGGCCATTTTCAATAGCAAACTGTTAGTTTACCAGATGGTACTAGTTGGATGTTTTTCTTTTCAGATGTTAGTAAGGCAATGTATAGGCAATGTCATAAACCACCCATATGTCGGTGGTATATACCATCCATTTATGGCAAAGGTGGGGATGGTTTACTATTGCTCTACTAACATTAATATTGATACTCTTACCACTTACCACCATTAGCTGGGAATGTTTTTTGAATAGAAATGAATCCCAGTATATACTGTATTGGGTGTTGATTCTAATAGTGAGATTGATTCTAATCCTACCACAAATTGGGATGCCCTTCTTTTCTAACACATTAAAATCACAAGCTGATAGTGATTGGTTGGTTGTTGATCTTAGATGATCTTATCAAATGATCCCTTCCCCATGTTGAACACCCCCCATAAACCCTGGTTTAGTGGATGAAACCATATGACTTTGACCATAGAATGGGGGTGCGTTTCATATGAATGGGGGATGATATCCATAAATGCTGTTAGTATCAAACCATAAATCCCGCTATAACAATATCCCACTAGATAATCCTCAATATATCCCATTAAATATGTTTTTCATCACCCATAAACCATAAACCATATAGTTTTGCTAGTTTTCTGAAAGTATCAAACCATACATGGAAAGTACTTGGAAGCCTCAGTTCACCGCACTTCCCGACCTCGCAAGTAGCTCTATCGTTTCCACTTGCCGCGCCACGTGCCGCTGACACCGCAGTGGTTTCGATGAAAGCCACGCGGTGTCAGCGCCTGCTGCGGGGGTGGTGCCTTGGTTTACCTGTGATTTTAACTCGGATTCTACGGGATTAAGCAGCAAACATTGGGTCAATCTTGGGAAAATCCGGACAGTCCATTAATAGGGATTAAAGATCATTTGAGCATCTAAAGTTGGGACAATATGGGGATTTAAGATGGCTTAATTAAGCGTGATTTAACTCATTTAACTGATGTAACCATCTGAAAAATTTGTGAAAATATGGGGATAAAGCCAGATTTAAACGTTCAAAGTATGGAATACAAGGGGATATTCCATCAAAATATGGCGATTTATCATTGGTTTATCATGGGTCTCATGGGTGTGTTCCAAGAACTTTGATTTTTTGTTTGCCTTCCTCTACCGTGGAAAATCAAACATGGCGGTTGCATGGAAATCTCCGAGGGCATCTGTATAATTCTATGTGGGAAAATAATCGAACAAATAAGGGATTTTCCAGCAAACCATGTTTGATTGCCGGTAAACCAATGCTGGATAACAGGATCGACCTTCGTTTGGTTTTCCGTGCGGAAACTCATCCACAAATGATGGATTTTCCCATGTTCCATGTTGCTTCAGAGGGCACTGGAGGGTTCTAACCTCTGGCCCAGGAAATTTCCACCGTCACCATCCCGTTTTCCAAGTGCGTAAGACACGCCCATATTTCTTATAGACCACTTACAAATGGACACATTGTGATGATAACTCCAGGACGTCGGGATTTGTGAATTATCACTGGAGTTACTGTGCCTTGCGATTCCAACAAAATAAGTATGTGACCAACCATGGTGGCCGAAAAAAAATCTCAACTTTCCTCATGCTTTCATCTCTGTGAAACGGCTTCAGTGAAACGGCAGCAGAAATCGTTGTATCCTGCCACGTTTGTTGGTTGATTGTCAGGCAATTGGGGATTTATTACATATGTTAATGAGCCCCGAAATCGAATCTATTCCCAGATATTCCCGCTTTCTCTTATCATAGCATTTTTAGTGACTGAAAATAATTACTGGTTGGTGGTTCCAACCCCTCTGAAAAATATGAGTTACTTTTCCACTTTCCCATTGCCTGCCAAAGTCTCGAATGGCGATGCAAGAAGCCGGCTTGGCATGCTTCCTACACCAACTTTGTACACCTAACATCCTCCCACTGCATGTCGAGTGGAATGAACGCACCATGGACGTTCCAAAGTTTTATGCTGTCCAACCGTCTGTTGGAAGTACCTCCATAGATTCGAAAGTGCAGCAATTGATCCTTGCAAACATGGTCTCTTCAAGAACCCCTTAACTGCAACAGTATATCCAAGCGGCCGCAAAGCCTTGACACTTTGAAGCTGGATTGGTGCATTGACACCGTCCAACCACCACTGAAGGAAGTTGATCCACACTCTCGATTGTCGCGACAAATCCAATTTGAATTGGTCCGCCACCACGCACTCAGTTCGTAACCGGTATACCTTGTCCTTGACCTGAACTGGGGCCATCATTCCTGTATCCATTGCAAATGTGACATACATTTCCAACGCACTAAATGGTTCACCATCCCCCCGCTGCACATGCCGTATCCAGTCCTGGAACCTGACAGCAAAGGCAGTAGTGTATGGACAAGCTTGCAACTGCTCATGCGTTAGACAAGGCACGTTAAAGGTGGGTCCTGAAACCGTCGTCAGCATTGCAAAGTCAGGGCATGTTGAAGGCTCAATCCGTTTGGGTCTAGTTTCAATGTACCTGTCACAAATTGCACACACCAAGTCATGAAAACTACACATGTGCTGTTTCACAAGGTTTCTCTCTTTCACCATCACCTCCATGCGGCGAAAAAGGCCAGCATTGTCAACTTTCACAGCTGCTTTTGCACTCTTGTCAGCACAGTCATTTCCCCATGCATGTAATCGCTCAGTTTCATCCAGAACGGAGGATAACTGAGCTACATGGGCTTTAACCTTAAACATGCACACTCTTCGGCTTGAACATCTTCTCACCTGCCATTCGATATGCTTCCAGATGTCTTCATGGTCACCATGAACCACATGGCCCCCACTCTGAATCGCATCACACATCTGATGAAACTGCTTGACTACAGCCTCGCAGTCAGAAAAAATGTTCACGTGCCAAAAAAGTTCAAGAGTCAACAAAACCGCAAAAACTTCGGCCCTGTAGGAACTGTGATCTTGGTAAGGCAAGATCTGTCTCTTCCTTTCAACCATCTCGCCCTCATTCCATTCGATGACCGCTGCTCCCGCAAGGCAGCAATCCCAATGTTCATTGAAAAAAGCAGATCCATCGGTGTAGACATGTTTGACTGCAGCGGACACCTCCGGTAAGGTGCATGGCCTTTCAATTTGTAACCTATGTTTGATCGGCCCAGGCTGGCCAACATTAGGAAACAACCCAAAGGCCCACACCGCCTTCTTTTGCCTACGAATCCAGCGCAACGTTTCACCATATTTCACCCTCAAGTCACTAAGGCCTCTACAGTGGAACAGTCTATGCTCTTTCCCGTCCGGCAAATCACAAAAAGAACACTGTTTGGTTTCCACCCTATTGGAGTAGTGCACCAGTGCGTCTATGGTTACATTTTTTCCGCACGCCATAGTTTGCAAAATGGCTTGCTCTCTCGCTGGTCTTTTCTCAATGCTTTTGCGAAAGGCTTCAGCATCAAAGGATTCAACATCAAAATTTGGTCGGCTCACCTGTTCGGCAACAAAGAAGGACCAGGCTCGATGGAGGGTTTTACAAATAAACGGCCACGCATCATCAAGCCACCTCATTGAAAAACCCCCTTTGTGTTCCATCACGTTGTGGTCTTTCCAACTCCAACCAATTTCAGCAAAGGTTTCAGCAAGCTGTTTAGTTATGCCAGTGCTCGCTTGCCAACCCCTGTGCACCAGACGATTCAAAAAACCCTCCTTTCTGTCAGGGAAGCTCTTCAAGAACTTGCGATAGAACTTGATTTTCCTCTTAACAAGTTGCAGCTGAGGATCACAGAACTGTCCAGTGACATTAATAGACAGCCATGCATTGGCTCCAGATTTGTACAAGCCCAAAGCTTCGGCAGTGGCTGCTCTCAATCGGTGACTTTCTTGCTTGGTGTGTTTCTGAAGTTCAGACCCGTACCCTGCAATACCAGCACCTAAAGTGGCACACATCTTTCCCTTGAAGGCTCTGGGTAACTTTCTCATTTTCACCCTTTGGAGGGTTGCAACTGCTTTGCACAGCCTTTTTTTAACCGTCGCCTTGCACTTCTTTTTACTGTAGGACACATCACACCCAAGATCTTTTGCAGACAAGCGCACGCACACAGGCTTACCACAAAGCTTGACACTGGCCAACTGTTTTCGGATTTTGGTGCTTGTGCCCCACAGCCATGATTTATCAGGTGAGATTCTCATGCCCAAACTCTCAACAAGTGTCTCAAGCCGCCGAATTGCATCTTCCAACAACTGGACTGATGTGGCTATGATCCCCCAGTTGTCAGCAAACATCACGACCTGGATTCCCTGCTGCTGGCATGCCATGACCTCCGCAACAAGAACAGTCATAACAATCATGGAAACTACGCTGAAAGCACATCCCTCAGGGACCCCACAACTGCTGGGTTGTTCTTGGCCAATCTGGCCGGCAATTTCCACCAAGCGTCTCAACCCTTTCAACATGCCTTGGTGTGCGTTGACATATTGCAGCGGGATCTGCAACTTTTCCATCAGCAAGGCCAACGTGGTTCTTGGGATCAGGTTAAAACACTTCTGGAGGTCTATCACTAACCCGCATTTGTGGTTACCCGTGTAATGGGCTTCTTCCAAGACATCACACACCAATGCAGTAAGGCAATCAGCACTGAGTCTAGAAGCTGGCACGATGTTTCCCAGATGCTTGATGACCTGCAGACTACGGTACCTACTCCATAAACGGTATAGGACACTGACGATGGTGATTGGACGGACTGACAAGGGACGGTGATTATCCTCACCAGGTTTGGCCAACATCACTACTCTAGCCAGACTTGTGCGGTCAGGCCATGGCATTCCATTTTCTGCAGCACGGTAGATTTGGAACAGCCATTGCATTAACGTCTCAGGCATTCTCTGTACATCCTTCATGGAGAAACCACATGCACCCCTGGCACTTTTCACTTTGACCCCCTTGATACATTTACGCCATGCATCAACATTGAAGTCCTGAAAGGGGCATGAAGGGCAATCGCTTAAGTTTCGGATAAACTCAGCCGCCTCATTGGTGACAACATCCGGCGCCTGCCAAAACTGGTTCCATGCATGACATACCATATCCTGCATTTTATGCGGGCACGGTTCAGCGCACGATTGGCTCACTACAGGGTTATCCATGGATTTACACCTAACTGGCCTATCCAAGAACAAGCATTCATCATCAACATCAACCAACATCGCATCCTGACCTTGAAATTGCACAGGCATACCGATTTGCAGGACACATGGTGCCTTGTACTTGAGCTTATGCAACCCTTGAAGTGACCATCTTTGTCTGGCTATTGGCTGTTGGACATTATGCATCATGAAAGTAGGTGGGGGTGCCGATTTCTCCCTGACTGCTTTGAAAGCTTTCCCCCCCCTTTCGCAAGGTCTTCCAACGTGATTTTGTTGAACTGCTTCAACTGTGCATACTTCTCACCCTTCACTTCTGACTGGACAACTTCATGAAAGGCATCATACAGGCCCTCCACATACACCACGTCAGGCAAGTGTACAGGAACAAACCATCCCAGGTTATCAAGAATCCAAGTGGAAAACCCTTTATGAAACCCAGGAGCGGACCAAATTGCTTTCCACAGCATGGTGCATTGCATCAAGTTTTCAGCAGTGGGACACCGGGAACGTGCTTTCAACTGACGTACAAGGCTAAGGATACGCCGACATTGTGTAACCCGCCGCTTCACCCCCAGTGTTGTTTGGCCAATGGAGACCTGGACATCTCCATCACGACCCTTGGGGATGATGTGCGCAGACACAGGTTTGGTTTTAACCACCTTTCCCTGGCATCGCTTGAAACATGCTGCCGGAACATGGACATGGTTACCCTCAACATCCACTGCACTATCTCGAACAACATCTTCAAATGCCAACGCAAATTGCCGTAGGGCCTCATTGGCATCACCTCTATGCAGGGCATCAGTAAACTTACTATGTCGTCTATTGCAGACATCTACCGCAAGTCTCTCCATTTCATCACTGTCAAACATCATGTTGTCAAGGCTGCGCGGCAAGGACCACACTGTTTTGTGACACTGCGTCTGACCAATGCTAAACGTGGCTTCCAGCACCGGATGTGCATCAAACATATGGTGTTCAACTGTGCCACGGTCCTGGAAAAATTGTGCCATTGCCTGGTTCACCAAGATGAAGGAACGTCTTGATGCATCTTTGCAAGTCGGTTCAGGTATCTTTTGAAACCGTTGCCATGCCAGTTCAGCACAATCATACCATCCCTTGGCTCGCAAACTTTCCCAAAAAACACAGTCACCCAAGTCACGATTGAAGTCACCTGTGATCACTGCAGGGCCTTTGAAGCATGTTGCTCTTTGGAGGCCAGGCAAAATAGCATTCAAAAAGACTTTTTCACCATCCATATACGTGCAGTTATTGATGGGCGGAGCATACACCACACAAACATACACTCGCAGACCACACCCCACATGGACAATGGCATCATTGAATCTGCAGGACATACGCACGCTTTCGTCAAGCTCCATTGGGTACGGTGTCATTTGGCATCTTGTCATGATGGCAGTACCCATGGCCTTTCCTCTATACGACCCTGCATTCCCTGAGTGTTTTTCCACTGGTGGACCAAACTGGGTCCTGACATCATATTTTTGGAACTTTTGTCTCATGACATGCATCGCTGCAGCTGTGTGAGAGGTTTCTGCAGCAGTCCAGATACCATCCGGCCATTTGCAAATATCTTCTTCATGTCCTAGCAATTGGGCTGGGTTGAAGGTTCGGATGACCATTGGACCAGGATGAGATGCCTCGCCAAATCGTCTCACTTCGACATGGGAAAGTGTATCACAAAACCGGTAACTGTCCAACCAACAATTACCCCTTTCACCAGCACGTGTGTAGTGAAAATCACAAGGAGAATCTGGACATTTAACTTGGACATCACATGTTTCCACAAACTGGCTGACCTGCTTATGCAAACTGTACATCTCATCAAAAAATGGCTTCGCATTCAAAGTTGCCGCAAACATCACATCGACAACGTCGGTCCCAACCTCACCGCAAGCAGGTTCCATTGGATGAGTGCAACCACCACGCCACGGGATTGCAGTTGCTGCATATGGGCAAACAAAAACACATGCAAACTGAGCTTTGTTACTCATTCCATCTTCAACTGTACACCAAAAAATAATGATACACTGTCCACCCCATGCATTGAGCAAAGGAGTCGCATGAGCTCGCTTTTGATTTCCTCCTCTGTGGGCTATTTGGAACACGCCCTTTGATTCGTGATCATTTCTGCAGTAACCCTCATTGCACAACAAGGCACCGCACGTACTGTACCAAAAAACTTGGCTGGCATACAAACAATCAATGGTCTGACACTGATCATACTGCCATACCTCTTCGATCACCTGATTTTTGTTTTTACTGTGCGGATATTCATTTCGCACAGGGTACCTTTTCTGGGCACACTGTTGAAAGCACAACCAGGTGACCTCGCAAAATCTGCAGCAAACGAATTCATAAAAGGGAGCAGTCCTACTTCCATGCCACTTTCGTTCAACTGGACTCCGGTGACCTGTAGCAAACTTATTTCCCTTACATTCTGTCGCCACTAAACGGTCGACAATACATGTACCACCATTGCAAATGACATGATCCTTACAACCATGTCGTGCATTGTGATTCGGTTTCCCCAGAAAACAGGAGACACCACCTGAGTTTATTGTACTGAGACTCGTGTGAGGACTTGAGTCATGCCCTGAAACAGACGCACGAGACATTTCTTTCATCTTTTGAACATACATCTTGGTGTCACGACTCTGACTGCAGTAAGGAGCACTACCTACAGCTGGACTCATACCACCATCACCCATGTCATTGCAACCACTGTCGCCACTAAACGGTCGACTTACGCTCATCCTCGCTGCCACTAAACGGTCAGCTCTTGAACGGGGATCATGACAACCACCACAAGGCATGTGGTCGACATGCAACAAATCTTTATGGTTTTTATATTTTTTCCACATCATGTACGTGAATTGTTGGCAACAAACAAATTCATGAGTCATGTGCTGATCTCGTTCCAGACCACCTGGGGATATTTGCACAACCGAAGGCTCTTTTTTCTCCCCGTTTTCATGATCAGGATCCAGATAGGCAGCCTTCCGAACATCATTAAAATCAGTCGCCACTAAACGGTCGACATCCTGCTGTATCATTTCACGCATGGCATTCTGAGACTGCTGGGTCAGCCTCTCTTTTTTTGCATGCAATTGGGAACATCATCACCAAAACTAGTGATTATTTTACCATGGCCGTTTTGCAAGTTTGAGCCATTCAAGTCTAAATAAGACCAATTCCTCTCCATACAACCAGATGAGAATCCGGCGACATGGAAATTTGCATCTTGTCGAGCATCGAATTGTTTCTTTTGAACTCCATGATTGGACACTAAGGCTTCAGTTGGGACGACCAGAGACATCACCAGCATCCACCAAACCACGGCTCTAGAAAACATCCAGCCTCGTTTTCTTTGCCTATTCTGTCAAGCCTTAGGAGCAAATGGGTCAGCTTTGGCCGGCTCAGTCCTCTGACGCTTCTCTGGGTCATTGACCAGGGATTGAACAGTCTGTTCCATGTTGGTCTGCATCTTGGAAAACATGGATTGCATCTGCGCAATGATTTGGTGGCTGCTGGCTGCCACTGACGTTTCTACTTCTGCAAGTTTCTTCTGAGTGAATGCCTGTTCTTCACGTACGTGTCCCAAGTCATTGGCTAAGCTCGTGTGGGCAGACTCCGTTTTGGTCTGAACATCATGCAGTGCTTGGGACAACTGTTCGATCTTGCTGTTGGCAACTTGCAACTTTGTCTCAACTGCTTGGGAAATCTGGGCTTCCACCTGCGCTCTGAACTCAGCAAACCTGGAAGTCGTGGAGACAATGTCATTTTCATTGGTGGTATTCACTCTTACTTCTCTTGCTACCATGGTGATTGGCACACTGTCGGTGGGTCTTTGCAAACGTTCTACCATCATGATGGCGCCATTGATCACCACATGGCTGCTATTAGGTTCCCCCTTAGCAGCCAGGATCCACCTGTTCATACCTTGCGGTCTGACAGCAGTAGCATCCCATCCAGTCTTTTGCAATGCTTCGGTCAATTCCTCTCTTCCAACCTGCGGCACATTCTTTGCTACAAAAAGGACTTGGTCACTTGTGAAGGCTGCAGTTTCTACGTAGGCAGAGTCAGGCAGCAATTGCGCTCGGACACTGGCAGCATCCTCTCTTTTGCATCTGATCGCAAACCCATCACCAATCTTCACAATGCCTAGCGCCTTCTGACATGTATCTGCTTTCAACGCAACATCCTGCAGTTGTTTGTTCGGCAAATTCACCATTGTAAATCGTGGATCATGTTTGCGGTCAGCAGTTTTGGGATTCATGAAAATACCCACCGATCCACTTCTGCTCAGGACCTGCTGCAACAAGCTATCAGCAATTCTGAAGTATCCATGCCAATGGTCAGCCTGGTTGTGGTGGACCACTTTGCTATTGGCCCATGCTTTGACACTCCACACTGCCAATAAATTGTTCCCTCGCAACGCTGGTACATGGACACCAACATAGTGAAGTGGCACTGCCGTATCTTGCCAGTTACCTACAAACTTCTTGTGAATTCCAAACTCAATGACCGTAGATTCCATCCGTGTGACTTCGGCCATAGGGAGTTGTAGTTGAAAATCAATCTGCACATCCCCAAATTGAAGCAAACATGCCTTCACAATGACTGGTGAACCGTTTGACAAGTGAGCAGGCAATGAAAAAGTGCTTCCAATGCTCTGAACCCCTTCCCCAATCACCAACAGCGCCAAAGGGTCGGCAGACCGTGCTCCCATCTGCATGCACCGTCTTGCCTCATCAGGAGTCACGATACATAAACCTGCTTGATCAGGTCCAAATCTTCCTACTTCCAACATCTGCACCTGATGACCTTCTGCCTGAAAGTGTGCAGGATCCACCTTGATTGCATGAGCTTCCGGTGAAAATGTTTTGGCCTTTTTCACCTTGGCTTCTTTTTCCTCACTTTTTCCGGCTGGCTTATTCTTCCTGTTTGCTTGTTGAAACACCTTGAGCTCAGCAGGCGTGATCAACCGGAATTGAGCAGCACTTGCCAACTCTTTCAACTCATTCCACGTCCCCGGAACTTGTGGATCACCCAGGTTCTGGAGCTTGTCATGTTGCACTTTCGACATCAAACCAGTCACCCTTTCTTCCATCTTGTCTGATGGAACTCCTCTTTCCGCAAGCATGACTTTCAATTTGTTCTTTACTGCCTCAATCTTTTCTTGCTTTCCACCTCCAAGCATCGGGCAAACTCGAATGTCAAGCACCCAGTCTTCATTGACCTCACTCGCCTTGAGCATAGGGTCAACCACTTGGCCGTTTTGAGAGACAACCATGCTTGACATAACCCTGGACATGTTGAGATAGCTGGCTGCCATCTCAGCGATTGTCATTTGCATTGGACATTTCAAATCCTGAGGCCGTATGCGAAACGGAGACCTGACAATCAGAATTTTGTACTCCTCATTGATTCTGGCTTGCACCGACGGGGTGTCGATCTCTTGGGTCCAGCGCACCTTGTTAACATCAGTGACAGGTAACGGTCTTGCCCCATTCCATTGGATCTGAAGGTCATCAAACCCATTGACATGCGCATCAGCTGTGCATTCACACCCCTTGCTGAAAACATTCCATGGCGTGTTGGCATGTAAATCAGGAAAAAGTGCTTTCATCATGGCTCCAACCGTCATCAAAGCATCGGCAGCACATGTTCGTACCACCTTCCTGTTCGGGTGTCTGGCACACCACCTCACGTCCCTGGCAGACGGCACAAAACCCTGATCCTTGACTTGTTTCCCTTTTGGTTCCCATGAAACGTACGCAGGCAAACACGCTTTAAACTTCATGTCAAAGTCAACAGTGTCATATTCTGCAAGGAATGCATTGTCTGGCATCATGATGTTCTTATGTGACAGCATCACGGCATCAGGATTGCATCCTAACTCACATGCAACATATGCAATGGTGGTTCGGACCGACCATGTGACATCTGCTTGTACCTTGATCTGCAAGTTCAGGGACTTTTCACTGCACACCACATCTTTGTACACCGGTTCAAACACAATGGTCTGGCATGCTTTGTCAGGCAGTTTCTGAACCCATTGAACATCACGGTCTTCCATACGCAAGCTCTGGAAATGTTCCGGCTTAGCATGTGGTAACCCTTTTTGGATCGCATTGGCAACCGAATCATCTGCAGTGGCATTAACAAACATTACCCAATGCTTTTCCATGTGTTCCAGCAAAACCATTTTACTGCTACCAAGACAGGCAACAGCTGCATTCCACCTCGGGTCATCTGTTTGGACAAACAGTGGGCAACGTTCAAAAGCCTTTGTGGCCACTGGGTCTGCTTCCTCCACAGTGAAGGGCACTGTGGGCTCAACATCTTGGTCACGCTTGGCTTTCTTGGCACTGGGTTCTTTGTTACATTCACTCAACATCCAGAATTCACCATCTTTGCATGTTTCATACTTGGACATATGAATCCTAGCGGCTAACACCTCTTGCACGTGCTTCACCTGGTCGGATTGTCCATTCCACGGAGACGCAACCCCTAACATGACGACGGTTTTTTGGATGGCTAGCCAGGCATGCGCAGCAGATAACCCATTCCCAGCCTGCTTCCATGCCGTGTGCAAATCAGCGCTCAAAACTGTCTCAGGTTTGTAAGCTAATGCAGCTAACATTTCCCATGGGGACCACATACGCTTTCCATCTTTGTCAGCAAGAAGGACAGTTTGCAACCCTTTTGCTTTCAACAACTGCATGTCAAGCTCATGTTGCTTGCCGTATGATGCCATGAAACAAGGACATTGTTGGTCCATGTTCACGACACGGCCATCAATCACGCTCTCATGACTCCCATTTGCAATCTTGCTTTTCAACCACCATGGGGCAAGGTCATGATTACCAAGCATTTCCAAGGCGCTCGGTGAAATCTCAAGCAACTCACGCTCATGCTTTCCAAGGTTCTTGTGCTCAACATCAAAAGACCCCACCTTTGGAAGTGTGGCAACACATGAAAACATGCAACCAGTGAAGTTCATGTAGTTGGCAATTCGAACACGATTTGCATCAACTTCACATGACCGATGGACGAAGGTTCCCAACCACCTATCCCTCTTGACTGGCAAAAGCTGGTGACAACTGAAAACCCCGTGCGACTGGAGGACTAAACCCTTGGCGGCAATATCCTGAACCATCAGCTTGAAATCATCATGTTTGGGAAGCCCTGCAACGTTTTCCAACACTACAACCATGAACTGCATGAATGCAGCCCACTCAAGGCATGACTGGAAGGCACGGCCATCATCACTGGACAACCCTTTATTGCATCCCGCTCCACTCCACGGCTGGCATGGTGGCGATCCTACCATCTTACCAACATTGGCTACCCCCGCAGCAACCCACACCATTGGTTCTTCAACTTTTTCAACCAAGACACAACATGGCATGTCTTCACCTGTGAGTACTTTCTCAACATATTCCCTGGCACGAATGCATGGGGCACCTAGCTGCTTGGCGCACACACGAGCTGTCTCAGGATCTGCCTCTACCAGAATGGACGGCTTGTCACCGAAATGTTCCATGACTTGAGTCCACCCTGCCAAACCTGCAAACGTTTCAATCGTTTGAATAGGTCCTCTCTTTTCTGACGGATGCAGAAAAATCAAAGCGCTTTCATTCTTGGTGGCATAAAAATGGAGTTCACCCTCGTAGGGTTGCATCCGAAAATGCTTGACAGAAACCTGGATTCCCACAACCACACATTTGCTCCACTCCATGTCAGTGTGAAGAATTCCCTTGGATCCACCAAACTTGACACCATGTGATGAATAACCCACAGTCTCAATGGTCATTGTCAAAGGCTTTGACCCAGTATCCATTGCGACACCAGGCACCGATTGGAAACCAAGACCGGCCGTCGGTTGAAATTCCCACCCACCACTGGGAGGCACCGGACCCACTTTGGGCAAAGGGGCTGAAAAATATGAGTTACTTGGGATTATTCTTCCCAATATATGGAAAGTCATAAAATTCATGTTCCGAACCACCAACCAGTAATTACCTCCACATCCACTGGTAAACCCTCATTTTCCCAATTCAAATTGCCGGTGGTATACCCCATGTTCAAGCAAACCAAGGCTATACTGTAAGGTGTCACATGGTGTCACAAAAACATCGCATCTCCGGAAAACCCCCCGTGTTGGTTGGACAACACCCATGTGTTACTCAGGTGTCGATGATGTTCTGGGAAAATAGGCTTCTCTGAAATATCCTTTCTCGTCAATTTACCCTTCATTTTGTTCACAAAAATCTCCAGCTTTTGCCTGGTTCATCATGTTAAATCCACAGTTGTCCGTGCTCAAACTTTGATTCGTCACTGGTGAATCTGCATCCACCGTTCTTTTGCTGAAAATCCACAAAAAAAAAGTGGGAAAAGAAAAACATAGAAATCTGTTACCCTCTGGTAAACGTTTCCATAACTATGGCAAATCACCATGTTTAATGGGAAAATCCACTATTTCTATGGCCATTTTCAATAGCAAACTGTTAGTCATTACCAGAGGGTAATCTCCACATCACCTCCACATCTCCACCAAAAATCCACCGTTTTTCACCGCTTTTCGTCCGAAGTTTTTTCGTTCGGATCTCGGCCTCTCTCTGCCAAGGCGTCCGTGACCTCCATCACTTCTTCGCTGACCTCGGAGATGTGGAATCTCATGGGGATATGGGGATTGAATGAACAACCATTGGGATATGTTTATGGGATTTACCCTCTGGTTATGACTAACGGTTGGCGAACTGGATCATCACCAGATTAATAATAGCTAGATCATCCTGTTGATCATCTATTTCTATGGGCCATTTTCCATGGCTAATGTGGAATTATATTGTGGCAGGTGTAATAGATAGCGAGAAATTAACTCTTTTAATGTGGTTTATACTTTTGGTATCTCACATATCTGGTGTGTATAGATATCTCACTCTTATAACTAATGTGGGTAAAACAATGCCATAAACCACCCATGACTGGGAATGGTTTATACCACTTGAAAAAATTGTGATTTGGCGGATGGTTTATTATTGTTTTACCAATATTATATGTATAGATGGGTGTATATATATATGTATATATATAAATATATATCTATATAAATATATATCTATATGTATATTATGTAATATTATATATGCATATTGACATGGATGTATATATAAATGCTTGTAGCTGTATATGTATTGTGCTGTTGATGCTAGATAGCCTGCAAGAAGAGTCAGAGCATGTCTAGTTGGATTACTCAATGGACCACGGATTGCTCGATGGAGTACATCTGGTGTCTGAGTACATGGAGGATCGCCCAACTCATTGCCAAAAATGAAAAAAACTGACAAGTTTTGGGGTGGTGCCTATTTTTTTAAGAGAAACCCATATGTTCTCACTTCGAAATCCTTTCTTGGCTATGTACAACTTCTGGGAATTGTTAGGATGCTTAATTACACTCAGTGAGAAGCCCAAGTGCACCCCCAAGTCTACGGAACGGAGCTGGAGTCATTTCAGCACTCAAAGAGCATCCTGATTGCGCCCCTTACATGTTGCCAGAATTGATGACACAAAAAGAAAAACGCCTGTTTGTCCTATTTCGACGTGTCATTGCAGCGCGGAACTCGAAAAAACACATGTCTTCAAAACGCACTGGATATATAGGGGTTTCCTGAAATGGCGCTACCTCCAAATCATCAATTCATAGATGGATTTTCCATTCGAAAGCATCTATTTGGGGTACATTTATGGAAACTTCCATACAACAGTGATATATCTAGTGATCTCATATTTCAACAGATATCTCACTGTTTGAACTATCTTCAAAACACATATATATATATTGTATAATATGTATATATAGATATACATATATATATTATATAGAGATTTCTTACAGAGTCTCAAAACTTGTGATCTGAAAAAACGAAACATCCACACTCCAATCCAATGATCCAGAGACCAAAAATTTAAAAAATGTGTCGCGTCGCATATTCTGTGCAGAGCAGCCGGAGGGCTGTGAATCCGAAAATGGCACCCGTGTGAAATTGAATATTAAATGGAGATTGGAGATAAGAACTGAAATGAGCTTCGTCCAAAATTTAGAGAACAATATAAAAATCATGAAAAAAATCTTCGACGTTCGCCACCAAAAACAAGAGAAAAATTGCCATGCTTTCAGTATACTCTTGACCCGTACAAGACTTGGGCATCAGCTGAAACAGCCAGTGTCACTTGGTGACTCCAAGGTTTGGGGGTCCATAGTCTGCCCAGACGCCGGCATTGCAACTTCTCTTTGCCCTGATAACAAGAAAAAAATCCGCCACAATTGGATGATGCTGTTTTTCCTGGGGAATACAATGGGAACATGAGGATACTCTGGTAGAATGGTGGTACAATGGTCATTGAACCATGAAAAATGGTGAACAATAGAGATTTAACCATGAAAACTTGGAAAAAAATGTGGATGTTCCATGCAATATTCAATCGGATTTACGATGAGTCTCACAGTCAAATGGGTATCAAACATGGCTGGTATTTGGAAAATCCCCGAACTACAATGACATTTTCATGGGGATGATGGATTTCCGAACAAACCATGTTTGATTACTGAAGGGCAACTGCGGAAAATAGGGTTTCAACTGGGAAAATGAGGATTCATGACCAACAACAACTGTCTGCTTGGTGGATGGGTTTAGGATGGTTTAGGAAGGAATTCCTCATAATTCATCCCACACTTGGTTCCTGAGAAGAAGTCTGATTTCAGATGTTCCAGCATGTTCCAGCCATCTATGGTTTGGTTTGGGTAAAAATCTCCATCACCGAATTTCTTGCTGGAACTCCCTGTACTTGTTGGTGAATCTCCAGGGGGGTCTGCCTGGAGATAAAAAAATCACCGACTTAGCCAATCCAGAGATTTTGTACCCTTCTATCCCATTCCATCCCTGTGTTTTATTGGTTTAACTGGTTTCGAAGATTCATAATCCGTCAGCATCCGTCAGCTATATCCACATTTACAGCCAGCTCTACAGTTATTTCTTTACAGTTATGAGTTATGTGGTTAACTGGGTGACGCTACCTTGTGGTTAAACGTGGTTACAGTAAACGATAAACCTCCACCACCACGACGTGCCGAGTGCCTTCGTTCAGCCACATCTTCTGCCGATGTCGCAGGTAGTGTCCATTACGCATGCCGCAGCAGGAGATGCTCAGCTGACGTTGACCTGGGGCGAATATAGCCCAGGAATAATGCTGTTTGGGGTAATATGTAGTAATCATATAGCCTAGGTTTGGTACTAACTGATTGATTCCATAACCAACCAATGGAAAGGGTTATGAACCACTTACCTATGTTATTCGCGGTTTAGACTTTCTCTTTGAAATACACTTTGCAATTGAAACAGTGACTAGATGAGGTGATTTTAGGCAGCTCTATTGTTTTTTTTGAACAAGTCGTGATTGAAAAATACTTGGTTCTGGGTGTCATTGGTTACCCGTCAACCTGGATGATTGATTGGTACTAAAAATGACAAAAATGTGGTCCCCTAGGCCTTAAGCTTTCACCTTTTGACACACTTCTGCATTGACTTCTTCATGTACCTCATGAATCTCCGATGAACAAATCCTAATTCGGGCCAGGGGCCCCTGTTTAAAGCCACAGCAGTAATTTTAACCAAACCCCAACAAATCATATGGGTCAACACGGTCAACATTTCAGAGCCACATATGGACTGTAGCATTTTTTTTCATACCTCTCGTTTTTGGAGGTATCCAATAGTATCACTTAGTATCCACAATTTGACCCAGGCTTGCAATGACATCCGAGGTCTCTCGCGGAGTAACTACCAGGCTTGTAAGCCTAACATATCTGGTGTATACAAAAAACTGCCCCCCCCCCCCGCAGTCGAAAAAAATAAGAGTGGCATTTCTCAGCCGCACATTCCAGTAAAAAAAAAGCAATGTTACGCCTATGAGAAAAGATAGGAAAACCTATGGTAAAACATCAGATTATCACATGGGAAAAGATAGGAAAACCTATGGCAAACCATCAGATTCCTATGAGAAAAGATTAGAAAAATATTGTAAACCATCAGATTCCAATGAGAAAAAAAGAAAACCCTTGGTAAACCATTAGATTCCTTTGGGGAAAGATGAGAGAATTAATGGTAAACCATCAATATTCGTATGAGGGAAGATGAGGAAACCACGGGAAAACAATCAGATTCCTATGGGAAAAGATTTGAAAACCAATGGCAAACCATCAGATTCCTATGGGAAAAGGATGTATGCCATGTATAGCAGAAAAATGGGCCCTTGCTGCCAAGCCACCTATGACATAAACTGCCAGCAACGTCAAGAGGAGAGCCACCTGGATAAGGAAAGCAGATGGGGAGCTATCCGATGGATATAGGTCAAAAGGTGGGACTTAGGGAAAAAGAATGAAAAATCATAATGATAAAAAAATGATGCGAGTCGTTTCTAAGCATCAACATTTTAATTTTCTGGTGCTCAATTTGGGATGAACAGAAACTAGTACAGGCTTGTCTAGAGATAACGGGCAACATGTTGGGCATAACCCTCTGTTAATTTGTTACATAGCGAGGCCACTATAGATGATTTACGTTCGAGAAATGTTCGATGTTCAATAGCAAACTGTTAAATCAGGGTTATCACATCAGAATGCACCACATCATCGCGTCATAAACAGAAGTAGAAATCTACCGCATCATCCACCAGTTTTCCCCGTATCGATCCCGCGTTCTTTCTGAAAAATATCACGGGCCATGGCCTTTCACCTGCGAAAATCGCTGACACTCGATTTTCGAATTCTGAGATCATTTCTAACCTCCTGGTAATTGGATAGTTTACTATGGAAAACATGGATAAATATGGTGATTTCCATGGGGATTCCATGGGGAGTTGATAGGGAAATCATCTGATTCATGGAGTCATGGCTAACCTTTCTATTGCATCAGGATTTTACCCTCCCAAATTGTAACAAAAATTGTAAAATTATGGATAATTATGGTGGGTTTACCACATATTTAGTTTCAAATATGTGTTGTGTTGATGACATAGGACTGGCTCGAACATCGCGGTCCGGCCATTTTGCCTGCCAATTGTCCAAAGTCTGCAGATTTTTTTTTTTTGAGCTCTGGCCATATTTTTTTTGGTGCACGTAGAAACTGAGAGAAGTTTCCAGAGTCTATTCATTTTAGCTATCTGATTGCGAAATGGGGTAGACCATGGTAGACCGGTATACCCCCCGGGCTGGCCATCAAGAGTAGGAGAAAATGAACTTCCCAACCATTGGATTCTGGGTGTTTTCCCAAGATCTTCAGACCAGATAAACTCAGAAATGGCGGTAGATCCTCAACAAGATCCCTATAAACTATACTGATTGGTGGTTGAGCCCTACCCCTCTGAAAAATATGAGTTCGTCAGATTGGATCATCATCCCAACTATTGGGGAAAATAAAAGATGTTCCAATGGTCCAAACCACCAACCAGTATACAAACCTCAACTTGTTCAGACAAACCCACCACAAATGCAAGATGTCAAGACACATGGATCCTGCCAGTTGCATATGGATTCCCATTTCATGGATGATGATCATCCCAAACGTATCAATGTTGCATAATCAATGGGAATTGCAGGACTCTAAAATCGAGGTACCTAAGCCATATAAAGCCATATAAAGCCATAGAACTTGCTTCTATACATGGCTTACGTACCTCGATTTATGGGTCCTGAAATGTAGGCTACCATCTATGCCATATATATATACATATACATATATATAATATATAGCCATACCTATCCCTTTACACATAACCCTAAAGAACAGGCTTTATATATGGTAGGTACCTCCAGAAATCGGTTCCTGACTCCGATTTACCCTCCCATCGACCTGTTCCAGGGCCAACCGTAGCGGGAGCAACACATCCCTGGGAAAGGAGGCAGCGATGCCTGAGTTTGCAGGAAAAATGGTGGATGTTACCCTCTGGTAAACTAACATAGCTATTGAAAATACCTAATTTACCTATTCAAAATGGTGATTTTCTATAGCTATACTAGTTTGCCAGAGGGTATAGTAGCTGTTAAGCAGGGAAACAGAGATTTTTACCAGGTTTTAGCCACCAGATGTTAGAGCTGCAGTGGTGATAGCACTGAATGGCTAAACATCGGCTGTAAATAGGTCAACAGCTATGAAATCACTGCTTTGGGAGCCTAAAAATTGGTAGACCCCATTTATCTACAAGTTATACAAGCCCGCAGTGGATAGATGCCTTGGAGCTTCCCAGTTGCAACTCCGTTTTCAAGATCCGAGTTGTGTGATTTTTGTCGCAACCCCCCTTTCAAGGATAGGTGCCTGGAAACGAAGGGTTTTGACATCACAAATTGACATCCTGGTTGCGCACTTTTCAGCATCTTTTCGAGGTTGCCCTCTGGTTATTTCACATGAAAAATACCCCATGCATAGATGATGAAAATGATGGTTTACCTATTAAAGATGGTGATGTTCCAGTTACGCAAAGCGTTAAATAACCAGAGCTACAGTTTAGTAACCTTGGTCAGTAAGTCCCCCAACTAGGGTTATCCCATTTACAAGTGGGTTTTCACTATAAAAAGGAAACAAAACATCGGCACCCACAAATGATTCCCACCTTCCCAACCACCCAAGACATCCAAGTCACATGGGACCAGCAGCCCACCAGCGGCCAGGACCTCCCCAAGACTGCTGCTGAAGCAGCAAAAAAATGTTGTTGGTCAAACCCCATAAAATGGGTTCATCAGTGTGAGTAGCTCAAAATACCAAACCACAAATGATCAAAAGTCACGACTAAGTTCCACAAGTTCAAAAAAAATACCAAACCATCAAACCATCAAGTATTTCTAGTGTATCAAGTCACATGGTTCAGATCATCAGATCATCCATGGTTTCCTCATCTTTCAACTGCTGGCATTGGAAAGGTGGAGCTCACGGACCGGTGACACGGAGAGGGACGATGGCAGTTGTGACATTTTTACTGAGGTGCCCCAGTGGCCCACTGGCTGTTCGTTTAACGATGTATTGTGTATGTATATATATATATGTATAATATCATTGTTGTTATTATTATTATTGTTATTATTATTATTATTTATACATATATATATAATTATATCGTATTATAATATCTATATCTATATATATATATTGTCATATTGTTGTTGTTAGGGGTTACAAAACAACTTGTAGCTGGCGAGCACCATCTTGTATCTTTCTTGGGCGGTCCAATTCAAACAAAGATCAATATATTCTAACATATCCAATCACTTTGACATGGCAAAATTTGTTTGAAATTTCTGCCAAAAAGAAACAATCGCTTCTTTGAAATATACAAAAGTCTTTTCAAACATTCCAAAATATACTATATGGTCATCCCCGAACCAGCAAAAAGTAACTCACCATGAAAAAATAGTGAAGAGTCACTCCAAAACTTTTTGGGGGTTACTGTACTAATTCAAAAAAAAAAACAAATGTATTAGTTCTTATAGGACACCAAATATACTATCGCCATGTAATATGCTAATGTGTGCAAAACAATCATGCACCATCCCCCAGTCATCACCATAATAGGTGGTATAAACCATTCCCAGACATGGGTGGTGCCAATGGCATTGTTTTACCCAACAACCATGGATATTCCCATGAAATCCCATGAAATCACAATTAAATCGCTGCGATTTCAGACCGCTTTTTTCCCTGCACCTGCAGCCAGCAGCCCAGCATTCGCCAGCAGCGCTGCGACGCCGGAGCGGAGTCCAGCGGGGTGAGGCATGTGAGGCAGGCTGCAGCGAAAAGGCCTTGGGATTTCACGGAGTTCACCAAAAAATGAAGGTTGACCCCAGGTGAAACCTGCAAAAGTGGGAGATGTGTGTGATCACCAGTGTGTATTTTTGGGGGATTTATGGGAAATTCGTGAACGGAAAGTGATGTATTTTGAAGAATTTTCGGGATTTCTAGGGATTTGATGACGGGATTTTAGGGATGTATACGGATTTATAGGGACTTCATGAAGGGAGTTCACGTTAACCAACAACAGCAGCGACCCGCACAGCAGAGATTGCAATTTTACAAGCAAGAATCGTGCGACCTGCAAAATGTGGGGAATTCACCAAAATTCGTCCCATCCCCTTAATATTGAACAGCCTCATTCTATGGTCCCAATATGGAAATTCCCAACAAAAAACCATGGTTTCGTTTAGGGTGTCTTCAATATTCTGGGGATGGGATTTGGCAAACTGCGATCCAGGGTAATGTGGGTAAAAGAATGCCATAAAGCATCCCCCAAAATCACCATAAATAGGTGTTGTAAACCATTCCCAAATAGGTGGTTTACTATTGTTTTTCCCACGTTTACCCCTTTTTGGTGACGTTTCCCCATTCGCCATCATTTTTCGTTGCCAGTTTCCCCTTTTCACCGAGCCACAGATCGAAGCCAGGACAAGAAATTCCACCGACTTTTCCGCCTCGAGGCGTCGTCCTCCCAAGTTTCACCAGGTCTGAGATCTACGCTCTCAGGGTAACCAACAATCCGTACCCTCTGGTAAGTTAACATAGCTATTGAAAATGGTCATAGAAATAGTGGATTTACCCATTAAAAATGGTGGATCTTTCCATAGGGTAAATTACCAGGTCGTTGAAGTATGTTGAAGTATCAACCATGATCCTGCCAAGAATCAAGGAATTGAAGATAATTAAACCTTCTGCTAGACATTGGCCTTGACCCCATATTCAGATACACCCAAGCATCATTATTTGTTGGTTATGTCCCACAAATACTCCCATAAACATGCTTGGCTTCCTCATCGAATCATCATTAAACCACCAGTTGGAAGATCATGCCACTTAGTAACTGCTCACTTGGCAAACCAGGGGCAGTTCACCAACCTAGAGGACTTATCACCAGGTTTGCCAAGCAATTGTTTCCCATGAACTCCCATAAAATCACCATGAAGTCATCAGCCGATCCCCTTTGGGATCGTCCTTCACCCCCCTTCGCTCTGGATCTCCTCCCCAGGCAATGGCACCGCTGGCGCCCAGCGACAGCAGCAGGGTCAGCAACTGGGAACCGCCCAAGAAGTGGAGCTCCACCTCTGGAAGTCTGGGTCATGTAAAAATGTGGTGATACAGCAACGAAATCAGCAACGAAATCATCGGAAATTCATACAAGGTGATGCCCCATAGTCCCTCATACATACATATATATATATATATTTATACTTGCCATGGTTTATAAACCAACTTATAACTGTGGGGGCACCACCTTGTAGGAAATAAACAAAATCCGTAGGAAAATCCATAGGAAATCCATTGTGGTGTGAAATCCACCATGCCCGAAGATATCCGCGAAGCACCATAGCAAACATGGTGTATATAAATACCCACTTACTCATTTAAATGGAAGATCCCCAGATTCCTGGGTTGTATATGATTGACCATGGAAAAAAATGTGGTGATTTGATAGGAAAACCAAACAAAGTGGGAAGTGAGCCCTGTGGATCAGGGAGTTCTAATCATGAAATTTGGGGTTCTACCTCATAGGGCTATTATGGAGTTTTTCTGGCATTTTCCCATTGGTTCACCAAAAATTGGGTCAACCCTCGGTGATGGGTACTTTTAATGGAAGTTTTACTACACAATTGGAGGGATATGATCCAGCTGAAAAGAATTGTGGGAAAATCATCCGAATTCGGATATTGAGCGAAAATTGTGAACCAACATTGACAATAACTGAGCAACTGAAATTGTTGGTGTACTATAGTTTTTCTGATATGGTTGAGACAAAATTGGGTTTACAACCGTGTCGTGCGTTTGCGAAATCCCGGTGTGGCTTGGTGTTTCACCACCACCAAACTGACTCGTTAAACCTCCGTTTTGGCTCACAATCTTTGTGTTTGCTGGTTAAACCACCAATTATGGCGTAGCTTGGCGGATTCAAAAAAAGGTGAAAAAAAACAAGATGTTCGGTGGCGCTGTGCCTAACAAAGCAAATGGGGCGATAAGACCAGATGTCGGCGAGGTTCGTGCTGGCAAAATAATCCCATCGTTGGTCTTGTGAACCCTTTTCGCAAACCAACTATGACCATACAATTTTCAAAGTCACTTATACAGATAGTTCCACTACAGAAAACATAGATATCCAGTGATATCCACAATATCCCAGTAAATAGCCATAGAAGACCCGGCAGAAAATCCACACTTCACCATGGCCTGTTCCAAAGTCCAGAGCAGCAGATCCAACAAGGACGGCAAGACTCCACCGGCCCATAGCAGTGGGAGCAGAGCCACACTCACCAGTAACCTGGGGATGGGATGTGGATCCCATAAGTTGGCTATGTTCACCGACAAGAAATGGGAAGTTTAAAACTACCCAACGGAATTTAAAGAATCGCAGGATGGAGTTCGCACTGAAGACCGAGGTTTTTTCAAGTGCTGACAGTCAAACAAGTGTTTCAGAACCACCAGATACACAGATACGAGCCTGCAAAAGACTAGGCATCAACAAAACAAAAAGATCACCTTTATCATGGTTTGTCTGAAAATATGGTACCCCCAAATCCAGTACTCCATATTAAATGGATGAATCTTACGACATTGGGGGTTCACTCCGCCATGCGACCCATTTTTAGATGTGGAGAACTGGCCACGTTTTCGCTTCATGTTCCGAAGATTCGCCACGAGATGACCAAAGTTGGGGAAACTTTTGGGACATCACCAGCCATGAGTAAAACAAGCAGAGATGCGGAAGTCATCAATTTCCAGCAAACAAACATTGGGAATTCGACGTTTACCAACACAAAAGTGTGGGTGTTGGTTGATTTATAGCCATGAAAAACTTATATTCCTTCATGTATAATATTTCTATTATAAATATATATATATACGTATACATAGTGCAGAAAAAAAAGGAAGTACAACCCTTTCGAGCTGCATCTGGAAGTTCGAAAGACCAATGTTCTTGTAGAAAACAAGAAGATCCAAGAGGAAATCACAACTTCGAGAGGCAACGGTAAATTGAGGATCCAGGATGCCAACATTTTGGGGCAATCCACTTCAGCATACATTACATATCATTTCTTTGATGGTAAGTTGAAGGGCTAGATTAGCTATGCTAGATTGGCGCGCTTGCGTGTCAGCATGAACGGATCTCATTCTCAGATGTTCATAGCCTCCAAGTCTGAGCTGGCTGGTGGACTTAATATCTTTCAAAGTTTAAAATCCATCTGAAAAGATGTTAGTTGAGGATATTATATAAGGGTTAGTCACTTGGGATATTAGTTGTTGATGATGATGATGATGATGATGAAAATAGTTTTGTCACTTGGGACCATCATCCCAGGGTGAAGAGCAATAACATTTGAAACCACCAGCAATTGTAGTGTTTGATCTCAACGAATACCCCACAGAAACCCCACCCAGGAGTTCAAGACCTTCTTTCACTCAAGCTGAAGCTCAGGGGGCAATGAATACTCACTTGAGAGGGGGGGGACGAAAGGTAGGGGGGGGAAAGACAGGAGGGAGAGGCAAGAGAAGGTGCGACTGTTTGTAACGCAAGCACGCCGACGACGACGACGACTACTACTACTACTACTACGACTACTACTACTATGACGACTACTACTACTATGACGACTACTACTACCACTACTACTACTACTGCTACTACTACCACCACTACTACTACTACTACTACCACTACCACTACCACTACTACTACTACTACTACTCCTACTACTACTCCTACTACTACTACTACTACTACTACTACTACTACTACTACTACTACTACTACTACTACTACTACTACTACTACTACTACTACTACTACTACTACTACTACTCCTACTACTACTACTACTACTACCACTACCACTACCACTACCACTACCACTACCACTACCACTACCACTACACTACTACTACTACTACTACTTACTACTATTACTACTTACTACTACTACTTACTACTATTACTACTACTACTACTATTACTACTATTACTACTTACTACTATTACTACTTACTACTTACTACTTACTATTACTACTTACTACTTACTACTTACTACTTACTACTTACTACTTACTACTTACTACTTACTACTTACTACTTACTACTTACTACTTACTACTTACTACTTACTACTTACTACTTACTACTTACTACTTACTACTTACTACTTACTACTACTAACTACTACTACTAACTACTAACTACTAACTACTTACTACTTACTACTTACTAACTACTAACTACTAACTACTAACTACTAACTACTAACTACTACCTACTAACTACTACCTACTAACTACTACCTACTACCTACTACCTACTACCTACTACCTACTACCTACTACCTACTACCTACCTACTACCTACCTACTACTACCTACTACTACCTACTACTACCTACTACTACCTACTACTACCTACTACTACCTACTACTACCTACTACTACCTACTACTACCTACTACTACCTACTACCTACTACCTACTACCTACTACTACCTACTACTACCACTACCTACTACCACTACCTACTACTACCACTACTACTACCACTACCTACTACCACTACTACTACTACTACTACTACTACTACTACTACTACTACTACTACTACTACTACCTACTACTACCTACTACTACCTACTACTACCTACTACTACCTACTACTACCTACTACTACCTACTACTACCTACTACTACCTACTACTACCTACTACTACCTACTACCACCTACTACTACCTACTACTACGGACTACTACCTACTACTACCTAATTCTACCTGCTACTACCTACTACTACCTATTACTACCTACTACTACCTACTACTACCTACTACTACCTACTACTACCTACTACTACCTACTACTACCTACTACTACCTACTACTACCTACTACTACCTACTACTACCTACTACTTCCTACTACTACCTACTACTACCTACTACTACCTACTACTACCTACTACTACCTACTACTACCTACTACTACCTACTACTACTACTACTACTACTACTACTACTACTACTACTACTACTACTTACTACTACTACTGACTACTACTACTTACTACTACTACTTACTACTACTACTTACTACTACTTACTACTACTTACTACTACTTACTACTACTTACTACTACTTACTACTACTTACTACTACTTACTACTACTTACTACTACTTACTACTACTTACTACTACTTACTACTACTTACTACTACTTGCTACTACTTGCTACTACTTACTACTACTTACTACTACTTACTACTACTTACTACTACTTACTACTACTTACTACTTACGACTACTTACGACTACTTACGACTACTTACTACTACTTACTACTACTTACTACTACTTACTACTACTTACTACTACTTACTACTACTTACTACTACTGACTACTACTTACTACTACTTACTACTACTTACTACTACTTACTACTACTTACTACTACTTACTACTACTTACTACTACTTACTACTACTTACTACTACTTACTACGACTTACTACGATACGATACGTACTGACTGACGAATGGGACGACGACTGTACGACTGTACTACGACGACTTACTAAGACTACTACGACGTAGCAGTACTACTAATCTAGCTATGCCACGACGAAGACGACGGACACTGACGACTGATACGAGACGTATTCGGACTGACGGACGAGCGGGACTACGGACGACTGACGCTGGACGACGTACTACTTACTACTTACTACTTACTACGTACTACTTACTACTTACTACTTACTACTTACTACTTACTACTTACTACTTACTACTTGTAAATGACGGCCACTACTACTACTACTATTATGAGGACTACTACTACTACTATGAGGACTACTACTACTACTACTATGAGGACTACTACTACTACGACGACTACTACTACTACTACGACGACGACTACTTCTACTACTACGACTACTACTACTATGACGACGACGACGACTACTACTACTACTACGGCTACTACTACTACGACGACGACTACTACTACTACTGCTACTACTACTACTACTGCTACTACTATTATACTATTACTATTACTATTACTTCTACTACTACGACTGCTACTACTACTACTACTGCTACTACTACTACTACGACTACTACTACTACTACTACCACTACCACTACCACTACCACTACCACTACCACCACTACCACTACCACCACTACCACTACCACCACTACCACTACCACTACCACTACCACTACCACTACGACTACGACTACGACTACTACTACTACTACTACTACTACTACTCCTGCTACTACTACTACTACTACTACTACGCCCAGGCCCGTTCAACTTTACATTCAATTGGGAAGATCAACAAGGGTATTAGGGAATATTAAACTCCCACCCCCGTTAAACTTTACATTGAATTGGGAAGATCAACAAGGGTATTAGGGAATATTAAACTCCCACCCCCATTAAACTTTGCATTCAATTGGGAAGATCAACAAATGTATTAGGGTATATTAAACTCCCACCCCGGTTAAACTTTACACTCAATTGGGAAGATCAACAAGCGGATTCATGACTTCGTGGAAATTGCGTTGAAGAGTTTGCCGATTTCTAACGTTAGATGTATAAGGTAGGCATTTTGGACAAGAATCGGTTGGAAAGAAACTTTTGGAGTTTGAAAAGCTCACCCAAGCAGCTGGAATGTTTGTGTGCTTGTTGTTGGTGAATCGTTATTCTTGTAGGTATACCGTGTTGTCAGCACGCGGGCTCGTTGGACGGGCCTCCAGGGAGTCGACTGAGCTAGTTGTTGACGCTGTGGAGGCGCTTCCGCCACGTCTACATAAAGTATCGTTTTTTGTTCTGTACAATGATGAATACGTGGACCCGGTGGAGGGGCCTCCAAAGGGTCAACCAAGTGAGGGGTTGACTCTGTGGAGGCTCTCCCACCGGGTCCACAGAAACTATTGTTTTTGGTTAGTTGTTGACTTTGTGATTTCTAGCAAGTTTACATAAAGTCCAACCGGGTCCACAGAAACTAATGTTTTTGGTTAGCTGTTGACCTTGTGATTTCTACTAAGTATACATAAAATATCGTTTTTTGTTCTGTAGAATTACGTTCCGAACTCCGAATAGGTGGGCCCGGTGGAGGGGCCTCCAGAGGGTCAACCAAGTGAGGGGTTGACTCTGCGGAGGCTCTCCCACCGGGTCCACAGAAACTATTGTTTTTGGTTAGTTGTTGACTTTGTGATTTCTAGCAAGTTTACATAAAGTCCAACCGGGTCCACAGAAACTAATGTTTTT